AAGTAACCGATATCGCTGGTAAATTTTTATTTGAGTAAAAACTTAGGATCTATAGCTCGAGACAAAAACAACGTATGTGATGTCTCTCTCACTCTTACTACAGAACTTGGTAATGTTATAATACCTCTCCCATACCTGCGTCCAACGCTACGAAGCTTCGTCTTCTAACGTTAATAAACGCAGGTTTGGGAAGTCATTAACGGCTATCATAACATATATCGGGTTGGTTCACGATAGACGTTAGCTTGACTGGTGGTTCTTGACACGCATTAAAGGGGTTTTAGCATAGAGCGATGCGGCCAGGAGTCGGCATTCACAGCATTCCCCTCTGTCGATTTTCCCTCGCTGTTGGGCCAGCTTCAAAACAAAAGTAAGTTGCGCTCAGATATTTCACTAAACTAAATCAAGTCACACGAGTGTATGTTAAATATCAAAAATGCACAAAATGTTATGAAATTTGCTGTAAAACGTACTTACAAAAGGATGGTGTCAAAATTCACATGAGTACAATTACTAACATATCATTTCTATTTAACCACTTTCAAACACAAAATTCATTTTATTTTGTTAAAATTCAATCGTCGTACTTGTATGACGAAACAATCGACTCGCCAGTATTTTCAGATCAGTCAATAAAAAATCTTAAATTCATCTATGCCCGCTATAGCGATATATAGGTTAACTAGCTGTGCCCCGCGGTGTTACCCGCGGTTTATTAGGGATGTTTTCGCGGAGTAAAACGTAGCCTTTGTGTTAATCCAGGGTGTCAGCTAACTCCATACCAAATTTTACTAAAATCGCTCCAGCCGTTTAGACGTGAAGAAGTAACAAACATACACACACACACTCACAAACTATTGCCTTTATAATATTAGTGTCATTTAGGTGTGGGCACAGAACACAGAAAAACGTTAGAAGGATGTTCAAAGACCGTTTGTTCGGGAACCGATGTCGCTGAGTTGCCCCCACTATACTTCAACCTAATTGCCAATCAGCTGTCACATCCGAGAGCAACGACGCAATCAGTACTAACTTTTGGTCAAGTTATGAGCATTTGCTCACAAAACTGAGGCGCGCCTGCCACGCCCTTAAGACCCTTCTATCCTCTTTCTGTATTATGTAGAAGTGGCGTAGGTATTAAGATCAATTCCTCTGCAAGAGAAAGCCGGAAAGAGGAGCTCGATGGCGCAAGTAGTTAGCGCGTTCGGCTGCGGTCGTTGAAGTTAAGCAACTTTCGCAATGGTCAGTGACCAAAAATTTAGTATCTCGAGCTCCTCCGTGCTTCAGAAGGCACGTTAAGCCGTTGGTCCCGGCTGCATCTGCTGTCGTTAGCACCCGGCAATCTGCACTGGGCCCCGGGCCCATTTAAGAAAAAAGTTTTCTAGGTTTCAGCAAAACGTAATTCGGCATTGAGATAGTAAAGTATTAGTCAATAACATTATATTCGGCAACCTGCTGACTGCTGCTACCTGCCGTTGCATCAACAGGTTGTTTGTTCTCCGACAGGGGTCCTGGTTTCAAATCTCAGTAAGTAGGTGTATTTATTTTTATGATGAAATAAAAAGTTCCCTAGTAATAGTAATTTATACCATCCATACTTATAATGTTATAAATGCGAAAGTGTGTCTTTCTGTCTGTCCTTCTGTTACCTCTTCACGCTTAAACCGCTGAACTGATTTGAATGAAATTTAATATAGAGATAGTTTGAGTCCCGGGGAAGGACATAGTAAAGTTTTATTATAGAGATCATCCTTTATGGGGGCGAAAAGAGGGGTTGAAGTTTGTATGAGAAACCAATATTTCCACGCATACGAGTGGAACACTAGTAATTTCCAAGGTACAAGCTCTGCTTAATTTAGTAGTGAATAATTTTTGTGAGAATTTTGGAATTCATTATCGCTTTAGTCAATGTTATTATTTTGGTATACTGATGACGCTCCGAAAAATGGGTGAAAATAAGAGAGTTATGCCTTATAGAGATAAGCTAGAACCGTTGCCTTAGAATGACCTACCATACCTATTATAAAAGGTTTACAAAGAGTTCTTTATTTTTAAAGAAAGGTTGTTGTACCGTTGAAAGTATATTTAAATACTTTGGTTTTATAATATGACAACCGTATAATAATCTACCAAACAAGCTTAGAAAGTCATAAAGTTCCGACTATCCTACTAATATCATAAATGTTAAAGTTTGTAAGTTTGTGTTTTGTATGTTTGTTCCTCAATCACGCAAAAACGGCTGAACGGATTTGGGTATAGTTTTTCATACAGACAGCTTATAACCTGGAAAGAGATATACGAAGGGTGCAGGTTCGAGTCCCATCTGCTGCCTGGGCCGCGTGTTTTTTTTTCTAGTAATAAATTCTTTAGATTTAAACCTCGAGCAGTTACATACTTAAAAAATAAAATTATGGATACAGGATACTTTATATCCCGAAAAAAAAAAGGTTCCTGAGGGATTCTTAGGAAATTGAAGTTAACGTGAATGAAGCCCTTTGTAACTATGTGACATTTGATACCTGAAATGTTCTGATGAAGTTGAAGTGCAATACAAGGACTACACACAACAATCCTTGAGTCAAGATTACGTTGATGCCGCATACTGTATCGATGTTTGTGTAATTCAATACACGAAATAGTTCAGTTAAGTACATACCTAGGTAGGTATGTACTTAACTGAACTATTTCGTAGGTACGAAAGTAGGCTATTTGCTTTAAATTTACATGACAAGTTTCAATGGGAAAAAAATTGTCTCTGTAGATTAAGCTTGTCCTATGAACATAAACATCGCAAAAAGAAATTTATGAAGAAAAGAAAGAAAAAGTGTAATTAAATTTTTAAGCATTTATCTAGCCTCTTCTTCTGGAAGGACAGTTTTTTACGCACCATTCCTACAGAGAGCTAAAATCTAAATTCTTTTCGTTGTCAAACATCCTTATAATAAAATATTGATATAAAATCAAATTCACAACTCATTAACTCATCGTGCGAACATTTTACATAACGTTGTCCAAGAAAATTAGTAAGCATTTTCAAGTGATTTGTTCCCATGGACCGCGCCAGAATTTCATCAGAATTCCCCAGACAGCCCGTCCGAGGGACCTTTGAGTATATTTTAAGATTAATTCATCCCGGATCTATCGGGCCTTTTGTGAGCTTATCGTAACGAGCCTCTTTACCCCGGCCTCCTACCGAGCATTCAACTTACAAAGTGTAAAGCAATGTTCGCATCGATAAAAACGAGAGTGCGCATTTACCAATGATATTCATACTATTATAATAGCTTGGTATTACCAAGCTATTATAATAGTATATGACATACTATTATAATAGCTTGGTATTATCAGTAAGAGAAGCTCTATGGCGCAGGTAGTTAACGCATTTGGTCTGCAATCGTAGAATACTAAGCAACTTTCGAAAAGGCCGCTTTTGGATGGGTGAACAAGATTTACTTTCTTGAGCGGCGTTCCGTGCTCTTCAAAGCATGGAGACGCTTCCAAGCAGGCGCGGTCGCTGCCTGAAATTTTGGAGGGGGTCACTCACTACACTAATAAAAAATAGGTACCACTTATGGGAAGAGTTACCAGATTTTGAGAAATGTCTTTATATTTGGGTATAAATCATCATTACAAACTTCGATGATATAATACATAGTAGTACTAGATGTCATTTCCAAGTTATTTTGGCCATCGTAGTTACGTAGTTCAAAAAACACCACTAAATGTCAGCAAACTATAAATTTATCGCTGTTAGGGGATAACCAGAAATTTCCTTTTATTATTTGGCAATTTTTTGAGATTTTTCAATTTGACCTTAGATTTTGGGGGGGGTCATGTCCCCTGTGACCCCCCCCCCCCCCTTCGGACCGCGCCTGCTTCCAAGAGCACGAAACGCCGTTGTTCCCAGCTGCATCTGCAGTTGTTAGCTCCGGCATTGGGCCTGCACCGCGTGGTAGACCATCTATAGGAAAGGCCGGTTCCCCAGCAGTAAGGACTTAGATAGGCTGGCGATGATGATCAGTAAACAAATATTATTTGTTTATCTGTCCCATGATGAATCTTTGATGCTCAGCTCTAGTGACTCAGCCTCTCCTCGAGAATGAAATATCCCGCAACAAAGTTACATTTGCTACAGAACTGTACTATAAATCATAGGCTTTCAGACACTGTCAAAAATCAATGGTCTCTCCCGCCCGGTATGGCCCAATCTCCCTATTCCATCTATAGGGAAGGCCTATGCCCCAGCAGGGGGGACATTAATAGGCTCATGATGATGATGATGATGATGAGAAAGCCTATACTTTTACACACACTTCAGCGTGTCTTCTAAAGACACTATAAATTAAACAAAGATTTTATAAAGAAATTGTTTATTAAACTTTGGTTAAACTTGCATAAAACCCATTGTTATGTACAAATTCATTTATATTGCTTAAAATATAGTTGAAATATTTACACTTAAATAATAGAGCGATGACCTAAAAATAGCCTTCCTTAAGTCACTAACCACAAATACGTTACATACAGTACAACTCACAACAAATTGACTGGAAGTAACTACGACAAGATCAACAACTACTTTAAATCCTATTCCATATGTCTTAAAGTTCTTTATAAATTTAAATTACAATTTATAGAACTGTTTAAATGCAATATAGTGAAATATCTCAGTCATGAACAAATTAATATAATGGTGTTTATAATAAATAATACAAAAATAAATGTTCTGTGCATTTTTCAAAATATATTTATACAAATATATTTCTCATAATAATTAAACTCTTCGTTTACAATCAGTACCGTAATACAACGAAGTACAAACTGTCAGAGAAATTTATTGATATTGATATAATCCTAAATATTTGTACTTGATAAAGAGTAATTTATCACGAAACTGTCACAGAAATATTCTAATTTATCATTTTACGATAGTTAATACACATATCCCTATTGCTGATATAACATTTAGGTTTAGGACTATTGCAAAGGGGGGGAGTGGGTGGTCGACTCAGGGTAGCGTATAAATAGAGCTTGTCGACCCTTGACCTTTCTATCATCACCGTTTCATCATAAACTTTTGTTTCACATACATTTTTTTGGTGCATTTGATTTGATTACACCTAAAATAAAAACCGGAAGTGATGTCATAATTTTTCATGCGGGCAAAATCAAGCAACTTCAGGGGTGACTATGGCTTACTATTAGGGGCGTTTGACACGCTTGTGCATTATGACTACATCTTGACACAATCGGAGTTCTCTATGGTCTACGATTATTATACATATTCGCTAAGCTCTTCATCATCTACTGCACGCAGTAACATTATAATAATTTGCTATTTCGTTTCTCTTTTGTTTGTAGTTATTTGACAGTGAATGATATGATGCTTATGTCATCGTAAGGCTAGCCTATTTTAGTAAAATCGCTGCAAATAATCATGTGAAATATAGTTGCCACATTTGGTTCTTATTTTTCGTACTGTCAACTGGCCTATTTGCTAATGAGAACAAGAACTTAACATAGAAAATAGTTTTTTTTTTAAATACAACTCACACAGTTATCTATCTCGGAACCGTACTATTGTCACAAACGCTCTCGAAACAGAACCGCGAAAGTGCTAGAGAACGAATTTGCCAGATCACCGCGGGTGGCGATAGAGGTCAAGTAATGCGGCTCATTCTAAAATGAGCTTTATGCAATGCGGCGTAAGGGAGAAAGTGCAACGACATCTGTACTTGTTTACAAGTTATGCGCGTTACCTGCGTAGGTATAAGTAGGTACTTCGTACTCGCGGGTGCTAAATAATTCTCAATTTAACAGGTACTTTCTAGAATGCATCGATCGGCGTATATAAGCGCGATTGGCGCCGCGCAGAGACAGTTGAATTTCAACAGCGATTTCGGAGCGAATCCAAAGGCGATCAAAGTGCAATAAAAGTGTTCAAGTACGATTGTTTAGAGACTTGTATAGTGAAATAGTTTGTTTAGTGAGTGTTTTGTTATTAACATTGTGTGTTAATTGTGTGAACTGTGTGGTGAATAAAGTACTGTCAAGTGTGAACTGGCATATAATTTCGAACCCCATCCCGACACGTAACACTATGAACAGCGTGTGTAACGTCAAATTTGATAACTTTGTATGGCTCGTGGATACCTTGGTTTTACTTTTATGATACGTTTGAATCAAAAAACGATATAATGTCAAGCAACCTGCCTCGGGCCACTTATACTTTTTGGTTAGGTAATACTTTGTTTGACGACCTCGATGGCGCGGGTGGTTAGGTTAGTTTAGGGCAAGGTTAGGTATAGGTTCGAAAGGCATCTGCAGTCGTTAGCACCCGCCAATAAGCCAAACCAAACCTAACCATGACCCACCGGTCGTGGCCCAATCTGATTCCATCCATATGGAAGGCCTGTACCCCAGCAGTGGGACAATTAATAGGCTGATGATGATGTATACTTATTTTGGAAATCTTTTCGTTAATTTATTGTCTATGGGAGTGTACTATCAAACGTCTAGCATTACTACTATGCTAAAGTTCTTATTTCTGAGATTTTCTATTTAATTTCTCTATGTTTCGCTAAATTATTTGACAGTGACTGATATGATGCGTATATCGTCGTACGGTTTGTCAGTCTTTGGGTTGGTTTTGGCCGAGCCAATGTTCTGTACCACCTCCATTCCGCGAACTACTCGACCGAACACCGTGTGTTTGTTGTCTAGCCATGGCTGTAACAAATAAAAATTGTTTCATTAGTTATTTAAAAACCTGCAGAATGTTCACTTGAAAAAAATCCACATGGCCCCAGCAGCAGCCGGGACTCGAACACGCATCCTCCGCTATCTGGGCGGATGCACTAACCAATTATGCTACCGCGACCTTAATAGCCGTGCCGAATTTCTTCTAGTATTTCTTAGGCTGCTGAAATATACTGACAAAGTAAGTTTTGATAAGTCTGAATGGGCAAAAGAAACTTCATTTTCATACTGTTTATTTGATCAAAAGAAAAACTGCAAGACTACTTTATATTTCAATCAATTTACATTTTAAACAAATGCATAACTTTAATTGGCAAAAGAACTTTTTGAAAGGGGACCCTCAGTGGACGGAAAAAACATTTATTATGTCTATTTGTTTCTTAGGTTTTCACGCACATCACTCATTAAATAAAACTAGTTTTTACGGGTTAATGCACGAAAACTTTATTTATTTATTGACGTTTCGCAGTCTTTTCAGGTCTGCATCGTCAGAATAATGATTTTATATATTATTTTATAAAGTTTTCGTGCATTAACCCGTAAAAACTAGTTTTATTTATTATGTCTACTGAATGATGGAATTGCAAATAATATTGTTACGAACAACCTGGGGGCCAATCGCCTAACGGAAATGCTTTGGAAAACGCTAACGCTTACGATTTTATTTTGTTATTTCTAGCCGCCTGAGGTTTTCAAATGCCTCGCGCTCTTTTTTTTTCTTTTGCATTGGTAATAACAATATTAAAGAAAATGAGCGTGAGGTATTTGAAAACCTTCGGCGGTTAGAAATAACAAAATGAAATCGTAAGCGATAGCGTTTTCCAAAGCAATCTAGTTAGGCGATTGGGCCACTGGTAATAGATTTATCCACAACGTCGTGGCTGTCGTTTGTTGTACTCGCGACCCGAAGTACCTAAACACGGCGACTGAATGAATATGAGCCTTAGCAGTGCGGCGTAAGGTTGAAGGTGCAACGACAGCTGCCAACTAATTTACAAATCATGCTTGCTACTTGCGTGTAAGTACTACGGAACTCTGAATGTTACTAGATTTTTCTACAATGCCTCGATTAGCATTTGTCAAGAACTTTCAACCGTGAACCGACATTATAATTTCCAACCCCATCCCGACACGTAGCAATACAATGCAATATGACGACCTTCGTGGCTCGAGTGGTATGTACGCCGATTTCCAAGATGTCGCCTACTCAGAGCTCCCGGGTTCGCGTCCCAGTAGGGCAAGTGTTTGTGTGATGAATAAGAGCATTTGTACACAAGTCACGGATGTTTATATGTTTTACTAAATAAAAATATACGATCAGTATCAGTATATGTATTTTGTCCGTTATCCTAGTATTCCATGACACAATCCTTACAGTGCTTACTTTGGGGCTAGGCTAATCAGTGTGCGTGTTAGAAATATTTAAATATCCAAGAGTTATATTCTATTGGAATGCCTCATATACGGACTTGTTTCAGGTGCGTGCGGAACTCATCGGCAAACATCCGCCCCATATACAGTACCCTTAGCACGAACCAATATCGAATTCGTATCGAATGCGAGTACGAAATGTCATTGTCAAATATGTACTGATTTTTAGTTCTAGTTACGTACTTTGTGGCGCTGCTGTTCAAGTTTCCATACAAAATTTGACATTGACATTTCGGTTTGCAAACTATTCGAATTCGATAATGGTTCGTACTAGGGGTACAGACCCCGCCTACACACGAGTTATCTATATACTAGCAAACCAGTAAACCAAATGTTCACCAAAATTGATTTTAAAAAAAATGTATTTAATTAATTGAGAACTTCGGAGATTTTGTGTGGTTTCGTTTGAAATTCGTGATTTCTCGAGAAAACCGGAAGTGCTACGTTACTCAAATCCGGTTTGTAGTTCTATTCTTAACTTATAACTTAAACATTCTCTTTATCTATCTCTTACGGTTTGGCCGCTGAAACAGCACCACAGACAGACGGACGGACGGACTTGTCTAATAGATAAGAGATATATACTGACTGTAGGGGCCAGGGTAATGAAGAACTGGCTCCCGTTGGTGTCGGGGCCGGCGTTGGCCATGCTCACGGTGTAGGGCCGGTCGTGCTTTAGGTGCGAGCGGAACTCATCGGCGAACATCCGCCCCATATACTGACCCCGCCTACACACGAGTTATCTATATATATATATATACTGACTGTAGGGGCCAGGGTGATGAAGAACTGGCTCCCGTTGGTGTCGGGGCCGGCGTTGGCCATGCTCACGGTGTAGGGCCGGTCGTGCTTCAGGTGCGAGCGGAACTCATCGGCGAACTCCCCGCCCCATATACTCTCGCCGCCGGTACCAGTACCTGTTTACCGCGCAATTAACTGTATAGATTATTTCAATCAAGAGGAAAAACCATCTAAGTAAGTGTACAGGTCGGGGCCACAGAGGTATAAGAATGGAGTGGGAAAGGCGGCTCTAAATGTGTCCGTCTAGCTGAAAGAGAAAGAAGATGAGAGACCGCTAGCTATCTCACTCTCTTGTGACGCATGGCATCCAATGGCATCACATCGAGATAGTAAGATGCTTACGATTGCCAATGCGCATGAGCGATTAGAGAAAGCTAGCGGTCTCTCATCTTCTTTCTCTTTCTATTAGAGGGACACTTCCACTTGTAGTAGAGTCTATATCTCCCTTACTCTATTCTTATACATCTATGGTCGCGGCACGTAACTCTAGCGCTGAACAAAACGCTGGGGGGATAGCTGTGTATGGGTAGGACTGGAGAGACAATCTTCGCAACGCACGCCCACCCGCGCACCTCGTTTCCTCTCAAGGCATCTTAATTTTTACATCTGCACAATAACGGTCGGCGCTAGGGTTTCGTGCCGCGACTTATAAGTAATAGAAGAAATCAATGGTGTAGATTCTGGCGTGCTTCTCTCATAAATTTAAAACTAAATTTAACACCAGTCTCTCCTTTAAGTCAATCACTGTTGTCAAATTTAAGTTAAGGTTTAGAGAATCATTTCGAAATCGACATCTTTATCTATAAAAAAAAACGGCCAAGTGCAAATCGAACTTGCGCACGCATTGTTCCGTACAATTATCTTTACAACATTAGACACGAATATTATAATATCTAGTAAAAACCGCAAAAATCACCCCCCCCCCCCCCCTGAACGCGCTGTTAACATTAAGCAGGCATGAAGCGCTAGGGAAAGAGGCGACTACTTATGTAGTCGCCTCTTACCAACCAACCAACCGACCAACATTAATGAATGAATGAATATGCTTTATTGCACTAATGTACAAAATATAAAAAAACATTTAACATAAGAACGCAAACACAAAAGGTGACCTTATTGCTAAGGTAGCAATCTGTACCACGCAACCTTTGGCTAAATGAAACCATACCATAAGCATAGAAGAAACAGCGGGCTAGTGCATTGTAAATATAAATAAATAAACGTTAATATAATAACATAAAATATAGTAACATTATTACAAGAGTAGTTTTAGTATTAGAAGAAAATTTGCTTCAAATGCGTTAAATTAATAAACATTGATTCTATACCTTTCGAAAAAAATGACACAGTACACAGATACTACATATGAGTATTTTTTTTTTTGCATTTTTTCACGGAGCTTTGTGTTTACTTTTCAACAGTCCACGCGTGACTGTGAATCAAGAAGTACATGAGTGGAGTTCAAGCACTTCTTGATTTGGGACACATTTAAGCTTTCATTCTTCTCTATTATATAAAGGGTTTTCAATATGAGACCCTTGGTCCGTGGGGTCCTAGCGCTATAAGGCTTTTTAAAGAAATAGCGAAAAGATTAGTCGACATCACAGGAGACCGAAGAGCTGGCAGCTACCTCGGACAAAGAATAAGTCTAGCTATCCAAAGGGGGATAGCTGCCAGTATCTTCGGAACCTTGCCTAAAGGGACTCCTTTTAATAATGTATTTTAGTTATTATATTTTATTTTTTAAGGTTTTTAGTTTTAGGTTCATTGTTATAGTATATTTTTTGTTTTAATTATTCTTAAATTTATTCATATTGCACCATATTGTTGTAAATTAAATAATAATTCTTTATCTAGAAATATATATTAATATCAATAACATACTTATATTTCAAACAAAACAAAATGGTAACGTGATTCAGTGAACTAATCCTGCCATCTAGCGTTTTCAATATTGTTGGATTCTAAAATTAAACTCACCCGTTGGGTCTCCGGTCTGCACCATGAACCCTTTAATGACTCTATGGAACACGTGTCCGTTGTAGTATCCGTTGCGGGCGTGGACGCAGAAATTCTCGGCCGATCTGGGAACGTCTTTACCGAAGATACGGACGTGGATGTCGCCCAGTGAAGTGTGCAGGATCGCCTGCTCGTATAGACGTTGGACACCTGATGGAGGGGAAAGAAATTAAATTCAAATGCAATTACTCAATTTTTTTCTAGTAAAGTTTTCTTTAGATTTAAAACATGTAGCAGTTACAACTTATCGAATACTTCGATAAGCATCGAGTTAAATATCTCTATCTTCCCATCAATAGTTGAGGCGTTAAATACCGCATCCCAATCAATACCATTAAGATCAGTCATGAAGCTGATCTCGTCAAAGTTTTTAAAGTTCCGTTGCATGACTACTCGGGGTTTGGGTTTAGGACAACGGATTTTATAGGAAAGGTAAAGGAGATCATGATAGGAGAAGGCTTCAGCAGACAACTGACCATGGGAGCTAACAAGATCGGTGGAGGAGACTATGGCGAGATCTAGCAAGAATGGCTGACAACCAGGAAAGTGATGCGTTGAAGAAGAAGGAAGAATACTGAGATCGGTGGAAACCACAATTGAACACAGTCGTGATGATCGAGAATCGTGTTTCAGCAAGCAGGTGTTAAAATCACCCATAATTATTGTGTGATCAGCTGTTGGTACAAAAGTCTCCAATAAGTTCTCAAATTTTGAAAAATAATCAATGTGGAGGTTGGGGCTATAAAACACCCCGAGAAGTACTTTGAGATGGCCTAGGAGAACCTCTATAAACAAATGTTCGGAAGATACAGAATACTGAGAAGGAGACTTATCGAGAATATTAAAAGGGAGATTATTTTTGAGGTATATTGCAACTCCACCACCACCCTTGCCAGTCCTGTCATTACGGATTAGATGAAATCCAGGAAGGGAGTAAGTAATGGAAGGCAGACAGGGCTTAAGGAACGTTTCTGATACCAGGATAGCATGTATATAAGGTGGACACTAAATCCGCATAGTGTGCGGGAATGCTTTGAGCATTTATGTGCACTATGTTGAAATTTTTCCGAGTAGTTGAGAATATGGACTCGAGCTGTAAATCTAGAGGTTGAGATAAACTATGGAAGCTGCTATCAATTAAAGAGGAAGTGGAAAAAAAGTCGGAGCTGTCGCTCAGTGAATTGTCTGAGTCATTATCCATCTGTAACATAATATGTTATTAAAAATACTATTATATTAAATATTATATGAATCAATACGAATATTACAAAATATATAAATGAATATATATATAAAAAAAACTACGTGTATCGCTACGTTCCACCGGCAGTGTGAAAGAGAATCGCACCAACTACACAAACATAACAACATCAAAGAAGAAACAAGACAAAGATGTAAATAATAACACTTAATAAATTAACTTTAAAGTTTACCATTACTTTATGTCAAGAAAGAAAGAAAAAAAAATCAAGGCAAAATTAAACAATGCCACCCAACCAACAATGCATCTCCGTTTTATTTGACATTGGCTGAATGGACAAATCGTGCTTACCACAAAGAAAAACGCATTTCCGAACGAATAGTATCTGTCACTGTCAGTGAGGTTTGACACATCGGGTTGGCCGAATGACATTGTCACTTTGTTTGATAATGACAAATAGCTGTTGTAAACATTACAAACGGAAAATAAAATTAAAGTTTACCTCACAATCAAAGTTGCACACAAATTATGAGTTAATTAAAAGTTAGTTAATAGTTGTAAAGGTATTCATTTCATATTGTGGATTACCTACAATGCGAAGAGATGGCGCTGCCTTGCAGCTTAAGAAAGGCTATTAAGGCTTATGAGTTACTAGAGCAGCAGATAGAATACATATCATCATCATCATCAGCCTATTAATGTCCCCACTGCTGGGGCACAGGCCTTCCCTATGGATGGAATAGGGAGATTGGGCCATGACCCAACACGCGGGCCGAGTGCGGATTGGTGGGTGCTAACGACTACAGATGCAGCCGGGACTAACGGCTTAACGTGCCTTCCGAAGCACCGAGGAGCTCGAGATAGTAATTTTTGCTCGCCCATCCAATGACCGACCACTGCGAAAGTTGCTTAAGTTCAACGATCGCAGCCGAACACGCTAACTACTTGCGCCATCGAGCTCCTTAAGTAATGAATAAATATATATTTATATACAAATACATATTAAATATCCATGACCGGAATACAAATGCTCGTATTAATCACACAAACATCTACTCCCGCCTGGAATTCGAACCCGGGAGGGACCTCTCGAGTAGGAGACACCTTGAAAACCAGCGTACTAACCACTCGACCAGGTCGAAAGTCGACAATTACGCTATCGATTCGCAAATGTCCCGAGGCCTGAGGCCCAAGCAGTAATTATGACAGCTCCGTAATTGTATAGCATCGTCAAGTTTCTATGAAAACTAAGCAATGCCCCCTATCGGACGTAAAAACAAACTAGCTTTTGCCATACAAAATTTGACGATGACGAGACGATACGTTACGGAGCTATCAAAAGTTCGTTTTTGGGCCTCTAGTACCGAGAAGAACCGACATAAAATCTAACAGGCTGCTATTTTTCCGTTACCTACTACCTCATACAGTGTGGTCCATGTGGCAGTGTACTCGGACTTTACTTTTTTTTATAACTATTTTTTTTATTTTTTCTATTGCCATCGTAAAGAAAGAGGCAGCAACAACTTTAGTCAAACTTAAAACTTGAATTTTTATCAAAATTTCTAAATAATAATATGAACATTAATGTTAATCCTGGTTATGTTTTGTGTTCTTTATTTTTTTTATTTTAGTTTTGTAATTGCACACCCTTATTTAATTAAATTTCATTATTATCCATTCTATAGTTGTCTGGAAGAAATTACTAAATAGCCATAAGACCGCCAATTGTCCACCTCTTTAAATTATTCTCCTAACTTTGTACTATATAATGTGAGCACATTTTAACACAAAGAATTATTATCTATCTAAAACTAAATTGAATTAACTGAGTATGGCCATACTAAAGACTGTAATAGACCATCCTAAATGGCAATTGTGAAGTTAGCAGCGAGCGCAACAACACGAGTTTCTGGTCAGTGCAACGAATTATTTTAATTAATTATATGGAATACGAACTGCGTTAAAAAGTGGTTCCACGCAAACCGCGATCAAGTGGGCGGGGCAAAAACACCGCGATCATCAAGCCGATCATGGGATCATCAATGGGATTAGTTGGGATTTCCGTTTAACATTATCATACCCAATGAATGGATAGCCGAATTAATTAGCAGATATTTGTCAACGTATATAGTTTAGTCTGTGTGCGTGTTGCGTTAGTATTGAAGTTTAGTTGTATGAGTATGGAACCATGTTTTAGCAGCCTTTGTTAGAGAGTAATGCTTCCATATCATTTCTAATTCGTTGGGTCAGTGAAATTCCGTGTGCGTGTTAATGAAGTTAAGGATAGGCATCCTTACCTTCATTTACAGACAGTCCTCGACTTACGTCATTTCGATTTACGTCATTTCAAGTTACGTCGAACAATATTTTGACACTATTGCTCAAGTCAAACACCATCAACTGTTTCGATTTCCGGCATAGGAGAATTCACTTCTCGCGAGGTCAATGTCCGTGGGGCCGGCGCACAGTGGGTGAAAAAAAGAGGTCCTCTTTCATAGGATTTTTGAAAAAATAAAAATGTTTATTATCCGTTTAAGGTATGCGGTTTTATTGGACATATCAGTACATTGAATAATAAAATAGTTTGGGGAATTTCCTTACCCATACAGCACGGGCTTTAGAGTTTCAAATGTATGAAAACGGAATTTGTTTTGCTCATAACTTGTATCGGTCTTCTACGGTCAAGCTGAAACTTATAGGGATTATTACCGGGTCTGTTACGAAGCCATGTGACCTTTGACCTTCACCCCGGACGGCCCCGTTCAAAAGATAGAATTTTTCAAAATGCTTATTAGGGTAATTTTGCTTTACGGGGTTATGTGTCTCAATAAACAGTTTGTTTATGTTTCTTGCCCAGCATTTAGTTATTAATATAACACAGATTATTATCTAATAAAACTACACAGTAGATAACGCCACCATACAACTTAACTTTAAATAAAAGCGTCCTAATTCAAAAGATATGGAATTAATATAAATAGATAAAAGAAATAGTTTTAAGAAAAAGAAAACAAGAATACAATATTGTAAAGAATTACAATGAAGTCGTTTACAGCCTACAATTTAATCTTTTGTTTGACAATCGCTTAAAAGCCGCGCGCCATTAACGAGAGCATCATTACATATAAACAATACAAACTCTATTGTTGCAGGTTTTGAGGAATTCAAAGGGTTACCCACAGTCATTACCTGCCGTTGTTTGCCTATAATAATTAATTTTGTCAAACAAACATACTTACACTTACAATGTCTATCTAAGAAAGGGTTTGATCAAATATGTTTATTTTGGGATACCTAGAACTTTAACTGACTAAGCTTAAAATGAACAAAGTGTTTTTCCAGATAAACTAGCTGGTTATTAATATTAGTAAATGTAGTAAGGGAGATTCTGATATGTTACTGCCAAACGAGAAAATAAACTATTTACATTATGAATAAAACAAAATTATTAACATCAATATTTTTATTTACAAAACTTAAATTACTAACTAAGCTTGATATCATAAATTAAATAATGCATAATAAGGAAGCCACAACTGTATAAATTACTACACACATACAAGCTAAAGTATAAAAGATTAGTAGAACTCAAATTGGCTACAACAGTTCTTAAATATGTAAACTGTTTATATTAATATGATACAAAGATACAAAAAAATAAAAATACAAAGTTTGATATAATTTGATTTGAGGGAAAGAACACATACTAATCAAAGTCATAATCAGATACATTACCTACATCTACAAACTCTATATTTTCCTTATCTTCACAAGAAGTTAATAATAATGATTTAGCTTCATTTGTGAGAGGTTTATTTCGTTGACATATTTTAGGCCTGAAACTTGATAGGTATGGGCCAGACGATATTTACAAATTATTGATAATATCTTCATTTGTTGCAATCCTGCTAGATTTACGCGAGTGGAAGGTTCTGAAGTTTTTAAAATCTTTGTTACGAGCTTCAGAGGCCTCTTCAGAGAGCTTGCCGATTGGTATAAAGTTATTGTGCTCTATTATATCGGCACCATGAATGAGTAATTTATGCACGCTTGAGGGCATATAATACCATTCATAGAGCTCGACATATTTGCGTGCTGTAGCAGCACAATATTGGCGGAATTTTTGCACGTCCACAAACTCTCCACATGAGATAGCCTGAAGAATCACTCCAAATCTTCTAACGAGTTCTTCATCAACACCCGTTATTTGAGCAGTAATTTGAGGATTAACAAACAATCTTCTTGCTGTGTTTCCATCGTTGCTTGTACCAGCCCCTTGTTTAACAACGTCCACAAGTAGCCCCGTTTCAGTCCGGAATTGTTCTTGAATAGCCTTTTTTCTTTGGCTTAACTGTTGCTTCAAATCTTCGCCCTTAGCTTGCCATTTCTTGAAGTCGAGACGGTTAGCAATATGTAAGATACATTCCATGCATCTAATTCGTGCATGGAGGGAAGACAGACCGAACTTAAACATGTCTACAGACTGGGTTCTCTGAGTAACCTTGTCGATATCATTCATTTCTTTTGGTTTTGCTTTACATATATCGCATGTAGCTGTGGATGTATCTGATAAATGTGAAGTTATTTTACCATCAATCATCGTCATATGCAGAACGTGTTTTACATTTGCACCATCGATAACAGTTGGATGTAGAGCAGCAATTTCCGTATCAATTGAAGTCATTTCTTCTTTAACGTTCAAATCGTTCTCTTTAGCAAACTTAAAATAAATGGGTCGACAGTAAAACGTTGAAGACGCTTTGGGGTTTTCCCATATTATTTCATCAGTACCATCTCTCACCAGTTTTAACGGCACAAATGAACACATGAAGATGCTTGAATCATCGCCGTCAATTTTTTGTTGGTAGTTGCTTTGCCCAGATGCACCGTCAAACCCCCATTTACTGATAAGAGTCGAATTACTGCCAGTTAAATCAGTTTCCAGAGTTTTTAATAGTCTCTTGACCGTAATATCTAAAATAGACTGAAGTTTAAGTTTAACTTCAGTCTCAGTTATTACCATGTCTTCTTTTTCAACGTAGCACTCCTTCTTCTCTTGCTTCAAAGCATCATACGATGGAAGTATATCACACCCCATGTCTCTCATTGTCTGCCTCAATGTAATATACTGCCATTTCGATAATTTCAGTGATGTTGAAATACCGAGTGCCTTATCGGTATGACAAGTTCGTTTCGTCGATTTCAGGCAGGCTCGCAGCATTGGCGCATCTTCAGGCTTTTTAATCAAATGCTTCACTAATTCTACAAAGTCCGTTTGGTTTTCATTTTCCGCTTTCCTAGCCAGGGCATAAGCAAGTGTCTCAAAATCGTTTTCGGCAATGAGATTTTCAGTTCTTCTTCTTTTTTGCAGTGGACTCAAATTGGCAAATTCTTTTCGAGGACTAAATGTAGCGGTTGATGTCGACACAGCCACACTATGAGGAACAGTGCATTCCGTTGATAAACTAGGTCTTGTTACTGTTGAAATACTTGTTGAAGGATCTTCAAAACTCGTCATAATATTTGATTGTTCTTCAGTTATGTCTAGTGAAACAAACTCTGGCCATTTTATTTCTTGGTCCAACCAGTCAGCAAACTTCTTTATAAAATTCCCTTGTGTGTAATTAGCTGACTTCCATTTGCGTTTAAGATTACTCGTATATGTAGCACAAAACGTTTTAAGAGTTGTCTTTTGTTCTTCAGATAATGAAAATCTCACTGAATCGAGTACTTTTTGAAATAACATGTCGGCACTAAAAGATTTTTGCCTCATATATATATATACGTCGAGATTAGACACAAGCCCTTCCATTCTGAGCAACTTAAAATTTGAGCAAAGAGAACGTTACGGTACGAATCAATAATGATAAGTGAAATGAAATACAGGTGTACTCCGTATTTATTATAATCGAAGTCATTGTTGAATAATAATAATAACAACGTATTATTTATTCACCTACCCACAATAAAAGCAAATAATCAGTAATTATTATAGGCAAACAACGGCAGGTAATGACTGTGGGTAACCCTTTGAATTCCTCAAAACCTGCAACAATAGAGTTTGTATTGTTTATATGTAATGATGCTCTCGTTAATGGCGCGCGGCTTTTAAGCGATTGTCAAACAAAAGATTAAATTGTAGGCTGTAAACGACTTCATTGTAATTCTTTACAATATTGTATTCTTGTTTTCTTTTTCTTAAAACTATTTCTTTTATCTATTTATATTAATTCCATATCTTTTGAATAAGGACGCTTTTATTTAAAGTTAAGTTGTATGGTGTCGTTATCTATATATATATGTATAGTTTTATTAGATAATAATCCTAAATGCTGGGCAAGAAACATAAACAAACTGTTTATTGAGACACATAACCCCGTAAAGCAAAATTACCCTAATAAGCATTTTGAAAAATTCGTATCTTTTGAACGGGGCCGTCCGGGGTGAAGGTCAAAGGTCACATGGCTTCGTAACAGACCCGGTAATAATCCCTATTAGTTTCAGCTTGACCGTAGAAGACCGAGACAAGTTATGAGCAAAACAAATTCCGTTTTCATACATTTGAAACTCTAAAGCCAGTGCTTTATGGTGTTACATTAAAAGGAAATTCCCCAAACTATTTTATTATTCAATGTACTGATATGTCCAATAAAACCGCATACCTTAAACGGATAATATACATTTTTATTTTTTCAAAAATCCTATGAAAGGGGACCTCTTTTTTTCACCCACTGTGCGGCGTCCGTGGGGATGTCTCGACTTACGTCGTTTCGATTCACGTCGCGTATTTCGAGAACCTAATATGCCGTAAGTACGACGACTGCCTGTATTTTCGTTTTGTGCCAACTTCACAGCACTTCTTGGCGTGAAGTTTGAATCGCCTACCTTGTCCTTCTGTAGCAGAAATAATGTCTTCTTTAGAAGGTTTCTCGTTGAATATGTCCCGGTCTGCGTCCGGACTCTTGATATCGTCGGGGCTGCGCCGTGAGAACATATAGAACCGGTTCTTCTTGTAAGCCGTGCAGAAAAGTGTGGGGTCAGTTTTCACGTTTAGAAGTGCGGGATTCTCCGAGCCTTCCATTTCTAGAGTGGACGCCACTTTCGATTGGTTAGTTCGACCCTGTAAACAATGATAAATACAAATAAATAAATATTTTTAACACACACCAATGAGCCTACGCCAAAACTGAGCTCATGAAGACTGCGTGTCTACCAGAAACGTGCATGAATGCGAAGCGAGGGATGAGTTTGTACAGAACCAATAGGATCGCCTCATTTAAGTCGTCCCGATCAGCACCGCTCTAGTGGAAACGGCTTAGTAGAGGTTTTTTGTACATACAAAACAAGCAAGGAATTTGTACCAGGAATATATGTAGTAGAGATGTGAGCGACGAATGTGTGATCTAACGAAATTTGGTTATTTTTATCTCTGCTATGAAGGCCCTTCACTTGTGCTTATAAAAGCCTGGACTAAACAAATGATTTTTGATTTTGACTTCTGGGGGCCACAGCCTTATGTGCCTTAAATCCGGCTCTATAAGGATGATAAATAACCCGCTATAAATCCTCGCATCTCCCAGCTGCGCAACGTTTCACAGCTTCGCTACACATCTTTGCCCGCTAATCTTCCTACCACATCTCTGGTGGAAACGCAGTCAGGCTTGTGTATGAGATATAAGGGTTATGCCTACACTCCACTTGTTTAACGTGTTTGCTATTAGTAAAATTGACATCAGTCTGTAATAAGGTAAAAAAAAATTAAAGGTTAAAGATAATGAGATGGTTAAGCCAAGCTGGAGGTGATGGCAGGCTGGTGGTTGCCTAACTTGGTGCATCGACTCCCTATTGTGTAAGGTCAACGGGCGCCCGGAAGTCGGTCACAACCCCAGGTTATGACCAGAATAGCTTCAGGGGAACATCGAATCTCTAATCGCAAGGCCTGTTTTGACATAGGTGATAATGAAACGTCCTTTCCTCTTCTTTGCAAAATGGCATGTCATATAGACTTAATTTAAATCGAGAAGGTCATCTGCAATCGTAGCTCCTTGTTGAATATATTTAGGGGCCATTGGCTCCCTTCTTACTTTAATTATTTTCGTATAATTATAATAAAATACTTTATGTAATGTTTTACATTATATTATGGGCGACTGTTCACCTTCTATCCACATCGAAAAATGTTGCCAGCGTTCAGTGTTCTCGCACATAAAGAATTGTTATTTAAATTTAGAAAATATTATATTAACAATTATATTTTTTTTAGACTTATTTTTCTTTTATTGTTAAGACATAAATAGAGAAAACCCTCAAGTGACGGATGTCAAATCTTTACATATTTATTTATTGAAGTCATGGCGTAGAAACGACTTTACACTATCCCTTTCATTCCTTATAAAGCATGACCAAGACAGACTGTTGTCAGGTTTACAAATAGAAAAAACGTATAGCCAAGTTTAGTGCCAGCATAACAGATAAAAACATTTTATAGATTCTAATCAAAATCTATTTTTCTTTATACAAATTGAAAATTCACAACCACCATAAAAGATAAAGTATAAACCGTACTTTATTTTTTTTATTTCTTAAGCATGTAACTGCTTCATGTTTAAATCTAAAGAAAATATTGCTTGAAAAAAATCCCGGAAAGCGAAGGGTGCGGGTTCGAGTCCCGTCTGCTGCCTAGTCCGCGTGGAATTTTTTCTAGTAAAATTTTCTTTATAAATCGTTTTTTACCTGGAACAGCGCTAGATGCAGCGGCCGCAAGTTCTCCGGCTTGCCGAGCATTCCGACGCATCGGTTGGTGACGAGGTTGACTAACTTCACGCCTAACATGGTGGCATACACAACAAAGTGCCCGCTCTCGTCGAACAATACGTTGGCGAAATGCACCGCGTCCGATTTCTCTAGGTCGCGTTCCGCTGCCATTCTGTTGACGTACACGATTTATAGTGTGAATCTTATTATTCAATGAAATGTACCTGTGCTCGTACGACGGCTTATGAACTGTATTAGGACACTTCTGAAGAATTCTTGTTTGAAAATCATAGCACAACGAAAACGCATCATAGTACAGTCAATCTGTCGCAAAAAAAACGTTTCAGTGAAAAAAAAACCTAAAGGGTAAGTCTTGTTTTTTCTGTTGCCAAATGACGTCAGTAAGCCACCTTGGTGATGGGCATGTTCAACTCGTAGGCGTTTTTTGAAAATCTCAAAACAAGCCTCAAAAATTTTTTGAAACGCATTTTTCTTGTTTTGTATGCATTTTAGAAACTCTTTTTTCGACCATAATTGTAGAGGGCGCTGAGTACTACAATTTATGTCATTGTTGCAATCTCGTACAACAAAAAATGCGCATTGTAGGTGGCGCTAGTCTCAAAAAAGTGGTTTTTCACTTTTTCACCCCGAAAATATCATTTTAATAGAAAACTTTAAATGGAAAAGTTGTTCCGTACATAATTACCAACAACTTTTGTAAAAACAATTTTTTTTTTGTAGTACTTACCGTTTTCAAGTTATAAATTGCGCAGGTATGAAAAATCCAATAGAGCGGTTTTTGGGCAGGCACATTTTAATGTACGTTTTTACTATTTTATTATTTTTTTTTTTTCAATCATGAAAAATAAGTAAAAAATAGTAAAACATACATTGAAATGTGCACTGCAAATGTGTACTCTATTGGATTTTTCATATCTGCGCAATTTATAACTTGAAAACGGTAAGTAAAACAAAAAAAATGTTTATACAAAAGTTGTTGGTAATTATGTACGGAACAACTTTTCCATTTAAAGTTTTCCATTAAAATGATATTTTCAGGGTGAAAAAGTGAAAAAACACTTTTTTTGCGACTTTAGCGCCACCTACAATGCGCATTTTTTGTTGTACGAGATTGCAACAATGACATAAATTGTAGTACTCAACGCCCTCTACAATTATCGTCGAAAAAAAGTTTCTAAAATGCATACAGAACAAGAAAAATGCGTTTCAAAAAATTTTTGAGGGTTTTTTTGTTTTTCAAAAAACGCCTACGAGTTGAACATGCCCATCGCCAAGGTGGCTTACTGACGTCATTTGGCAACAGAAAAAACAAGACTTACCCTTTAGGTTTTTTTTCACCACTCATCCTACAGATTGACTGTACTATCATTGCATCTTAAAATCGTCGCCAATGAGGGTGTTTATGAAAATTTACGTCACCAGTTGACGCCACTGTGACGTGAGGTCTTTTGTATGAAGTTTTTGGTGCGAACTCCATAGACCAGATCCACAGACTATGAGAACATATGCGATTTGACGGATGAGTCTCATAACTGCCACCTGGTGCCCAACATTCCAGAAAACCCTCATTAGGAAGACAGCTAAAGAGCCCGAAAAGTAAAAAAATGTGCTTATACGTATTCAAATAGTTTGACTGTATATGTTTTATTGTATAATATGTATTATTAAGTGTCGCCGCACACGGGCCACACGCCAAAGCCACAAACGCCGCCACGAGAAGCTAGAAGCGGTTACTAAAGTGGCTGAAGCACGCGACAACGGCTGACTAAGGTAAGGGAGAGAGGGGTGGAGAATCGCGCGAGTGACGTGTGGCGGCGTTTTGTATCGGCGCATTAAGTGGCCGGTGCGGGCCACAAGAAGCGAGCAACGACGATTTGTAGCGTGTGGCGGCCACCGGCGTACCGTGTGTGGCAAGTCCGTATAAAAAGTATGAAAACTACAAGAAATATGCCGTTGGCGGCGTTTTGTGGTTGTGGTCGGTGGCCCGTGAGCGGCGACACTAAGTGTTCAGTGTATGAAAACACAAGAAATAAACAAGTAACAAAGACAGTACAGTAAGTTAAAAAAGACAGTACAGATGATTAACCGTTAGACAAATCAGTACCTACATATTTTTAAAACACCAAGCGAAAATACTTCAAGTTAGCCATTATCAGACTTACCTCCTGCCGAACTCCATGTTAGGCAGCTGCTGAGTCTGGTGCTGCAGCTCCTGGAAGCGTTGCAGACTCTCGTCCAGAACCTTGTGGAGTTTGCCTGACAGGAAGTGGAACACACGCACCTATTACATCAGCAGACAGAAATTTCTAACATATTAACACACACTAGTTTTTCACGTTAATTCCTTCTCCAATTTAAGACACAACAAAACAAATTTAAGTATTGCAAAGATTTTCTGTTACTTGAGCTTCTATTACTTTAATAAAATCCATACTATATATTATAAATTATTTTACTAATAAAGAAAACTCTTGTCTGTGCTACGTTTTTGCCACTAAACTATTTCAATACTTAAAGTAATATGGGTGGAATATATTGAATGAGAAATTGTTTATGTTAGTAGCTGAATTCTACATGAATTCAGCTACTAAAATGCCACAAGTTCAATAATAAAGTAACTCCAAAAAAATAACCTCCCTTTCATAACTGTAAGTTATATAAAAATTTAAACATTTTATGTTATAAGATAAAAAAAAATGTATACAATGCTTTATGTTATTAAATATTTCTATAAGTTCATCACCTTTCTATCCAATGCAATTGAAGCCATCTTCTTTCCATCAGGGGAGAAAGCGAGAGCTGTGGGATATGTCTTGTTCTTCACAAAATCAAACAAATCTGTGTCCAGTTTAGATTCAAAATTAACATTTCTCGGAAACTTGTATTCGTGTTTAGGACCAGTCCAGTATTCTATGATGCCAGCCTTATCTACAGAAACTGCTGTCTCAAAAACCGGATTATATTTTATGGTGGAGACTGTACTTTGGTGCATGGTCTCGAATGTATGTAATGGTGTGCCTGACACTTGGGTCCCATCAAACACATGTATTCGGTTGCTACCTTTTTCTGATCTGAAAAAGAAATTTTTACTTCATAATACACTGAAGCTTGAAAGATGAATCTGATGAAATGATCTGAAATTAGGAAAGTATACACCACAACAAGCTTCTTATGCAAAGTCCATAGACAAGGAAGCTTGCACAGTAGCAATTTTACATACAAAAAATCTACAAGTTTATTTGTCTGTGGTTTTGCAGCTAACTATACCCTTAACAATCAATGAAAGGTAACTTACATAGCTAATGCTGATATAGGATCTCCTGCCGAGTGAACCCATTCTGTGCAGTATGGTTCAAACTGTATTGTTAACATGTTGATCATGTCTACAAAACAAAATATGAAAGTAAATTAATTATTATATGTTGCACTTACACCTAAGTAAGCACTGTATGGCTTGTATTGCTAGTATCCCACTATGGTAACACATAGGAAATTGTTAAGTATATACTGGTGTTGATTCTGGCAGGGTTCCCTACACCTAAAACTAAATTTAACGTCAGTCTCTCCTTTTCATTCTGTAAAGAGAATAACAGGGATATATTCTTGTCAAATTAAAGTTTAGGTTTAGAGAATCATCAGAATCAACACCACTAACCTTTTGTAAGAATAAATATTTACTCAGGCATGTGTCAAGTACAAATAATCATTTTCATTAAACAAACTTTAGCCCCTATTCAAATGAAAGGCCTCTAAGTAGGTAACACATAAAAACTGTTGTACATAACATTTAACGAGGATAGTCGTGGCCTAGATTAAATAAAGTTTATAACAGTCTTAATAGTGTACACTTACCAAAATTAACAACATCAAACACTTTAATAGTTTTTTCCGGTGATGCAGTACACAACAAAGTTCCGGTGCTATTGGCAGACATGTGGCTAATTGGTGCCAGGTGGCATCTGAAGTGTTTCACAAATTCTATACCTTCTTCCTGAAGAAAATAAAATCTATATTCCATTAAGGTGTCTATGACTGTATCTGCCTTATTACAAAACATTGTCAAAAGTTAAGCCTTGTCTAAAACTGATGCTGTCATTTTTGTTTACTAAAAAAAAGAGACAGCATTACGTGTAAACCAAGACTAACTTTAGCCCACATTTTAGAACAAGGCGCTACAAGGCCTTACCAAAGTATTAACTACTCATAAAATAATGGCACAATTACACTCAATCGTTAGCCCGAAAACGAGTGCCAATGCAAGCTGAGTTCACCCGTATTCCGGAAGATTTCCTTATTTACCAGACATGGTCTTCCAGCCCATATTGTGCCCGAATTCAAGGAATGTCTTTTGTGCACACGAATATGGGCTAAAGAACAATGTAACTGTGGCATTAGTCTTATGGTATTTACCTGTTTCTTCCAAAACTTAAGATGTCCATCCTGGCTTCCAGTAATAATAAAATCTGTTTTTGTCACAATAATATGAGTAACTACATCCCGATGCATGTAGCTACGTTCGTAGGTTTCCGATGATGGTAAGTTTTCAATGTACAGAGATTCAAACTCCAAAACTAAAATAAATAGAAAATGATAAAAGAGTATGGGAATCACTAAGCCTATTGGATGAAAGTAAATATACCCATGAAACTAATAATTTAAAACAATCACTAAAGCTAACCTTTACGTTTTTTAGGTTTTTGTTTTGCTGCCTCGGAAGGCATTGGACCGATCCAACCATCACCCTCATCAGCTTCCGAATTATCTGCACTACATGGTCGCTTCTCAGCTGACATCTTTGTTTCTGCCTAATTAAATACAAATTATCACAAATGTAATTGAACAACAAACAAACAAACCCACCACCTTCGCACCACCGCCAAAACATTCACCCCAACTTCCAACTAATGTCAATGTCACACTTTTTTTAATTCACCCATTTATTGCCAAGGGAAATTTAACGGGCTCCACACTCTCGAATAGACTAGTTGACCCTTTTTGGAAAAAGGTTTTAAATGATGAATAAATGTTCTATTAGACCGAAAAAAATGTATTATATTTTTTTGAGACCTAGACAGCTACAAATCTTTAATTTTCAAATAGACTTTTCATGGACATGCAAAAACGTTGTCGGCCATTTTAGTCTATAGATTATCTATGCTATGACGTCAACCGTTAGTAAACAAAAACTCGTAAGCACGTAGAAAATAATCTTATTTTATATTAAAAATAACATTATTTCCAATATATACCACGAAAAATATAGTAATTTTCATTATTGTATTGTATGAGGATGTAAAAACATATCCTTGAAGACTCTAGCAAAGAAGTGGATTAAAGTGCCGAAAGAAATTAACCTACGCAATGATGTCGATTCTGGCATGATTCTCTAAAGCTAAACTTAAATTTGACAACAGTGCATCCTTGTCCTTCTCTATACAGAAGGAAAGGGTGAGGCTGACCTTAAATTTAGTTTTAAGTATAGAAAATCACGCCAGAATTGACACCAATACCTTGTTAGAACTTGCTAAAAGGGATCCTGCAACTTTATCGACTCATAGTAAAATTTATTTTTGCGAAGATCACTTTGATGTAAGTACTCATTGTATTATGTATGTACGCATGCATGTACTATAACAATGAACAAGATGAATATTAAAATTCTTACGTTACATATCTTTCAGTTGGAAAACGACATGGAAAATTATATGCAGTACAAATTAACAGTAATACGCGAATGAAACTTAGTTGTTTACTACCAAAGAGACGTCACAATCATGGCGGATGTGGTGAACAGCCTTTTTAGTGTTAAAAAGTATAGAGTAAAAATTATTTTTTTAAATTAAATTTCTACAGCAATCTTCTGCTTTTATGACGTGAAATCGATATATTAAGGTTCCTTACACTAAATACTTTAAGAAATAAACATTTATTTAATCCAATTCGACATGAGTTAATAAGCCTATTTCTCGAGGAAGAGCATTCACAAGAGCACACGACATATGTGTCCATCATGCTAGCGTACACCTTAAGAAAGTCAAGGTACTGCGTCAATAGTGGTAGTTTTCCAATTACAGAGCATAATGGGACTCAGTGGCGCACAATGCTTTTGCAATTTTAATGCATGTCAGAATCGACACCATTACAGTAATTAATGTTATTAACAGGATTGCTACCATATAACTTGCTTTTTTCGAGTCCATTGTACCCCGAAACCCCAATACAATATTACGTTCTTATTATGTGCTGTTATATCATCATCATCATCATCATCAGCCTATTAATGTCCCCACTGCTGGGGCACAGGCCTTCCCTATGGATGGAATAGAGAGATTGGGCCATGACCCACCAGGCGGGCCCAGTGCGGATTGGTGGGTGCTAACGACTGCAGATGCAGCCGGGACCAACGGCTTAACGTGCCTTCCGAAGCACGGAGGAGCTCGAGATAGTAATTTTTGGTCACCCATCCAATGACCGACCACTGCGAAAGTTGCTTAAATTCAACGATCGCAGCCGAACGCGCTAACCACTTGCGCCATCGAGCTCCTCAAATCAAATAATTATATCACCTAGAGTATTTATAGCTGTGCTTCAAAGTATAATGAAAACCTTAAACTGGGAAAAGAAAGGAATTATTAATATAAATGGAAAACTTCTCAGTAATATGCGGTTCACTGATGACATCATACTTTTCTCTGACACAGCACCACAATTACAAGGAATGATCAATGAACTGAATGATGTGAGCATTACGATCGGTTTAGGACTAAATGCTTCCAAGACTAAAGTCATGACAAACAGTCATACTATACCAATAAAGGTCAATAGCAATGCATTAGAATATGTTCAAAGTTATATCTACCTCGGACAACAAGTATCGTTCTCTAAGACAAGACACGAAGATGAGGTTAAAAGACGAATTAACATGATGTGGAATAAATTCTGGAGCAATAAAGAAACCCTAAAACCTAAACTCCCAATAAAACTTAAGAAAAAAATGATGGACTCATGTTTACTACCCTGTCTTACATATGGCTGCCAAACATGGATATACAATAAAAACTATAATTTCTGCTCGTGTGCCCCCTATAACATAAAAAAAAACACCAAAAATAACATACAAGTATGCCAGAGAGCTATGGAGAGGAGTATACTGAACATACAACGAAAATGCATGAAACTTTATTTATTTATTGACTTTTCGTAGCCTTTACAGGCTACTAAAAAAAAATTTGATTCCGACGACGTAGCCTGTAAAGGCTACGAAACGTCAATAAATAAATAAAGTTTCGTGCATTAACCCGTAAAAAACTAATTTTATTTAATGAGTGATGTGCGTGAAAACCTAAGAAACAAATATACAACGTAGAAATAAAAAAAGAAACACAGAAATAAGAAAAACTACAAAAATAATAGATGCTTTGGAACATTCTCTAAAACTAAAATGGAAATGGGCGGTCACATTGCACGAATGGATAGGGAAAAATGGACACACAGAGTGACTACTTGGCAAGGACCTACAAATAAAAGGCAAAGAGGTAGACCGAGAGAAAAATGGGTCAATGAAGTAATAAGAAAGGCTGGTGAAAATTGGACTACAAAAGCAAAGGACAGACAGACGTGGAGCAAAATGGAGGAGGCCTTTACTCGTTGAGGGGCCATAATGACATGCATTAATAATTACTTTGACATTCAATTATCATTTGGAATTTGATTTTTATTATTATTATTATTACTTGACAATTGTATGAAATGAAAATTTTAAAATGCTAATTGTAATCTAATTTGTGGTATTAATTGTTTTTATATTTTATTATTTCATGCATGTACTTATGAATAATTCTATGATATTTATTACTTGTTCATTATGGAAATAAAGAGGCTATATTATTATATTATTATTATTATGTGCTGCCTGTGCCATCTCCATTTCTATATGCTCTAAACATGGAGCCCTTCCGAAATATCGAAATATCCCTTAAAATAGGGTACAGTACCATTGGTTACTCTGTCTACGAGTAGCTTTGCTTTATACTCTGTATCCAAGAAACAAGGAAAAAGAATGCTCCGACATGATTGGATGAAAATTATACGCTTTGATGATTGGTTAATGCAACGTAGCTTCTTATTTTCGATTGGTTCGTTTTTGGACACCATAGATAAAATTTAAATCACATATTTCATAGTAATTATTTGATTTGAATTTATGTATCCTGAACAAATTACTGTAGTTTCAAATGTTATCTCCAAAATAGATTTTGGATATTGCACAATAGGATATCCGAGAGAAATTCAACAAATTCAGATCTACCAATAATTTTTAAATTTTCCCACCCTAAGAATAGTCACGTCACGTATAAACTTTTTAATTATTCGTGTCTATGCTCAATATATCTTTTACGAATTCGTAGTGATGGTGGCTGGCTTCTTTGCAAACCAAGCGTCATAAATTACTGCATATTTCTTACTTTTGCTTAAATTTTGATCGTCCAGCGATCAAATTAACAGTGACTTGAGTGCTCAAAAAGTTTCACAACTAATCGGTAAGTGTACAGTGCCAAATTCATTCTGAATCCGCGCGCTACCGGTGCCCCTACACGTGGTTTACTCACTATACCGCGTACATACATCGCGGAGTATGTTTCCCTTTATTCAAGGGCTATTACGACGACGACTAGCAATTGCACGTTCGCATCAAGTGAAATCCTATTAATTTTAATTTAACGCCATCGATTTAGGTTGTTTGTTGAATATGGTTAGTTTGACAAGCAGTGGGTCATCTCTGTCACAAGCTGTTGAGGTAATTTTTTGTAAAATATTTTACAGTTCTTCCCTCTTTACGATCTTACAGAGAAATTCGAAGATTATACTGTAAATGGTTATTTATCACCTAGTAGACTGCATAGTTCAAACAATTTCATAAGCCATACAAGTGTGTTTTCTCTTTTTGCTCATGTTCAATGAGAGACAATGACGCATCGCTTTACTATGAATATGAACTGTGCAATGTGAAAGTTTAATAATTACTCATTATTAAGTGTAGGTAAGATCTTTTGTTTACTTTCTGATGGTAATCCTTTTACAGGATTAGTAAAAGCTGATAGATTGTGCTTGTTAGGATAGTTACATCTCAAACCCAAATTAAACAAACAGTGCAAACTTCCTAAAACATCTTAAACATGTAAAGTAAAAGCCAGAACTAGAATGCAAATTGCAGTTTCATTAAACACCTTATTCATGAATCAATATTAACATGTGATATTCCGCTAAGTGTAAAAATTTATTTACCTAATTTGATAAAAGAATATGCTATTCATAATATCAGAAATCCAAGATTTAGCTGATTGAAGTGGTTTCATGATTAATAAAACATGTTTCAAATATATAGATTCTTCTGTAGAACACATTTAGCATTTTGTCCAACATGGCTATATACAAATTAATCAGATTTTTAAAATGATCCTGTCCTCGAGCTAACTGTTTGTAAAAAATGGAACAAACTCTCACTTTATATTGTTTTAAACTTTCATGGTCACTAACATTATAGCTATTAATGGGATTGTTACCATGTACCTTGTTTTTTATGAGTCTCCGATATTTCGGCACTGCAAGTGCCATGATGAATGTAATGAAACTCTCACTTGCATAATATTCAACGTGAATGAGAGCATGTTGAAAAAACATATTATATGACTTCATTTTAGGTGTTTGTGCCTTAACTCGCACCATCCATCCTTTTTTTATACCTACTATTCTGTGTACTCAATCTGTGAAACTGTAAAATGGATCACAATCATCAGCACTGAGGGACTGACTACCTTCTACATTCTCTTGATCCCTTGTAGAATTGAACAGGAATCAAATATTATAGATAGAAGCACATTTGAGATTAGTTACTAATAATTTTCTTTTACTAATTAAATACTTTTTTATGTTTAATAGTAATAGTTTTTGTGTTACTTAGTTTGGTCTTTTACTTTTCAATAACTACTACTCGTTACATGATCAGCGAAGACCAGTGTTGTAGTTGATGACTGCAGCATGTGCTGAGAGGGACCGTTTCAGTCCATGTTTATTCACTACTTCTTACTGTAATTATACCTATTATATTTAAGAGTAGAATGCTGAATAAATAATATTTGAATTGACATATCCCAGTAAGCAATTATCATCTAATATAAAAATATGTGTAATGATTAATTGTAATTATCTGCTGTCCAAGAACTCTAATTAAAGGATTTGTTTTAAGAAAAAAAAATATAGAACTTTTACTCAAACATAGTACAAATAGATAATCTTCTATGATTGTGTCAAGGTGGTGTCAGTAGATTTATAAATGAAAATATTTAAATAATCCTCAAAAAGATAGTAAACAATTACCAATAATATACAATTGCAAACCTATTGGTTAGGTTAGCTTGGCAGATGTATTTTTTTGGTGACCATTTAGGTATACATGTGCCATTTTTAGACCATGACCAAATAGAATTATGTTTTTATAAAAATGTAAATTTAGTTTAATGTCTTTAAGTTTATGAACAGCTGTGATATTTTTATATATAAATTATTTTATACTAATATTTTGGTAAGCAGTCAAAACATTTGATTTTTAAAGCTAATGTGCTTGCAGTACTCACATTCTAATTGTATCTTGACTTTTATAAAAACTTCACATTTAAATACAATTACATTATTATTTTAGCATTAAACTACTAGATTTATAAATCTAAAAAGAAATAAAAAAAAGCACCTGTTCCAGGTATCAGACAGGACTCTAACCTGAATACCATAAGTGTAACAATGAAAAAGTAAATTTTACTAAAGAAATATAATATTTGAACTTACCTTGGTTATTATTGGCTTTGTAAATAAAGTGTGATAAGTAAGCGTTTGGTAATTTTTGTAATAGTCTTAATTAACAGCCAGTATAAGAAGTTGATCATCATAACAATGTACATTTAATACCTATAAAATAAACCACTATCAGTCTCGTTTAGAGCGTCACATACTGTTGTACGTCATTCAATTCTCTGTTCTGTTTATCGTGTCCATTTACCATTATTGCGGTCTACGCTGTTCAATTGATGATAATCACACGCAATTCGCGATCTTGACCAGGGGGCGCATCTTTATCACTGCGGGTCTCAAGTCAGCAAGTTCGCGAGCAAGCATGCCTTTCTCTTTCTTATGAATGATGCTGAACACCAGATAATGGGCGTCGACCGAGGTCAATGACCGTCAGCACTCACGTGGTTTTAATCGGGTAGGGCATTGTCATTTCTTCAAGCTTGTAAGCTGGGTGAAATGACAGGGAAAGGAGCCCATGGAGCTCTATCATGGCTTCATGGTGTCCATAGATTAAAGTCATGTATTTTCCAGGCACGTAAAAAAAGGATGTTATTGACGTGTCTTGTTACATATTGTTGCAGCGATGAGTTCGAGCGTATGCTACAAATGCAACAGGACGGGGCACTTCGCCCGGGAGTGCACCCAGGGTGGTGTGGCCCCGCGCGACTCGGGCTTCAATCGCCAGCGCGAGAAGTGCTTCAAGTGTAACCGCACAGGGCACTTCGCGAGGGACTGCAAGGAAGAGGCCGACCGTTGCTACAGGTGAACAAACTCCTTATGACGATGTGATTCGTGTAAAACAACAAAAACTATACCTAGTTCCAGAACAATAAAATAAAACATTTTTTTTGCATAAGTTTTTACACTCACCACTCATTAAATTAAATAGTTATTCAACGAGTGTAAAATGCGATTTTTCTCACTTTTTTACATAAAATGACGTTAACTCCTCATATGAGGCACCCTGAAAAGGTTGCAAAACGGCGAGTTATGTAAAAAAGTATAAAAAATGCATTTTAAACCTGCTGGAAAATAGTTTTATTTGAAATATTTATAACAGAAGATTTTATGAAATCTTTATGTATGAGTGGATTTACATCCAGAATTAATTAATTTTAAGTGAGGGAAAGAATGACATTAACTTTTCAGTTTCTTCCAGCAAGTATGATCACAATACATCTCTATGTGGTAGGCTCATGCTGTCATCAAGGATATAGTCAATGGCGACAGCTTAGTATCAGGCTCGCCATGTGATAGTTAGTTTTCAGAATGTTAAGAATTCGTCATTCTACTATAAATATGACGGTATGTTGGGATGTTCGTTGCTCAATCTCGTCGAAACTAACATTAAGTTGAAGTTGATAATTTGGTTATTTAAAAATACCGATAAAAGCATAACACGTGTTAAGCGGACTCCTCCACGTTTTGTATTGAAACGTTATGTAGCGCGGCCTCCAAGCGAAGGTCAGGGCTCGGCACATGTCCGATCGTTTCTGTTGAACTTGGGCTGAAAACCTTGACCTTCACTCGAATCCTCGCCCGCGCCCCGCCGTATTTACCTTGTAAATAACGTTAACTACGTCATATCAACATTATCAGGCAATATTCATTAATCAATATATCAATCTCACAAATCGTACGCACAAAGTTACATTTGATATGCGGATAAAATAACGCTTCTTATATCTAATGTCATTTTACTGGAGAAAATTCAACTCGCCCTAAGTTAAAAGCTGGATGTGTACCAGCTCTTTTCGTTATTCAGGCGAATGCACTTACCGCAAAGCTATGCGATAGAAGTATATAAATTACTTTCTCGGTAAAGGGACAAAAGAGCCCTTTATTTTTTTTACTTTTGGCTTTTATCGGGGCAATGGAAATAAGACATTTTGCTTAAATTGTAACTGTCCACTGAGATGTTCAGAGATACAGTTCGCTGAATGACGATGCCAAGACGATGTAAGGACTGATAGCGGAGCCTTAGTAATAGGATTCCGTATTCAAAATTTGCGTATTGCATCGCAGTTTTTTTTATTGTGTATGCCTGCTGGTCGCGAATGACCTTTTACAACGTCACCGGGTTAAGGGATGGCGAGATCCTAAGGGGACCTCAAGCCGAGAATTGGTGAATCTAGAGGTATTTCAGGCGGATGGCATCTCCCTACGGGAGGAGTCTCCTTTCTGTCTGGAGCCTCTAGACCACTCGAACCTGAGGGGTCGGCTCAACTAGAGGGCGTCTCCCAGACTCGGACCTCGGCTCTAGTAAGCCGTTGTCGTGGGGCGCAGTTTTGTGTGGGAGCCCTTAGGTAGACTTCCGTGCATCGTGACGTGGCTGATCGCAGTCACGACGACGCACGATGCGCATGGCTTGGCTTATGCGACAATAGGCGGTGTATGAAAATGTATGGCACTAAAACCAGTGACACTGACTAATCGCATCAACCGTGATGCACAAAAGTCTACCTTTGGAGTATTTTAAGAAGTCAACTTTAATGAAAATATAGGAGGCTAATATTATGTGACTTGTTAGATTAAAACAAAAAGGGAAGATACGGCGCGGGCGGTTCAAAAGTTTAAATTGTGGTACATGACCACAATTTGCTCTAGTCACAATTGGACATTCAAAGACGCTGCATGTGCACTCAATATAACAATATTGCGTATATTCAGTGTTATAAAGATAAAAAAATGCCGTCGATGCTTTTATTAATATGTAACAAATAGTTCAAGATCAAATAACACTTTTCATTCGTAAAACTATGAAATATTTTTTTTCTTACAAATCACGGATTGTAATGAATGTTAATTAGTTTTTTTGGCATTTGTTATCCAGAAAAGGAAAATAATACAGCTCCAGCCGTTTGTAAAGAGAGAAAAGAAAGCGTAGTCGCCAAGCCAAGCGACGCGGACTTGATGTTTCGCTCGCTCGATTGAATGTTTATTTACAGAAGTCCGTGAGAGTGGTTTATGTAGTTGAGTCGAAGCATATTTTATTTGATACTAGTATGAGCGCACCGTATCGTCCCTTTTTGTTTTAATGTAATTATGTCTTTTAACTATAGTATTTTTTAAAACAAACTGTTGTTCCAGCAGTTTCTCTATGAATTCTTATGTCACGCTTGATTTTCCACTTAGAGAACGGTCTTTTCCCATACGCAGATGTAACGGCACGGGACACATAGCGCGCGAGTGCGCGCAGAGCCCCGACGAGCCGTCGTGTTACAACTGCAACAAGACGGGGCACATCGCGCGGAACTGCCCCGAGGGCGGGCGCGACAGCTCCGGCCAGACCTGCTACAACTGCAACAAGGCCGGCCACATCTCGCGCAACTGCCCCGACGGCACCAAGACCTGCTACGTGTGCGGCAAGCCCGGACACATCTCCCGCGATTGCGACGAGTCCGAGCGGAACTAACACGCGCCGCCCCGACCCTACTCTATAATAAACAAATTAACTATGTATATTACGATGCCACGCACGGACGATAAGCAAAGGACGCGACACGCGACACTAGATCGTAAGACCACACGACTGTATGAAATTATGCAATGGAATTATAAATCAGACCCAGCAGCGGTACTCTGGAGAGTGAAGAGTATGATTTTGAATGTTGACTTGTATATAGGTCTCCCCGGCGCGCGGGCTGTGCTCGCGGTAGGTTAATGTTATTCTCGCACGGTGAACGAGTTATTGTGTTTTTAAATCATTTAATAATCGTGAATGAAACTATTGATGAGGTAGCGTTACAGTTTTTAGCATTACAGAGTATATATTTAATATATTTTGTACAGATTTTTTTGTCAAAAGATAAATTGGATGCTGGCGTACCATGAGTTTTCAATGGAAGAGTGGAGGCCCCGCAAGTACCCGTACCCCATGGACTCTCTTGTTCGTCTCTCGTCCGTTGATATGACGCACGCGGCGAGTCGAACCCACATCATATCACTCGGTGATTTATTTATTTTGTTGATCAATTCCTTTGTTTATTAAGTCCTGCTATCTTGTGGAGAATTCAGTGGTTAATTAGAATTTCATCAATCAGAATATTTTTTATTTTGTTATCCTTATCAATGTGCCTGTGTTCAGTACATTTGAATGTAAAAAGTTACTCAAGCTTATTCAGTGGGAGATAATAAAAAATCTTGCCTTATCACTTCAAGTTTCCTTTTTGCCCTGGTATCACATTACTTGCAAACGTTTTCCACTGGCATACAAATCAAGTATCTAATTGATCTCCCAAAGATGCAAAATTGATAAACATGATCAAGTTTACTTTCACATGATAATTGACAGAACAAGAGGGCATAACCATTTCCCATCATCCTCGCAGTAACTACGATCGCAGACTTGATTAATAATATTATCACTGTAGAGGTCTACTTCAAGATAACCTTTGTCAACATTAGAAGTAACAAGAGTCATCTAAAATTGGATAATGTTCAACGATATTAAATACCCTAGATACACCATCGTCCGTAAAGTGTCGTTTTTTCGACAGATATCTGATTAATGTTTGTTAATTTTACGCATTTGAAGCAAATATTGTTCTAATACTTACTATAAACTGATTTAATAGAAATAAAAAGTGATATTCAAATGCATGGTCGGTAATATAGCCGTCTTTTTTCCTCGCGGTCCGTACCTGCTATTTTGCTAACAGCGCATTCAGAATTGCGCGTAGAGGCAAAGAAATAATAAATTGTATAGTCCGGCCGCTCAGAGATTGCGTTTCTGACAGGTCGTGTCCGTTCCTTATGGTGATAGCATTAGAGATAAGTTTCGAACCTCTTTTTTTATTAGATCTAAAGTGTACTTTATTCTGTCGCCATATGGAACTGACACGACCTGTCAGAAACGCAATCTCTGAGCGGCCGGACTATAGCAATAAGTCGTTCCATTTTACGAGCTTGCATTTCGAACTGTCATAAATCTTCGACACTTGCGTTTTAATTAAGACATTGTACAGTATGCGTTAAAGATGATTTTCAATGTTTAAATAAAGCCTTATATTGTTTTAGACTACGCGATCATCTTCGGAGCTGCGTAAATCGTCCAATGTACCTTTTGGACAGGTTTCGGCCGCGATTTTGTTATGTTGGTGTATCTAGGGTATTTAATATCGTTGATAATGTTATGACACAGCAACAGTTAACATTCTACCCTAACAACAGTAAACGTGTTACAGTGCGTCCAAGATCTTATGGCGCGTGGTCCGAATCGGAACCAATTTCGGAAAGGTATAAACAAGCCTTTTTATATTTCCTTTAAGTATTGACTGCTTCTACCCGGCAAAAAGATTAAAATTTTAATATGGGCTTTGAGTATTGTATTGGATATACCTACTTTACATTAGCAAAATCAATAAGCATACAGCTAACTTACCGCCGTCAGAATGCTCGGAAGTTTTCGCCTCTTAGCACGCACAGCAAGCAAGCGGTCTGTGCGGTGCCGCTAACTGCTAGTAGGCAATTCTCGCATTACTAAACAAGCAATACGCTGGGTTCCTGCAAGTTGTCGCCTTGGTTTAGGGCGGTGTTGTAGCAGACTAGTATAAGTGTACTGAGACCATTATGGTAAATTATAACGCAGGCTTGGTTAGTCAGGAGATCAGGAGACGTACATTGTGATCCTGATTTCATTATTCCTTTTTTTATGTTACTTTGTTATCACCAGCAGCGCCCTATCAAGTGCCACAAGATCTTGTTAGTACTGTACAAGTGTTGGTCAGTCGTTCTCCTAAGTACCAATTGGAAACACCCAAAAGGCAGCGACGCGGCTAGCACTTTCAAGACATAATTTTAAACCTTTTCTACATACTTCTAGGGCCAGTATTGCTTGAAAAGCTCTAAGACGCGCGGTCGCCCTCTCGCGACACCATGCGGCCTTTCCAAATAGTACAGATGCCCCTACACAAATTTTGACAGCTCCAATGTCGTATCGTCATCAACAAGCAAGCCGGCAAGGTGAGGATGGTTATTGTAGCAGTTCATAACTGCTGTACCAGCTATCTTCGTGTTTGGCACTTTATCGCCACTTAACATTAGGTGGGGTAGTCATTTGCCTACCTGGCTATAAAAAAAATAAGAAAAAATTGTATGGAAGGAGCAAGTTTGTACTTACGCCCGGTAGGGGCACTGCTTACTTTATATATAAATTGACGATGCGATACGATTACGGAGCTGTCAAAATTTGTGCTTGGGCCTCTGTCCCCGTCGTATGAGCACCGCTACTTACATTAAATCATGTTTTATATCGAGTCCAACTGTCAAACTCTATAGTAATTTGTTTGATTGTGATAAAAACGGGTTATTTATCATTTCGCGGTGCTCATGCTAGGAGGGTTGATCTTCGTCGCTGACGGCCGCTGCCATTTCGGTGTGAATCGGCCATCAATGACGCTTTATGATCTTCTTAAACTTGTTCAGTCGACCTTCTCTTGGAGCGAAATAGGGGCAACGGGACTAATAACACAAACTGTTATAAGGATTGGACGGTATTAATGACTACTTACGCAGCCGACATAATATGCTTGTAACCATTCACTTTAGGTTACCTATGCCATTAGATGGGTCATCGTCCTCAGCTTTTAGGTGGCCCCAAGGCTGGATGCCATTTTTTTTTCTTTCTAATGTCTGGGAAATGCCCTACACATCCTTCAGCCACTGGGGGAGCATGATGAAGGTATCCGGTTACTTCTCCCTTTTCATTTCACTCTGCTTTGAAGCTCGATGAAATGGACAGGGCCCTAACAACGGTAAAAACCAGACAATACTCCTACACCATATCACTCGACTCGCATTGCTAGGACCGCGGTCCCCGCAATGCGCGCGGGAGTGTAGGTGTTAGTGCGGCACCCGTTTGCAATTGGCCGCGCAAGGCTGGATGGAAATTGGGTCATGACCCACCGCGCGGGTCCACTGCGGATTGGGGAGTGCTAACAACTGCAGATGCAGCCAGGACCCGCGGCTTAGCATGCCTTCCGAAGCACGGAGGTGCTCCGGATAATAAATTTTCGGCCACCCATCCTGTGACCAGCAGTGCATGATCGGTTTGTCACTACGCCACCGAGATACTTTCTGGTCTGGATGGGTCACCTAAATTCAAATCTGCCCTCTATTGCAAGATCACTACTCTGATTTTAATCACACATTGAGGCGCTTTGCATACGGCGGGGCGGAGCGGGCCGGTCAATTTCGCCGCGAACGATAGCACAAAGTGAATCCTATACTACAAACGCACACAGAGGGCAAAAAGACCGCGCTTTGGGTGCCCGGCGGGCACTGGCGGCGCGGCATGTCCGCGGCTGCCCGCCGTGGATCATACAAACCAGTTTATATGCAGTAACGCAGACGGCGGCGCGGGGCGGCTAGCTCAGTCCGCGCCACGCGCTTTTTAGTGATGGACTATTCACTAGAACGAACGTCCTGAACTGACTGCCTCTGCCCGTCGTGTGCTTTGTGTACGCGGCGAGGGCAGCCGCAGACATCGACGGGCAGACGCGGTTTTTATTGCTTCGCGGACAAAAAGCCCGCCCGCCCCGTCGTCTGCAAAGCGCCTGAATGTGCTTACCCATACAACTGTGCCATGCCATCGACTTCCCCACTAAAGCTCGAGCACGAATTTCGACAGCTCTGTCATCGTTTTGTGAAAGGAGTCAGTTTGTTCTTACGTGAGGTAGCTGCTTAATTTTTATAGAAATGCGATAAGATTACGGAGCATTCAGAATTCGTGCTTGGATCTCTGCACCTACGCAGACTTAGATAGATAGATACAGTCGCCATCAGATATATCTGAGCATACAAGGTGACCAAATACATCTGAACAGTTAAAATTTCATTAAGTTCTATACGCTACAAGTGACCATAAATATCCGAACATTCATTACTTCAATAATATCTGAGCAGATGCCTGTCAATAATATCTGAACATACAACTTTTCAAAAATATCTGAACACGTCAATGATTATGTATCTACGCAGATCATGCACTGGGCTTACATGTTTTGTTACTGCGTGATTGAAAGGATGAACTAAAAACAAAGGCTAAATATAAAGAATAAATACGATGAGAAGGGAATAAAAATATATCAGAAAATCATTCGTGTAGGTCACCACGAGTAGTAGAAATGGAAGATGCCTAATTTTTTCTCTATTTATTTTTGAAGTTATACTTCTTTAGGCGCGTTATGAAAAAATGATGAGAGTGAAATTTTTAGATGCGCGCGCATCACTGTAACACAATAGTAACACCATGAAGTTGGCCGCGGGCGCGTTATGAATGTTAGTGTCTAATAATGGTGGATTATTAACCACTTAGTGGTTAATAATCCACCATTATTAGACATCTGTTCGAAAGGTACTTTGAACGATCCACGGAGCTCCATAAGATGATCGCGTTGTCAAAAACAATGTTGGCACGCTCGTCGCCTCAGATCACTGTTTTCATATTTATAATATTTATCCACATGTTTCTATATAGACACAACGTGTTTTAGTTACTTACAAGTGCTAATTACATATGGACTAATAACTTAAATTCAGTAGTGATTTTAATTGAATATTTTGAATATTTATTTAATTTTTCAAATTAAAACTGAACTTAATTGACTGTGTTAACTATCCTTTTCCAGTCCTTTTATTATTTTATTGTAATTATTAATTATTTGCATGCAATTAAAAAATATTTTTAATGATGCTAAAGAAGTATAACTTCTCACGCGCGTACATAAGTTACACGCATCCATTTTTTTTATAATTAACGAGAAGTTATGTTTTTATTTTATTCTATAGATTAAATTCTCAATATCTTCTTAGAAATTTATTTTAAAATAAGACAACTGCGTTTTTTAACCGCAATAGAAATAAGTAATAATTTGGAGGAAACATTTGTTCCACTATTTCCATTGCAGTGGAAAATGGAATTCTGTACTTGTCATGCTCAAACTGGGCGCCATCCTTACAAAAAATTTATTTACTGTCTGAGTGGATGTGTTTGTTTGGTTTGGGTATGTATTATTTATAAAAGTGAAAATTAATAAAAAACAATTTTAATTCTTATAATTTTTTATTGAGTTAAATAATCAAAAAATGTAAACGAATTAACTTGGTACCTACCTCAGTAGATGCTTAAGCTTAAGTATTTATTATTATAATAAAATTATAATCGAGATCGAAATAAAAAAAAGCAACTTCTGATACAATGAGTTTAAAATTAAATAGTAACAAAATGTTTTATTCTTATAATTATACATGAGATCAAATCAAAAAGTTATCAGGCAATTAGTAAGGTTCTTGAAATTAACGTATTATTATTAGCTTAATAATTTCCCAATATTATCAATGCCCGTTTAGACGGGAATTTCTAACAGACGTAGACGGCCGTAACGTATATTGTCGACTTTTCAACAAAAACGCAGACCAATTAGTTATTTTGCTCACCATTTTTAGGGTTTCGTAGCCAAATGGCAAAAAAACGATATTCATACAAAAATAGAAAAAAAAACTTATGGACTTAGAATTTTTTTTAATCAAATCTTTACGTGTGGGGTATGGATAGGTCTATAAAATTGATAGGTCTATAAATTTAATATGGGACTCATTTCCACTAAATGTTGTTAGGATTCATAATGCAATAAGGTCGATATTTTACTTTGATAGTGTTTTGATGACATAATGTCATAACGAATCGACCCTTGAAATGATAACCTCTTTACAAAATACTATTTCGTGTCAGTGTCAGTGAAGAAAACAGTTTAATGTGACATTTTTACAAAGTATAATTCGGAAACGGAACATAACATAACATCGGAAATGATCTTTTGCTGTCGCTTCAGATGACGTAATTGCATGGTTGCCCCTAGAAACGTAAAGTTGTCAATGGTAAACATTATGACATTGACTTTGCATTAAAATATTAGCTTTATATAGCTTGCAGCAGATTGCTACACGATATTCAAAGGTGGGGCCCAGATTAAAGCTCGTGTCTGTACATTACCTTGCAAACTTCTAGCAAAAGTTGATTTGAACGAGGCCAAGTAATTTGTTTTTTAAATACGTCATATTATTTACAAATAATATGACGAATTTAAAAAAAAACAACCGCAATTTACATTTAATTCAATATAAAAATATTTATTTAGATAATGGTACGGAGCGAGTCCGAGTCGCACTTGACTGGTTTTTAAATATGCATACTATTCAAATATACTGCTTATAGACATGTTTTCTCCTGCTAACCAATCTACAGTACAGACATGGATTATGAAATCTTGCAGATCCATGTTATTGTAAGCTGCCTTTTTATGATTTCATTTTTGACCATCATCATTTGCATGTCCTTTTCCCAATTCTATTTGTGGTTGGCGCAACATGTCTTCCGCTTCCATTCTCCTCTATCACTCGCAATATCAACACTCACTCCCTTACTGGCCATGTCCTCATTCACACAATCTACCCATCTTTTCTTCGGTCTTCCTCTCCCCGGGTAACCCTCCACTCTCATTATACAGGTTGGCTTATTGAAATGGGTCAGGATGGGAAAGTCTGAAACTATAATATATATGAAGATCTGTTCTTAGGAACAAGATTTTAATAAAAATAAAAACTGCATTCATACATTTAAGAAAAACCCTATGATCAGCACGGAAATCAAACCCGGTCGTTTTGAAAAAAAAAACACACTATTTCTATTTAAATATCGATTATGTAGGTCTGAAGCAGTAAATGTTTCTATTAAACGTGATGTCTAAAATGAGTAAAACGCATTTTTGTCACATAATTTAAATTATTTCAGTAGAGGTTCTAAGTGACCACCGTTTTTTTAATACAAAATTTAACACGTATAGGTAACTTATCTTACTAATAAATAGAAATAGGAAATAGTGTTAGTTTTTTTTTCAAAACGACCGGGTTTGATTCCCGAGCTGACCACAGGGTTTTTCTTAAATGTATGAATGCAGTTTTAATTTTTATTAAAATCGATGACAAAGTTCCTAAGAACAGATCTTCGTTTAAATTATAGTTCAGACTTTCCCATACTGACCCATTTAAATGAGCCATCTTGTATACTCTCATATTAAATTTTTGACCATTATATAATTATTTGCCGAACAAGGATTGCTGCCTGATTTTTTAAATTGCTTACAAAATCTTTTTGTGCCGACCAAATTATTTAAAGGCTGACCAATTATATACTTCTCATGAAACATTAGTATTTTGTGTAACCTCCTTCTGCATTTAATACGTCTTGTTAAACGTTTCCTCATGGAACCAACTACCTTCTCACAAAAACCTCGACCTCTGAACGATTCCCAAACATCATTTGCATGTCGCCTTAAGGCTTCTGTTGTTCGACATTGATTCCCATCCCACTCTTGCACCAATTTACCCCAAAGGTTTTCGATGGGATTGAGGTCTGGACTTTTTGGTGGTAGTTTGATTAAAGTTAGTTCTCTCTGTTCATTAATCCATGTCAGTACTGTACGAGCATTATGTACTGAGCTGTTGTCTTGAAGGAATGTAATTTGTTGTTCTGGATAAAAAACTTGAGCTGTAGGAAGAAAAGTATCTTCCAGAAGTTCCTTATAATTCATTGCATTCATTCGTCCACTTATTTCCACAAGCTCACCAGGACCATCTTTGCACATCCCTCCCCAAAATCCAATTGAAATACGTCCACTCCGGCGATTAAGCAGCACATTTTGTTCTAAGTAACGTGTGTTTTCGGGTCGCCATGAGCAGAAATCTTTTCGTCCATGAAAATAACGTTTTGAAAATTAAAATTTAAATAATTAGCTGCAAATTGTAGCCGCTGCATTTTGTGCCTTGGCGTGAGAGTTGGTTTTCTTGCCGGTACTCTATTTTTTAAACCTCCTTCTTTTAATCGTCTTCTAATGGTGCTAGTGGATATTTCGAATGTGCTTGAAAATTGTGTAGTGTTTATAAATCTGTCATTTTTGGCTTTATCTATAATAGCTATGTCTTGGTTATTTGTAGTAATACGCGGGCGACCAAATGAAACATGATTATTTAATGTTTCTCCTTGCTGCCATCTTTCTAGCCATAAATATACAGTATTTCTCTGAAATAAATACAATTTTATACTTTGTGAATAAAGTTTCATGTTTTGTGGGCAATTGATTTTTAGCATTTTTCTCCGTGATACTTACGGCTATCCCTAGCTCATCGGCGATATCTTTTACGGATAAACCATAATTTTTTAGTTGTATTATTTTATGTTTCATTTCCGCATCAATACGGTACGAACTCATATTAATTATAGTTAATTTATGGTATGAACTAATACGTAAGCAAGCTGCTTGAATTTATTTGTGCATGACACATGACAGAGGTGATAAGAATAAAAACTGGAAAGTGCTTAACTGCCAGCGTCATCTTATTATAAATAAATAATTAAGAGGTCCTATTAAAATTGTTCAGATATTTTTGAAAAGTTGTATGTTCAGATATTATTGACAGGCATCTGCTCAGATATTATTGAAGTAATGAATGATCAGATATTTATGGTCACTTGTAGTGTATAGAACTTATTGACATTTTAACTGTTCAGATGTATTTGGTCATCTTGTATGCTCAGATATATCTGATGGCGACTGTACCTACTGCAAATATTACGATTCTGAACCATAACAATGGTTCCTTGAATTGACTTGGTTTGGGTTCTCTGGTGGTCTAACTATTTTGTACGACGGAAATATTTTTCCTTGTGGTGAAAGTACTACAAAGAGTTGTACAACAAGAGAAAATACTGTATCTTAATATTCCATAAAATTAGACCATCGAACTGGCTACCTAACAAAGTGCTTGGCACATACATTATTTACCAAAGTCGATGCTGTCAATTTCTTTAAGAGAACAATAGAATGAAACAATACAGGACATAACGAAGCATTTAATTTGATTTCCAGAGTACGCCTGCTGTTTTTTTTATAGCGACAACTAAAAATTTCACATAAATAGAGCCCAAGGTGACGACAACATTGGTAGGAGCTGTGCTAATTGAACACTGCAGTTCCACTTTGTATGTGCTCCGAAAATGAAACCAACCAGGACACCAACCTTTAAATTGTTTATTAGTGCAACAGTGCCATCTATCAACGAGTAGGTGATTATTAAAATGTTTTTCAAGTGCAACAGTGCCATCTATCAACGAGTAGGTGATTATTAAAATGTTTTTCAGAAGTCGGTAGATAGCGCTGTGAACCAAAAGAATAAACTAATGTTACTGACCCTTTGAGTATCTTATCTTGACACTACTGAAAGGTGATACATGGGTGATAATTTATCATAAATATTCGAAGATAAAAAGTATTGTAATTTACAATTTTTAAACATTATGGACATATCCATGGACGTCAATATGCTTGCTAAACATAAAATATATTGGATATCGGTTATTCGGTTTAATTAAATAAGCAGTGTAGTCTGTGGGACGGTTAAAGCACATCACTATTTAAAAGCCGGGCGTGGTGCGGCTGCGCAAATCTGTTGTTTGAGTGAAGTGAATAAGAATGGCGTTAACTTTTATTTATTTCGGTTACTATAAAATAATTTAGCATGAAAATCACTTTATAAGACAAATAAAATATATTTTAGATCTAAGTGAACGTGTTAGTGTAAATGGTAATTTCAGTATACCAAAAACACTGAAGCAAGACGTATCTATGGGCGTTAACTTCAGGTTAAGTTTGTTGTGTTTATTAAATTAACATTAAGGTTAATTATATCTGAAACACGTATTTTTTTCATAGTGTTCATACATTAATGTTGATATTCATCATAGAAATCATAATAAAGCTAAGTTTCGTCTAGTTTAATGGTAATGATATTAGGTAACGACACTTCGTAACTTGAAACTTTTAAGAAAAGTTTTGCTTTGTTTACTATCCTTATCGTCATCATAAATTGTACTTTTGTATATTTTGTAAAAAAATATATTTAATGACCTCATTTTACTTTTACAGACCCAAAGACTGAAACATGAATCTCATACTTATTTTTATAAGTTCAGCATCAATAATACAAACATGTGTATCTCAAGACTACTCAGTGCCTACTTACAACCCTGACACCAGTCAACCTAATCCAACAAATGATTATATTGGTCAGAATGACCCTAGATATGACAATCCTTATGATCCCAGTCGAAGAACATATAAGAATAGAAATCAATTTCCAAATGTAAATCCAAACCAATATGATCCCAATCAGAGATATGATAACAGGAATGATCCCACATATAATCAAAATTCATTTAACTCTGAAAGCACACAAAGGCCTTCATGGGATGTTGGAAGAACATACAGCACATCCTTTAAAAATGCCCCTTTGGAGCATAATAATCTTATCATTAATGAAGCGTAAGTAAATCTGAATTTTAGTGGTTAACAATAAGACTGACTTGAGCTGAGTAAGGAGAAGTTTTTAAAAGATTTAGTGAAAAACTCAGGGATACAATTTAAAAGAGGATGAATGGGATACATAATTTTTGGCCTTACATACTCTTTATAAATTGGATTTCTTCAGTGGTGGCTCCCTAAGAATTTGGTCAATATCTGGTGTTTCTGTTCATAAATTAGCTATTTTTCAAAAAGTAGAAATCATATAAATAGGCCTATGTTTTCTATCTAAACTTAATTAACCATTTCTGCAGTATTTCAAACAGCGTTGCCAGAGGTTGATGGCCGATTGTAGCGGGAAGTCCCGAATTTTAAATCAAAATTTAATGTAGGCTCAATCCCGCTTTTCGGGAATAACTCCACAGTGCATGCAGCATACTGAGAAAGCGCGGGCAGGTGGCACAAACTAGTGTGAACTGGCCGCCTTGGCGGTGTGTAATGAAGATAAATATTCAATAACTTTTGATAATAACGTTTTTTTATTATGTCCCACTTTTGACGAAAGGATCCCGCTTTTTTCACTCAAAAAGTTTCTAAATCCTGCCTTGGCAAAAAAAAAAACTGGCAATGTATATTTCAATCCTTCTCTGTCTATGTAATTATATTTTTGCAGGACATACTTTATTATTGCATCACGAATGATCCGTCCTGGGCAGATATACAAGATCTCTGCCAACATTCTGCAAGCTAAACTACAAATGACAGTCAAAGCCTCCGTATCAAGGGATGGTGTTGAAATTGCTGATGTTATACAAAGAGTGAAAGAAGGTGTACCTGAAATTTTAAACATGAGGGTATGTGATTATTTTGAAAAACAATAAATAATTATTTTTTTCATCCTACATTACAGAAATTTCATTCCTTTACTTATTATTAGTTTTTATACTTATAAGTATAGATGATTTCGAACAAGAACATAAACAGCTTCACTTCACATACCTTACATTAGTATTCCATACTTTTCTTTATCTTGTACAAAGATCTATATATGGTATGGTGAGGTCAAATAAATTTTATTTATGAGTGTAATTTTGAAGTAAGTTATGAAGAAGTAATCCAGCCAGCCAGCATTTTTACATTGTATAGCTTTTACTGCATTGCATTCAATTTGTTTACTGTAATGGAAGTATACTTAATTTTCTCGTTAAGAATTAAAAAAAAACTTCCAGATACCTCCAACATCTGTGCCTGGCGATTATAAGCTAAGAGTGGAAGGATTGTACTTGGACAATCCCTTTGGAGGACGGGCCTTCGTAAACGAAACCCAGCTGGAATTCTCCAAGAGATTTATGACCATATTCATTCAAATGGACAAGCCTGTGTACATGCAGAATCAAATGGGTAACATAATTTAGAAAAATATAAAACTTAAAAAGTCTGATTAAACTAATTAATATAGTGTATGGTCTCTGGTAGTATTGGTTCATTTGGCCTCTATTTAGCATGATTATTGGCTAAATGTAAAACAAATTTAGACAGCAGAACATGATTATGCTTTACTTTCTACAGTTTTGTATGGAGAGACTGCTATCAATTTAGTTTTGAGTTTATCATTTAAAGCTATTAAGGTGAATATCTTGTATAAATTATAAGAAAACTAGCTAATTAAATGGTTCTAATTAAAAAAAAAAATGGGTTTCAACATTAATATTCATATTAATTTACTTGAATGGTAGATACCAAAGTAAAGAGGAAATTTATTTTTATTAAATGTTAATGCCCTATTGTTACATGGCTTTTAGCTGGGTGTATTTTGTATATTTCTTAAGACAGATTATTGTATTAAATATGTTATCTTTCAGTTCGTTTCCGCGCCATTCCTATTAGTACAGAACTAAAAGCATTTGGCAGATCAATCGATGTCTTCATACTGGACCCAAACAGGCGAATTATGAAAAGATGGCTCTCAAGACAGGTTAGTTTCCTTCAACTATTTATTTATTTTTATAAACTACTAGCTGACCCGGCGAACTTCGTACCGCCTTAGCGTAGCTTTAATGCACTACTTTATTTTGTATAGCTGACCTATGGGGTCATCCATAAATTACGTCACACGAATTTCATGTCTTTTTTGCCCCTCCCCCCGTCCTTGTCACAGCTGGTCACATTTGTAAGACTCCCCCCTCCCTAGTGTGACGTCACATATTTTGCAAATTTACATTTAGAAATCATTGAATGAAAACAGCGGTTCTGTAATCAGTTTTATTTCCATTTAAATTGTTTTTTCATTATTATTATAATCAAATCAAACAATTAACAAAACAAAAAAAAACGATTAATTATATTTATTAAAGAAATTACCGAACAAAAAGTGATTGACTATGTTAATTAAAGAAATTAACAAAACATAAAATATTTAATAGCATTATAATTAAATTAAAGATACAAACTTAATAATCTTGAGTCCATGGACATTGATCCCACTCCTTTAAATTATTTATAACTGGCATAGCACCACTTTGTTCTCGTTTGGGTTGTTAATGCTTTCGTAAAGTAATAGTTTCAACACTTAGATTTTAATATATTTTGAAATGTGACGTCACGAAATTTAGGACCCCTCCCACCCCTTGTCACACGATGTCACATTTCGTCGACCCACTCCCTACCCCTTAAAGTGTGACGTAATTTATGGATGGCCCCTATCTTATGTATGAGTACCTATTCAATTTGAACTGGAATCTATAATATCCTCCATATAAAAATGAATCCTTATTTCCCTGGTCTCGCCATACCTGAGGACTTTACTAATTTTTATTAAATAAAAAACAACATATATATTTTCATAATAGTCCGAAGGCACGTTAAGCCGTTGGTCCCGGCTGCATCTGCAGTCGTTAGCACCCGCCAATCCGCATTGGGCTCGCGTGGCGGGTCATGGCCCAATCTCCCTATTCCATCCATAGGGAAGGCCTGTGCCCCAGCAGTGGGGACATTAATAGGCTGATGATATTTTATTTTACCGTATTATAATAATAAGTCTCTGTCTAGGACGTCCAGGGGGCCAATCGCCTAACGGAAATGCTTTGGAAAACGCTAACGCTTACGATTTTATTTTGTTATTTCTAGCCGCCTGAGGTATTCAAATGCCTCGCGCTCTTTCTTTTTCTTTTGCATTGGTAATAACAATATTAAAAAAAATGAGCGTGAGGTATTCGAAAACCTCAGGCGGCTAGAAATAACAATATAAAATCGTAAGCGTTAGCGTTTCCCAAAGCATTTCCGTTAGGCGATTGGCCCCCAGGTGGCAGCTTTATTGCGAAGAAATTGATTTTTTTATAATAGATGTCGCTAGGTGCGCTTAAATGTGATTCATGTAAGTTGATTTTTCTGAGAGATAAACTTTTTAATGTAATATAAATTGTCATGTTTGTGTACGATAGCGCAAAGAAAAAAAATATTGTATTCTACCACATAAATTATAGTACTTTTATACTGATAATTAAAGCAATTCGTTCCAATTTATTCTCTAACCATTCCATACCATTTGATATTTTATCAAAAATGCACAATGTTAATATTCAAGATTTCACTTCTGCCGGCACTCACGGAGTGCAATCCGTCGTTATTTTTTCTATTTTTGTGTAAAAATCTTAATGCAGTTCACAGAATACATCTACTCACCAAGTTTCTTAGTTAGTTTAACAGTATAGTTCTTATAATTTCGGATGAAAGTGGCTGCTACATACGGACAGGCAGACAGACAGACAGATTTTCTTTATATTTTTTTCCGTAAGAACCTTGTACAGAGTATTAGAAAACTACAAAAAAAAATCAGCCAAATCGGTCAAGCTGTTTTCATGTTATGTCGTGACAACGGAAAACGGGTTTCATTTTTATATATATAGATAGATTTATGCCAATGAAATGAAATTTTACTTTTATAGCATTAATGGTGTTGATGTCTAAACCTCAACTTAAATTTGTCATTCTCTTTACAGAATGAAAAGGAGAGATTGGTGTTAAATTTAGTTTTAAGCTTAGAGAATCATGCCAGAGTCGACACCAGTATTTATTTATTTTGTTATTGCTGTTCAACTTATCTTTCCTCATAATTTTCAACCATATTTAAAGCAGACTACCTATACTTATTTGTTACTTATCACTAGTCCCAATGACCTATATATCGCAAGGACAATAACAACTGTTGTGTTATTAATAGTTTGATTTTAATTTTTTGACTGACGACCGCCGTGGCCGAGTGGTATGTACGCCGGGTTCAAGGTGTCGCCTACTCGAGAGGTCCCGGGTTCGAATCCCAGTGGGGGCAGATGTTTGTGTGATGAATGATGACAAGCATTTGTACTCCAGTCATGGATGTTAATATGTATTTATATATAAATATACTTATATATGTATCAGTATATGTATTCTATCCGTTACCCGAGCATCCCATAACGCAAGCCTACAGTGCTTACTTTGGGGCTAGGCTAATTGGTGTGTGTGTGTCGGAAATATCTATTTATTTATTTAATTCATATTTTACTTGTAATAGACAGATCCGATATTAACATAAATAATTTCCGAATAAGTCTACGTAAATTTGAAAATAGTATCAAGGAGTAATATATTTTAATAAACATGACGTTTATCATTGTGTACCACAATGTAATTTACTCTTTTATGATAGAATCAGGTGTAGCTCGTCTAGAATCCGATTACTAATGCACCATTGTGTAACTGAAAACCCTTTTTACATCCTTGCTCTTTGACTCCCCATTATTATTCTTGTAGACAAAACGTAATTATACAATAGCAGTTGATAATAATTTGACGCTAAAGGCTGGCGGCACATGTTGTTTTCAACATTGACACCAACTGTTAGGGTTGAATTGATTACTTGTATTCTTCGTTTCTTTCAGTGGAGCTCGATAGCGCAAGTGGTTAGCGCGTTCGGCTGCGGTCGTTGAAGTTAAGCAACTTTCGCAGTGGTCGGTCATTGGATGGGTGACCATACTATCTCGAGCTCCACCGTGCTTCGGAAGGCACGTTAAGCCGTTGGTCCCGGCTGCATCTGCAGTCGTTAGCACCCACCAATCCGCACTGGGCCCGCGTGGTAGGTCTGGGCCCAATCTTCTTATTCCATCCATAGGGAAAGCCTGTGTCCCAGCAGTTAGGACATTAATAGGCTGATGATGATAATTACTTATAAAATCGTAAAACGACTGACGACGCTTAATGTTTTAACACGAACTCAATCAGCTTATTACATTTTTAATACCTAATGGGTAACATTATCTTCAAGCCATAATATAATCCTTACGGGTCTTGGCAGAGCATGACAAATAACCTAAGATACGTTGGAACTTAATAACTTTCATTTGAAATTCGTTACCGAAAGACGCGCTTTCAGTAAAGAATTTGAAACGAAATTTTATTTCGTCGATTTCAGGTTATATTTAATTAAGTTTTTATAGTAAAAAACGTGCTAATTTTCGATATTTTTTTTCAGAGGTCTGCAGTAGTTTAGCTAACTCTTAGCACTTGTTCATTTTTATAACAGCTGGCTTGTTGACTCATCACAATTCCGCCAAATTGTTAAAGAATATGTGGCAATACAAAGCGGACAGTATTTTATAAATCTAAAGAAAATATAACTAGAAAAAGTTCCACGCGGACCAGGCAGCAGACGGGGCTCGAACCCGCTACCCGATACCCTTCGCTGTCTGGGCGAATGCACTGACCAACCGCTGGTCCGCGTGGAATTTTTTCTAGTTATATTTTCTTTAGATTTAAACATCAAGCAGTTCCATGCTTAAAAAAATAAAAATTATAGTATTTTATAAATTTTGAAAGATTTTTGAGACTGTACAAATTATGGGAAACTCTTGTTCAGAAGATATTTATTGTCGGCAGAGCAACTTCGGTACTGTGAGTTTGCACTACCAGCTGTCTGACCAGCCGTTGTTCGGCGAATGGACCATCCGGGTGGAGGCGCTAGGACAAGTGGAAGAGACGCAGTTCCTTGTTGAGGAATACTACCAAACTAGATTTGAGGTCAGTTACAAACATACACAATATATTTGTTTCTTAGGTTTTCACGCACATCACTCATTAAATAAAACTAGTTTTCGTCTCAGAAAGTCTCAGAAAGGTCTCCCAATTTTGGAACCGGTGGTAGTTTACGGTAGTTAGGGTCAAATAAATAAACTCAAAATTACAAAAAAGAATTTTAAATAAAATATTTTATTAAGTAAATTAAATAAAAGTTTGATTCTGACGACGTAGCCTGTAAAGGCTACGAAACGTCAATAAATAAATAAAGTTTCGTGCATTAACCCGTAAAAACTAGTTTTATACACAATATACTTAACTTATTGTTAATTGAGGAGCTCGATGGCGCAAGTGGTTAGCGCGTTCGGTTGCGGTCGTTGAAGTTAAAGCAACTTGCGCAGTGGTCGGTCATTGGATGGGTGACCAAAAATTTACTATCTTGAGCTCCACCGTGCTTCGGAGGGCACGTTAAGCCGTTGGTCCCGGCTGCATCTGCAGTCGTTAGCACCCACCAATCTGCACTGGGCCCGCGTGGTGGGTCATGGCCCAATCTCCCTATTCCATCCATAGGGAAGGCCTGTGCCGCAGCAGTGGGGACATTAATAGGCTGATGATGATTATTGTTAGTTAAAAATATTAATGTGATGAAAGTTGACATAAACACATGTTTTCAGTTTTGATGTCTTCTTTCAATTGACGACACTGTATGAAACTAAACAGGGAGAAAAAAATAGACCTTGCTGAGTTTCTTGCCGGCTCTTCTCGGTACAAGGTCTCCCGCTGTAGATTCACGAACCGATGTATAACGGGTACAGTACCCCTAGCACGAATCATTATCGAATTTTGTCATTTTTCTACTCACGTATTTACGCCTATACCATTTGCCATAGTTTGCAAACCGAAATGTCAATGTCAAATTTTGATTGGAAACTTGAACAGCAGCGGCACAAACTACGTAACGAGAACTAAAAATCAGTACCCATTTCACTCGCAAACGATACGAATTCGATATTGGTTCGTGCTAGGGGTACTAAAGTACTTAATTAAGAATTATAAAAAATATAACATTAGATTTAGTACATTTGTAATTTACCGGCAGCATTCCACTAAGCTACACAAGTACAATGCGGCTTCAGATTCGGAAAAGCTCAATTGCAGCTTAAACAATTTCTTTTTACAAAACAATCTCAAGGTTATCATAAAGATTCTTCCACACCACAACAGGTGAACGTAACTATGCCAGCGTTCTTCTTCAACACCGACCAGTACATCCAGGGTAAAATAATGGCGAACTACACATCGGGAGCCCCCGTACGAGGCAATATGACATTACGAGCTACAATCAGGCCGATACCGCAGTACCGGCCGCGGTACTACGCGCAGGGGCAGTTCAATAACAGGGGACAATATGCGACACCGCCAGGGTTCGATACCAGCCAGTATACTAGAGGTTGGTATCATCGTTATCTATCTATATGGTTTTTAAATATTTTATTTTACAGGCAGTCCTCGTACTTACGGCATGTTAGGTTCTCGAAATACGCGACGTAAATCGAAACGACGTAAGTCGAGGCATCCCCACGGATATTGACCTCGCGACAAGTGAATTCTCCTATGCCGGAAATCGAAACAATTGACGTAGGTATGCTAGAGAAATAGTGTCAAAACATTGTTCGACGTAACTTGAAACGACGTAAGTCGAGGACTGCCTGTACTCTCATCAATTACTTTAGCCACAAAGACAGCGGACAGGACCTACACCACCCTTCCAGGATTCGACATCAGCCAGTATTAGTATTAACGTAATTTTACTCTTTTGTCTTTAAATATTTCGTTAAACTCGCGCTAATAATGGATAACTTGACGTTGAGAGCTACAATCAGATCGATACCGCAGTACCGGCCGCGGTACTACGCGCAGGGACAGTTCAATAACAGGGGACAATACGTCACACCGCCAGAGTTCGATACCAGCCAGTATACTAGAGGTTGGTATCATCGTTATATATTGATGTGTAACATCTTTCCTCTCGCTTTCCTGCAATTTGTAGGAGTGATTACGTGAAGTAGGACGGAAATGTGTAACAGGAAGTTTGGGAAGCGTGTGCTATTTGATTTGATTTTAGAACAATGTTCAAATGGCTTATTCCTTTCGTAGTAGATTTAATTTCTTTTTTTACTAATATAAGGTGAGGTTTTAAATGTAACACATCATACGCGACTACTGTAAGGCTCGCTCGTTTTTTAATTACTCTTTATTGTTTTACAAAAAATAGCGGACTTAACGCCACATGGCATTCTCTACCAGTCAACCATCGGGCTAAGCAGATACATTATGCGGTAAAGTAAATAAAAGCATAAAAATAAAATGAGGAAAAAAATATGATAAAATTACATGTTACTTAATATAATAATTATAATGTTACATCTATAAATATTGATATTATTTATCTATAATATAGGGGAACCAAAACTAATAAGGGTGTACTGGACTCCGAACAAATGACGGTAAAAAGTGTAATACACTTAGCCGTTTGTCCGAATTCCATAGGCAAACGTATATTCCATAGGCAATCGTTTTTTACACTAAATAATCATTCTTAAATATAGCCTTGGTAATATTAATACTCAGAGTTATGCATTAAGTTTATGTAACTTAATTATCTTCTTAGTAAAAAGATATTATTGTGATCCTTGTATTTCTGTTTATACGTAAAAAGCTATTGCTTATTAGTTTAAGGCCCATTTGCAGCAAATTTGCTAGTTTTGGATTCAATTAAAAATAGATTTAACCCATAGAAAAATGTCAAAACTTCAATCTTAATTTGACATTTTTGTATTGGCAAAATCTCGATTTCATTAAATTGGTATTAGCAAATTTGCTGCGAGTGATTTTTATTAAAATTAGGAAACAACAAAGTTTTGTATGGGCGTAAATACGTAATTGTATTTACAGTACGTCCGAACTACAACCCATACTTATACAACGAGAGCGGATACCAGCCGTACGACTACAATGGCCCATTAGAAGAGATAGGCCAGCGCCGTTATCTGCCGGGCCAGCCAAACCAGATAGACCAGCCCGACTGGTGGTACGACCCGCAATTAGTTCGCACCAGGATGTTTAACTTCGTGAGTTATATTTATTTTGTCACTCTTATAACTACACTGGCCCATTGAAAGGGATAGACCAGGGGGCCAATCGCCTAACTGGATTGCTTTGGAAAACGCTATCGCTTACGATTTCATTTTGTTATTTCTAACCGCCGAAATACCTCACGCTCATTTTCTTTAACATTGTTATTACCAATGCAAAAGAAAAAAAAAGAGCGCGAGGCATTTGAAAACCTCAGGGGGCTAGAAATAACAAAATGAAATCGTAAGCGATAGCGTTTTCCAAAGCAATTCAGTTAGGCGATTGGCCCCCAGCACTGTTATCCTGGTGGTACGATCCGCAGTTAGTTCGCATCAGAATGTTTGACTTTGTGAGTTATATTTATTTTGTCACTCTTATAACTACACTGGCCCATTGAAAGGGATTACCAGCGCTGTTATCCTGGTGGTACGATCCGCAGTTAGTTCGCACCAGGATGTTTAACTTCGTGAGTAATATTTATTTTGTCACTCTTATAACTACACTGGCCCATTGAAAGGGATAGACCAGCGCTGTTATCCTGGTGGTACGATCCGCAGTTAGTTCGCACCAGGATGTTTAACTTCGTGAGTAATATTTATTTTGTCACTCTTATAACTACACTGGCCCATTGAAAGGGATAGACCAGCGCTGTTATCCTGGTGGTACGATCCGCAGTTAGTTCGCACCAGGATGTTTAACTTCGTGAGTAATATTTATTTTTTCACTTTTATAACTACACTGGTCCATTGAAAGGGATAGACCAGCGCTGTTATCCTGGTGGTACGATCCGCAGTTAGTTCGCACCAGAATGTTTGACTTTGTGAGTAACATTCGTTATGGCATTCGTATAACTACACTGGCCCTTTGGACGAGATGAGACAGAACTGTTATTTACGCGGTCAACCTAACCAAATAAACCAGCCCGACTGGTGGTATGATACGCAATTGGTTCGCACCAGTATATTGAACTTCGTGAATAATATTGCAGATATATTGGCTTCTCTTTGTATTCGCACTTACTTACAATACTTATTTTTTTTTGTCTATGCCACAAAGACAGTACTTTTAAATAAAAAGTCTATGACACAAAAGCAGTATTAGCAATTACATAGCTAAAAAGCAAGGATTTGTCGGGTTCAACTGGTTATTGTACTCTTTTTTTAAATTGAATGCTATGATTCAGGTAGTCTCAGGGAATTCTGCAGGAGCATCTTATTATCTCTTATCTATTAGACAAGTCCGTCCGTCTGTCTGTGGTTCTGTTTCAGCGGCCAAACCGTAAGAGATAGATAAAGAGAATATTTAAGTTATAAGTTAAGAATAGTCTGATAAGACTACTAACCGGATTTGTGTAACGTAGCACTTCTGGTTTTCGAGAAATCACGTGATTTCTATTTCAAACGAAACCACACAAAATCTCCGAAGTTCTCAATTAATTAAATACATTTTTTTTAAATCAGGTTTTGGTGAACATTTGGTTCACTGGTTTGCTAGTATTTTATATTAAGCATTAATCTGTTCGATTTATGAATATATAGAATTGTTTTTACTAGAAAGAGTCTTGTAAAAAATCTCTTTATACCATAGATATGTATTGTTTAAACAGGACGAAAAGTACCCGTTCTGGATGGCTAAACCGGACGCGCTTCAGTACCAGAACAACCCTAACTACAACCCTTACACCACCCCTACTCCGGGATACAACTCATACTATACTGCACCTTACGACAAGCTGCCTTACCTGAGATTTGTGAGTACATTTATGTTATTTAATGTTTTATTGTGTGTAAACATCGTTTTGTTATAGATTTACTCAAATCCATCTATTTATCTATGACACTCGTCATCAGTTTTAGCATTTACTTTCTATTAATTAAATTTGTTTCTTAGGTTTTCACGCACATCAATCATTAAATAAAACAAGTTTCAATGGGTTAGATGCACTGATTTTATTTATTTATTGACGTTTCAGACGGATGCGAAACGTGAATAAATAAATAAAATCAGTGCATCTAACCCGTTGAAACTTGTTTTATTTCTATAACGAAACGATCTCACGTTATTGACTAATGTTTATGGAGTCCGTAAAAAGTGGATATTCATTATTCTGTTGTTTTGTGTATTTCAGTAAAAATAACCAAATCAAAAACTTCATTTTTAAGTTGCCGCGAAAACGTTTCTTTGGACAATATGGCGTCTTACTAGTGTGTGACGTCACACGACTGTTATTAAAACGTCAAACGATACAATCTAATGTCACTTTAACCATTCATTTTAGGCTCCGCCAATCCCAAGCGTTTTGAGTTACGTGACAATAGATAAGAAAACTTATCTTTTTCGTGGGTTTTTAGTAAAATTATGAATATTTTTTTTGTAAAAATAGTAAAATCTCCTGCCCATTTTCATTCCAAACACAGATGCTAACAATTGGCACTTTATTTTTAATACTGTCAAATACCCTATTTGCACATATGTCAAAGATCTTTGACACTGAGACAAAAATCAGATGTTATAAAAGTTTATCATACTTCTTCAACTAAGTAACAACGCTTATGAAACTTGTTTCGAATTTTTTTTTCTAGGGAAGGTTATATAACATATATGTATCGTAAGTTTTCATGCACACAACACTTTAAATAAAACACGCTTAAATGGGTTCAAAATACGGAACCCCTATAGGATCCCTTTTTTGTTCGTCCATCCGTCCGTCTGTCAAGACCCTTTTTCTCAGGAATGCGTGGAGCTATCAAGCTGACATTTATATCGAATAATCAGGTCTACTGTCCCTTGTCTTGTCAAAAAATCGAACTTCTAAGCCAGCGCAATCAAAAGATATAGCCGTTTACGCCGCAAATTTTCGTAACTCGCAAGGGAATCAAAACCTATGGTAAACCTATAATAAATTTGGTATGAAGCAACGTCTTATAGCAAATATAAAGGAAAAATTGCGAAAACCTTAAATTTTTAGTTACATCACATATTTTACGGAACCCTCGGTGCGCGAGTCCGACTCGCACTTGGCGCGGTTTTTTTGGACCAGGCAGACGATCCCGTGGTCTGCGTTGATCCTGGTCTTTAACTGCTAGATGTAAACATCTAAAATTATTAAAAAATAAATAACATAAAAATATTCCTATTCAAAGCTTCCGTTGCGTGCACTGCGTTAAAGGTCAAAGTTGCGCAAAAATCATGTATTATATGACAGAACTGTTCTCCAATAAAAAACCTAAGCAAAGTACGCGACTGCATTGGTCTATTTATCTTTTAAGGTTCGCACAATGTTACCCTTTTTAAGGTAATCAAATCTGTGTTTCTCTCCTCAATTTAAAGTGGTAGAAGCTAGAATGTGGAAGAAGCTAATATAATAAAGTTACACTAACTTATTCGGGTACATTATAGATATTAACGGGATTGTTACCATGTACCTTGTTTTTTATGAGTCTCCGATATTTCGGCACTGTTGCAAGCGCCATGATCACGGAGTAACTGAAGTAATTGCGGGTAGATGTTATTGGCAGACATATCGGTCTACCCTCTGACGTCGTCTTTTACTGCGTTCGATACCCCTACCACTGGTCACATTCTCACTATTCACTCGCATTTGTTCCCGGTATTTGGTACATGGTAACAATCCCGTTAATATCTAATTAAAACAATATATTGTTCGGGTACAGTTTAACGGCACATACGACTTCAAATACCCGATGTCGGAGCTGGCTCAGCTAGTGCCCGATCTGGACGGCGTGGAAGTTATTATCACCGCGGCCGTGGGAGACCCCTTCCTGGACGACATCATAGAGGGATACAGCATCGCCAGGATATTCAACTCCTCGCTCAAACTCACTATATTGGGGGGTTCGCCGCAAGTCTTCAAGCCGTCCATGCCGTTCGATGTTTATGTGAGTAGTTCAGTTATAAATTAACACTAGATATAGCTGTGTCTTTAGGGATAAAATCGTAGAGAGATATAGCATTGCCAGAATCTTTAACTTTTCGCTCCATATTGGGGGGATCCCCGCACGTCTTCAAGCCGTCCATGCCGTTCGATGTTTATGTGAGTAGTTCACTTATAAATATACCCTAGATATAGCTGTGTCTTTAGGGATAACATCATAGAAGGATACAGCATCTTCAACTCGTAATAAATAAAAAAATATTTGATACTTTTACCTGTATTTAGAAATATATATATATAAAAAAAAGATTCTTTGTCAGTACTAAAAACACACGTGATGTAGGGGCCAGCCGGGGGGAGGGTTTAGTCTTAAACCTCACCATGTATTACTAAGGGGGAGGAGGGGGTTAAAAATCATCACGTGATTAATGGACGGCCCCATAGAGGGATACAACATCACAACAGGATATTCAACTCCTCGCTTAAACTCACCATATTGGGGGGGGGGGGGGAGTGACTTTAAAGAGGGATACAGCATCACCTTTATTATAACGCCATTAAAATACTTGTTCTGAAAAGCATCGATGGACGTGTAATTTTCTCTTTAGTTACAAACTGTAAATGTCAAAATTTGTTTGCGAATAGGTCGGCTGGCTTACTTCGTACCGCAATTTTTGTGAATATTCAACTTAAAAAGACTATTTTAACTATTTATACCCACTGTTAATGTGGTGTAATTAGACACACTTCTAATACACTCACTTTTCATTTTATAACTTAAAAAAATTGCATAAAAAATATTTTTTGTTTATATAAGTAATAGCGACTGCCCGCGACTTCGGTCTCGTTAACTTTGGTTTTTTGACAATCCCGCAGGAACTTACAATTTTTCCGGGTTAAAAAAGTATCGTATGTCTCTCGATATCATAAACTATAATTATGCGTATCAAATTTTATCCAAATCCTTTCAGTAGTTTTTGCTGCGTGATTGTAGACAAACAAACAAACATTCACATTCAAAATATTAATAGTTGAGATAGATTTATGACCGTATCTATTAACAGCCTTCTCATATATATATATATATATATGTTTTTATTCTTTGTTTGTGGTAGTTTTTAACCGTGATTGTATGTGTTTTTATGACTACTTTTATTCACGTCAACCTTAGGCCCTACCAGAATATCAGCTCCGCAGCGGCGACGGTAGTGTCGTTGTGGCATTGTGCTGAGGCAGGGACCTAGTTAACTTTATTGTGTGTTTTTTTATATTTAGGCTTTTATTTCTTTTTGTCAACGTTGTTGGTTAATATTTTTTTTTTTCATATTACAGATGGTGGTGTCCTACCATGACGGATCGCCTTTACCATCGTGGCGAGCTGCCGGGATATCTCTGTCCGTTCAACTTCAAGTAGAAGGGAGGGGAGGGGGCGTCGAACCCCAACACCCGACCCTCGTGCCCGGCCACCAGGCCGTGTGGCATCTGCGGCTAGATCTCTACAAACTGCTCAGTGAGTGATACACTAACACTGCAACATACATATATGATTTAAACATAGACAGAGTGCCGGCCGTGTGGCATCTGCGGCTAGACCTCTACAAACTGCTCAGTGAGTGAGACACTAACACTGCAACATACATATATGATTTAAACATAGACAGAGTGCCGGCCGTGTGGCATCTGCGGCTAGACCTCTACAAACTGCTCAGTGAGTGAGACACTAACACTGCACCATACATATAGGATTTAAACATAGACAGACTGCCGGCCGTGTGGCATCTGCGGCTAGACCTCTATAAACTGCTCAGTGAGAGAGACAATAACACTGCACCATACATATATTATTTAAACATAGACAGAGTGCCGGCCGTGTGGCATCTGCGGCTAGATCTCTACAAACTGCTCAGTGAGTGATACACTAACACTGCAACATACATATATGATTTAAACATAGACAGAGTGCCGGCCGTGTGGCATCTGCGGCTAGATCTCTACAAACTGCTCAGTGAGTGATACACTAACACTGCAACATACATATATGATTCAAACATAGACAGAGTGCCGGCCGTGTGGCATCTGCGGCTAGATCTCTACAAACTGCTCAGTGAGTGATACACTAACACTGCAACATACATATATGATTTAAACATAGACAGAGTGCCGGCCGTGTGGCATCTGCGGCTAGATCTCTACAAACTGCTCAGTGAGTGATACACTAACACTGCAACATACATATATGATTTAAACATAGACAGAGTGCCGGCCGTGTGGCATCTGCGGCTCGATCTCTACAAACTGCTCAGTGAGTGATACACTAACACTGCAACATACATATATGATTTAAACATAGACAGAGTGCCGGCCGTGTGGCATCTGCGGCTAGATCTCTACAAACTGCTCAGTGAGTGATACACTAACACTGCAACATACATATATGATTTAAACATAGACAGAGTGCCGGCCGTGTGGCATCTGCGGCTAGATCTCTACAAACTGCTCAGTGAGTGATACACTAACACTGGAACATACATATATGATTTAAACATAGACAGTGCCGGCCGTGTGGCATCTGCGGCTAGACCTCTATAAACTGCTCAGTGAGAGAGACAATAACACTGCACCATACATATAGGATTTAAACATAGACAGAGTGCCGGCCGTGTGGCATTTGCGGCTAGATCTCTACAAACTGCTCAGTGAGTGATACACTAACACTGCAACATACATATATGATTTAAACATAGACAGAGTGCCGGCCGTGTGGCATCTGCGGCTAGACCTCTACAAACTGCTCAGTGAGTGAGACACTAACACTGCACCATACATATAGGATTTAAACATAGACAGACTGCCGGCCGTGTGGCATCTGCGGCTAGACCTCTATAAACTGCTCAGTGAGAGAGACAATAACACTGCACCATACATATAGGATTTAAACATAGACAGAGTGCCGGCCGTGTGGCATTTGCGGCTAGATCTCTACAAACTGCTCAGTGAGTGATACACTAACACTGCAACATACATATATGATTTAAACATAGACAGAGTGCCGGCCGTGTGGCATCTGCGGCTAGATCTCTACAAACTGCTCAGTGAGTGATACACTAACACTGCAACATACATATATGATTTAAACATAGACAGAGTGCCGGCCGTGTGGCATCTGCGGCTAGATCTCTACAAACTGCTCAGTGAGTGATACACTAACACTGCAACATACATATATGATTTAAACATAGACAGAGTGCCGGCCGTGTGGCATCTGCGGCTAGATCTCTACAAACTGCTCAGTGAGTGATACACTAACACTGCAACATACATATATGATTTAAACATAGACAGAGTGCCGGCCGTGTGGCATCTGCGGCTAGACCTCTACAAACTGCTCAGTGAGTGAGACAATAACACTGCACCATACATATAGGATTTAAACATAGACTGAGTGCCGGCCGTGTGGCATCTGCGGTTAGACCTCTACAAACTGCTCAGTGAGTGAGTTAACTAACACTGCACTATAGATATAGGATTTAAACATAGACAGAGCACCTACTTGGAGGAGCTCGATGGTGCATGTGGTTAGCGCGTTCAGATGCGATCGTTGAAGTTAAGCAACTTTCGCAGTGGCCGGTCAGTGGATAGGTGACCAAAAATCTTCTATCTCGAGTTCCTCCGTGCTTCGGAAGGCACGTTAAGCCGTTGGTCTCGGCGGCATCTGTAGTCGTTAGCATCCCCCAATCCGCGCTGGGCCCGCATGGTGGGTCATGACCCAATCTCCCTATTCCATCCATAGGGAAGGCCTGTGCCCCAGCAGTGGGGACATTAATAGACTGATGATGATGATGAGAGTTTCTACCGCAAGTGTTCTGAAAATTGAATTGTGCATGAGTGCGATATTGCAATAATTGGTTGATTGGAGTGTTAGTAGTGTCAATACTGCCATGATTCTCCAAACTTAAAAACATCAGTCTCTCCTTTTGAAAATGAAATGAAAATGAAAATTTGTTTATTCCTTTAAATAACATAATAGTACAATTAGTCGATGAGTCCTCCTAGTAAGTCTTAAATAAAACCTGTATCAGGAGAACCCGCTCTCTCATCACTGCAGGTAAGTATCTAGATGATGCTATTTATACAATAATCGCCAACACAACTTAATATAACAATTTTGCAATAAACAAACCGCCAACTAAAATTATTATACAAGACTCACTATCCGAACAGTTAAAATTGCTAATATTTTTATATATATTGCATTCTGTATAGAGAATGACAAGGATACACTATTGTCTAATTTAAGTTTAGGTTTAGAGAATCATATCAGAATGGTCATCAGTGTCGTTTTGTCAAGATATGGAAAAAAATCCACGCGGACCAGGCAGCAGACGGGACTCGAACCCGCACCCTTCGCAATCCGGGCGAATGCACTGACCAATTATGCTACCGCGGCCCTAATGGCCGCGTCGAAATTTCTCTAGCCATTCTTAAGCTCCTTGCAGCGCCATTTCTTCGCATTGTAGGTAACCCACAATGTCAAATGAATACTTTTACAAGTACTAAACAAACTAAAATTATGACTATAATTGCTATTTCTTCTTTCAAATGTTTAGTACTTGTAAAAGTATTCATTTGACATTGTGGGTTACCTACAATGCGAAGAAATGGCGCTGCAAGGAGCTTAAGAATGGCTAGAGAAATTTCGACGCGGCCATTAGGGCCGCGGTAGCATAATTGGTCAGTGCATTCGCCCGGATTGCGAAGGGTGCGGGTTCGAGTCCCGTCTGCTGCCTGGTCCGCGTGGATTTTTTTCTAGTTACATTTTCTTTAGATTTAAACATCAAGCAGTTACATGCTTAAAAAATTAAAATTATGGATATATAATTTGTCAAAGTATTTTGTTTTGTCTGTGTGCGTGTCGCCGTAGTATTGAAGTTTAACTGTATTAGTTTGCAACCATGTTTTAGCAGCCTTTGTTAGAGAGTAATGCTTCCATATTATTTCTTATTCATTTCTCTAGCCATATTATATAATAAATAAATATTTCCAACACTCACACCAATTAGCCTAGCGCAAAGTAAGCACTATAAGGCTTGTGTTATGGGATGCTTGGGTTACGGATAGAATACATGTACTGTATATATATAAGTATATTTATATAGAAATACATATTAAATATCAATGACTGGAGTACAAATGCTCGTATTCATCACACAAACATCTGCCCCCACCGGGATTCGAACCCGGAACCTCTCGAATCGGCGACGCCGTGAAACCCAGACAATTGACCAGAAAAAGGTCAAAAGACCAGGGAGGTCGTCAAAAAAATTTACCTTAAAAAAATATTAACCTTGCTATTCTGAATCCAACTACTTACCTTCATTATACAAATAAATAATCTGATTCTGATTCCAATTTCTTACGCTGTGCACTTCTGACCAGTGATATATTTATTTCGAAAAACCCTTCTCTCGTTGATTTTAAAACGTTACTTGTTTTTTTTCTATAGAATTGGAACGCGACCAGAACTTCCGCGAAGTGTTAGGTGAAATATCAGGTGTACGTCTCAGGGCAGAACTGTCCGACGGAGGAGGATATAGGGCCACGGCCGATGCTCACTTCATAGCTCATTATAGTGAACACAACCAGCATCTGAAGATATCCACCAGCACCACGGACGCAAGGGTCAGTATTATTGCTTATAGCGACCACTATAGCTTAAGTCTCTGTTTTCCCAAAGGTTGACTGGGAGAGAATGCTATTAGCATTAAGTCCACCTTTTGTACCATTCTCTTGTATTGTGGTCAATTAAGTTTATATAAATACGTCTCGTCACCCATCCCTCAATGTCTTAAGTCGAAAGTCTTCGACCAGCGCGTCCTCCCAGTTATGACATACGGCGCCGAGACGTGGACACTCACGGCTGGACTGGTCCACCAGTTTAAAGTCGCTCAGAGAGCTATGGAAAGGGCTATGCTCGGAGTATCCCTGAAGGACCGCATCAGAAATGATGTAATCCGACAGAGAACCAGAGTCACCGACATAGCCCACCGAATTAGCAAACTGAAGTGGCAGTGGGCTGGTCACATTAGCCGCAGAACTGACGGCCGATGGAGCCGTAAAGTTCTTGAGTGGAGACCGCGACTCGGTAAACGTAGCGTGGGACGCCCTGAGACAAGATGGGATGATGACATTCGTAGGCTGGCTTGACTGGGCTGGATGAGAGTGGCAGAAAATCGGGAGCAGTGGCGTGCATTAGGAGAGACCTATGTCCAGCAGTGGACGAGCATGGGTCGATGATGATGATGAAATACGTCTCGAGATATTGTCTTATAAAGACAAGAGTGACTGCCGATGCTCACTTCATAGCGCATTATGGTGAGCACAACCAGCACCACGGACGCCAGGGTCAGTATTATTTCTCAGGGCTCCGTCAAAAAATGCGAAAAAAAAAACTTATATTACGTAAAGTGTCATTTTTTCGACAGGTATCTAATCAATATTAGTTAATTTAACGCATTTGAAACCAACTTTGTTCTAATATTTAGTATAAACTGTTTTAATAGAAAACATTTGTGATATTGTAATGCATGGTCGGTTATATAGCCGATTCTTTTCCTCGAGCTCCGTATCTGCAATATGGGTAACAGCCCGTTCAGAATCACGCGTAGACTTAAAGAAATAAAGTGTATATTCTTCCACCTATAGCAACAAGTCATAAAAGGACATCGGCCAAATCATATTTGGATCAAAGTTGAACGTGTAGAATAGATATTTTTACTTATATTATTATTTAAATATAAACCGTTTTTACAAATTGTAATTGACACAAATAAAAGCCGAGTAAAATAAAAAACATAATTATATAAAACACTGCGTTGACATTCATCCTAACTTGTCCTTTTTGGTAAAAAATCTTGGCACTTCTTTTTATTGAAAATACAGCATTAAAAATCAACTGATAACTAGATTCATTAGGTTTCTAGGTTCAGTCTATAATAACGTTTTATTGTAATAGATTATTGTCTTTGTAATTATTATATTTTTATATTGGTGATTTTGTTAAAAAGTTGTGCCAAGATTGTTTAACAAATAGGACAAGTTAGAATGTTTTATTTAAGATTCTCCCTTTTCGGGAAAGGCAAAGGGAACAGTGCCCATTAAGCCAAGTCCTTAGTTTTATTAATCTTCGTTATTTTACATTAGAATGTCGGTGTGGCTCATTCTAATGTTTCTTGGAGTGTTTGACACGAAATGTATCGAGTTGGCTTTTCAGGTAAGCTTCTGTGAGGTAGTCAACACTACAATAAAGTTCTCACGTCCACTTGACCGGAATAGCGTATATTTTAAAGATTCCACTAATTCTTCAGTTGCGCAGACGGTTGTAACACAAAATCACACCAATTTTATTTCACAATATCCACTGTAAACGAATTTAAGAATAATTAAAATAAGACGCCAATCGCACTCGATGAAATCAAATGGCTTCGCTTCTACTACATTTTGAATTTATCTGTGATATTGGTATACTTATTATGATTTCTGTGCAAAAAATCAATTACTGTAATGATAAAATGTATTACAGATACGTAATAAAAATGTTAAAATAACATAACCAATAAATCAGAGCAAAATAACTTTTTTCCTCGGCTTTCTTTCGTCGTGATTCTTACATATATAAGCTCAATAAATTACACAGAATCTAATGATATATCATTTGTTGGAAGACGCAACAATTTAATTTGAAATAAAACGATGTATGGGAGTTGACCGATGACCTTTTACGAGATTGCATTTCGGACTATCATTAGGTACGCTTTGACACATGCGTTTAAATTAAGACTACCTACTTGAATACCATGCATTAAAGCTTTGAATGTTTAAATAATGCACTAAATGACTTTTGACTACGCGATCGTATTACGGAGCTTCGTGGAATGTCCAATGTTTGTAAATCTTTTGGAAAAGTTTCAGCCACGATTTGTTCGATTTGTTGGATTTAGGGTATTTAATATCGTTGGGAAATGTGGAGTTACATCCGATGGTCACTTATTTGCACACGATTAAACTCGCAAATCCAAAACTTGTAAAATATCTTATAGCTTTTTTTTCTTTGTTAATGATTCACGTTCGATTGAGAAAATTTGATACTTAATTTGATGTGATTGAATGGTGCCCCGACCCCACTCCTGATTTTAAAATCGCCTTATTTTGAAAATGTCGTTACAGGTGAACGAATATGTGGTATTTCACGTGGAGAGCAGCTTTTATATGGAGACATTCAACTACGTGGTCATGTCCAAAGGCATCATTCTTACAACTGGTCAAGAGAACATAGAGGTAAGTTGGTTGTATAATTTCTTGAATATTTACTACAGTATAGTACTAATAATAATAGCCTTTTATTTAGATTTAAATACATAGCTATACATTAAACAATATTTCTTATATTAATGAACCCTTGTCATTATTTTATATTTAGTTGTTATATTTATGACTAGCCTAGTCCGAATCAGCCCTTTTTGTTTTGTGTCTGGAAAATGCCTTACGCATCCTTCAACCACTGGGGGAGCGAGAAGAAGGTGTGTGGGACTCCTCCCTGTCCCCTTCAGCCAGCCCTGGAGCTCGCTGAAGTGAACAGGGCCTTACCTACGCCCTGTATCCCTAGCACGAACCATTATCGAATTCGAATAGTTTGCAAACCGAAATGTCAATGTCAAATTTTGTATGGAAACTTGAACAGCAGCGGCACAAAGTACGTAACGAGAACTAAAAATCAGTACACATTTGACAATGACATTTCGGACTCGCAAACGATACTAATTCGATTCGTGCTAGAGGGGTTCTGAACAGGGTTACTAAAAACCAGACAATACTCCTGCACTAACCCTAGCCCTAACCATACATCAATTCAATTCATCAATCAATCGGCGCTGTCTGCCGTAATACAGGCATTTTGCCTAGCTCTGCAGCAGATAAATATATAGTTATGTTAGAGATATTAGTACTGTTTTAAGCCTTATAAGTTAAATTTTAAATCAACTGTTACTGGAAATAAAATTATTCATCATCATCATCATCAGCCTATTAATTGTCCCCACTGCTGGGGCACAGGCCTTCCCTATGGATGGAATAGGGAGATTGGGCCATGACCCACCACGCGGGCCCAGTGCGGGTTGGTGGGTGCTAACGACTGCAGATGCAGCCGGGACCAACGGCTTAACGTGCCTTCCGAAGCACGGAGGAGCTTGAGATAGTAAATTTTCGGTCACCCATCCAATGACCGACCACTGCGAAAGTTGCTTAAATTCAACGATCGCAGCAGAACGCGCTAACCACTTGCACCATCGAGCTCCTCTAAAAAATTTAAATAAAATTGTTATTATTATTAATTTGTACACAGGGAGGCCTGTGCACGTTCTCCGTAACAGTATCGGCGGAGATGGCGCCGGTGTCCACGGTGGTAGTGTGGGGCGCCCACAGACGGAGGCACGTGGTCGCGGATTCATTAACCTTCCCCGTCAACGGCATCTCCAGGAACAATGTAACTATAATCTTATCTGATAAACGGTGTCGATACTGACGTGATTATTGATGTGTAACATCTTTCCTCTCTCTTTCGTGCAATTTGTGGGAGTGATTACGTGAAGTGGGACGAAAGTGTGTAACAGGAAGTTTGGGAAGCCCGCTATTTGATTTGATTTTTAGAAAATAATGTTCAAATGGCTTATTTCTTTTGTAGTAGGTTTAATTTTTTTTTTTTACTAATATAAGGTGAGGTTTCAAATGTTACACATCATACGCGACTACTGTAAGGCTCGCTCGTTTTTTTAACCTTAACTAAAATTTTAGTAATATAAGTTATTTACGGGATTGTTACCATGTACCTTGTTTTTAGCGAGTTTATATTTTGGCACTGTTGCAAGCGTCATGATCACGGAATAACTGAAGTAATTGCGGGTAGGCTGTTATTAGCAGACATATCGGTCTACCCTCCAACCAAGTCTTTTATTGCGCCTTCTTTAATTCGAACAGATCATAAGGTAAACACAAACAGATCGTAAGGTGGGTTAATAAAGATATTGAAAAAGCAATTACATATTTCAACAAAAACAACGTAGCCAATAAATTGAAAGCTTTAGATTTTCTAAATTTAGTTATTATTACAATAGGATTCACCTGTATTTTAACGCCAATGTTATGTAATATATGTTTTGATTTCAGTCAGTTATGACACTATAATTTTGGCAAGCAGTAATAACTAGCATTTTGGGACATTATTAATAAATAAAAAATAATAAATAAATATTTCCAACAATCACACCAATCAGCCTAGCCCCAAAGTAAGCAGTGTAGGCTTGTGTTATGGGATACTAGGTTAATGGATATAATACATATACTGTACATATATAAGTATAAATGTTCAGAAATACATATTAATCATCCATGTCTAGAGTACAAATTCTCGTATTCATCACACAAACATCTGCCCCCACCGGGATTCGAACCCGGGCCGGGACCTTTCGAGTCGGCGACACTATGAAACCCGGCGTACAAACCACTCGGCCAAGAAGGTCGTCTTAAATAAATTATGTAGTCTTAAAATTTCAATGTAACAAGAGTAAAGAAAGATTTTGATTTCACGACCTCCGTGGCACAGTGGTTTGTACGCCGGGTTTCATGGTGTCGCCGACTCGAGAGGTCCCGGGTTCGAATCCCGGTTTGGGCCGATGTTTGCGTGATGAATACGAGCATTTGTACTCCAGTCATGGATGTTTAATATGTATTTTCTATATAAATATACTTATATATATGTACAGTATAATAATATGTATTCTATACGTGACCCTAGTATCCCATAATACAAGCCTTACAGTGCTTACTTTGGGGCTAGGCTAATTGGTGTGAGTGTTGGAAATATTTATTTATTATTATTTATTTATCTCGTTCCCAGTTCACTGTGTTCGTGAACAACCGTAAGCATCGTACCGGGGAGCGAGTAGAAGTCGCTGTGTACGGCGAGCCCGGCGCTTACGTGGGACTGTCGGCCATCGACGACGCCTTCTACACCATGCAGGCCGGAAACGAGCTCACTTACGCCAAGGTGAGAATGATGACGGGGTTAAGTTTTTTTTTATAGATAGGTCAGACAAGTGACTCCACTCCACCTGATGTTAAGTGAAGGTGAAGTCCAGACGCGAAGATAGCTAGTAAAGCCGCTCACCCTGCTGGCCTGCATGTTGCTTCTTCACCCCTCTTTTAAAGGATCCCAGGTTGTAAGAGGGAGGGAACACGTGAGCGGGCAGAGCATTCCATTTACGGATAGTGCGACAAAGAGTTACCAAATTTCACAGTTAGACGTAAGTACAGTAAATTCTAAAGAAATTTTTACTAGAAAAAAATCCGCGCGAATCAGGCAGCTGATCCTGATGGTCCTGGTGGCCGCGGTAGCATAATGGTCAGTGCATTCGCCCGGATAGCGATGGTTGCGGGTTCGAGTCCCGTCTGCTGCCTGGTTCGCGTGGATTATTTTCTAGTAAAATTTTCTTTAGATTTAATTATCTAACAGTTACATTCTTATAAAATAACAAAAATATTTATAATTGCTTTTTCTTCTTTCAAATGTTTAATATTTGTAAAAGTATTCATTGGACATTGTGGGTGATCTACAATGCGAAGAGATGGCGTTGCAGCTTAAGAAAGGCTAGAGAAAATTCGACACGGCCATCAGGGCCGCGGTAGCATAATAGTCAGTCCGTTCGCCCGGATAGCCAACGCCATCGGTTCGCAAAACTACGACGGGAGACCTTGTACTGAGAAGAACCGGCGAGATACTCAGCAAGGGCTGTTGTTTTCTCCTTGTATTATTATATACAGAGTCAAGTTGAAATATGACTTCAGCGATACTTCTGGAGCCACCTTCCATTTTTTTTTAAATTCATCCATTAGCCTAGCCCCAAAGTAAACACTGTAAGGCTAGTGTTATTATTATTTAGTGATATACAACTGTACACACATTCACGCACTTGCTCTCTATCACACACACATACACACACACTTATATAAATACACCTCATACTTTAAGAAATCAGTTGTCCAAAATTTGTTAACTGCCCTAGTGCAGGAAGAGCGAGGCATCCCAACACAAGTATTAATTATTACTTTCTGAGTTGTCACAACATGTACTGTAAACTGACTCTTTGGGAAATAAAAACCATTTTCATTTATTTATAACAGTGTCCGAAATATTATTGCAGGTGATATCGAAAATGTCCCGTTTCGACGAGTCCACGAACGGCACGTTCTCGTACACGTGGCGCTCGCACTTCGGCGACGCGGACGACCTCGTCTACTTCCCTTCTTCGACCTACGGCATCGACGCCAACAGGACTTTCGAGTAAGTATCGTGTCACGGCTTATTTAGGTTTGTACCAAATAAAACGACAAATTAACTTTACTATATATATATACAATAAAACAAGGAGCTCGATGGTGCGGGTTAAAGTTAAGCAACTTTCTCAGTGGTCGGTCATTGGATGGGTGACCAAAAATTTTCTATCTCGACTTCCTCCGTGCTTCGGAAGGCACGTCGAGCTGTTGGTCCCGGTTTTATCTGCATTCGTTAGTACCCACCAATTCGCACTGGGCCCGAGTGGTGGGTCATGGTCCATTCGCCCTATTCCATCCATAGGGAAGGCCTGTGCCCCAGCAGTGGGGACATTAATAGGCTGATGGTGATGATGATACAATAAACTACTAATTTCTTCGGTGGTGTTGTGTGGTCTTTACGTTCCCCAAAAATAAGGTTGAGCGAAACGATGGCTGATTCATGTGTCATGCTCGTGAACGGGTGCTGCCAGTGGGGATGAGGCTGCTCTATACTGCGTTACTCTTAAGATGCTTTTTATTTTATACGTATTATGAACACTTATTTATTTATTTACTGTTTGACACAGCAATTAAAATGTGAGTAGACGTTGTATTGGTAGCGACATGATTTTTTGTAAATGTTGCTACTTCTGTTGATTGCTGATGAGTTCCTTGCGCCCATTCTTCTTATTAGCTAAAAGATGTTATGAACGGGTGGTAGGAAAAAATATTGGACGATTCAAAAGAACTTTCAATAAGTCAATTTGAATAAGGTATAATTTGGTTTCATTCAATAAAAAAAACGAGTGTGCTTAAGAGACCACACGACCGAAGTGAAACTTCTTTAGCTCCATGTGTGTGTATGTGTGTACAATATATACATGTATGTACATATACATATTTCATTTACTAGCTATAAGAGAAAGAGTAAATAGAAAATGTGCGCGCGCACTGCTGTCTCTTGCTTATATCCCCCGCTCAACTCCCGTTCGCCTCGCCCGAACACATTTTTCGTTTTCAGCTTACCCCCCAAGTCAAGCGTGCGTAAAGAAGTGTCACTTCAAAAACAATTTGGACATAGACCAGGGACATAGGTAGGTTTGAGGTCGGAGCCAGTGAATGCACCGGAGTGGCACTCTCCTGTTAGGTGCTACGTCTAGGTCCCAGCGGTCACGTGCCGAAGCTTGTCGTAGCAATCTGATCTTCGTCAGCCCTCAACTGAGCTAGTGGTTTCCAGGGGTCAAGAAACCCGTACGTAGTTCCCAGTGTAGGATGTACCAGTACTAAATTATTAAGGAAACCAAAACTTCACAAATGATAAAAATATATCATCAGATGATGTTTATTTCTCTTCCAGTCATTTCATACATGACTTGGGTACCAGGTCTCGCATCTCGCAGTTTTTGTTTTAGTCTCATATGATACACCTAAATTTTCCGTGATATACATATAATGAAACTGATAATGAGAAATCAAAGAAGTGTTAGCATATAACGACAAAAGTGAAAAGTTATTTTATGTTATATTGTTATAAATCGTAATCACAAATGATAAATTTAAAACATTAGAAATTGCAACAAGGTGGAATTACTTGCAACAATCGCAGTGTTGGAACATTTACAAAGCAATTAACGATCGTGACCATCGTAATCGGAATTAGGAGAGGTAGGGCATAGTGTATTTCTCGCTCAAATTGGAGCGCCCGTCTGGGGAAGTAACCTCCGCCTTACAGAAGACCGCAGGAAAATGACACTACCTATTGGTGGTGTTGTGTTTCTGTAGATGAGTAAGGTTCCATGCCTACACGGGATAGGGGATTGGGTCAGGGTAGCTAATGTCGCGAGTAATATTTTTCATATCGTGTCTATAGGCTATCATCATCATCATCAGCCTATTAATGTCCCCACTGCTGGGGCACAGGCCTTCCCTATGGATGGAATAGGGAGATTGGGCCATGACCCACCACGCGGGCCCAGTGCGGATTGGCGGGTGCTAACGACTGCAGATACAGCCGGGACCTACGGCTTAACGTGCCTTCCGAAGCACGGAAGAACTCGAGATAGATGTCTTTGGTCACCCATCCAATGACCGACCACTGCGAAAGTTGCTTAACTTCAACCATCGCAGCCGAACGCGCTAACCACCTGCGCCATCGAGCTCCTCTATAGTCTAGAGTCTATAGGCTATGGTAGTCGCTAACCATCAGAAGGGCTATATATATGGTTGTTTGTGTCCATTTTAACATAAAAAATATACTAATTCTTGAAGATATACTCTGTATATTTTTTTATAATCATATTTTGTGAAGGAGTGGGAGATTTTTCCTTTTTTTTCGTTTTTTATTTAGAGGCTTTCATTCTACGAATATGCCAGCCTCATCGTACCCTAACCAAAACATACACAACTAATTTAATTTAAAATATTGGAGAGGGCGAGCTATTCTTACTAGCGAAAACCATATCAAACATCGACTTTGCTGCATCTGAGTTTGGTAGTGCTAATATTTCCACAAACGAACCTATATTTTCAAATTTAAGTTGATATTGTTGTATGAATAGCTCTCTCTCTCTTCTGTCTTAAAGTTTATGTTATGGAGAAGTGTGCGATCTTATTATAAAAATCTTTATATAATAATTTATTATTATTCAAACAACGTATTGTGCTCACTTGCGTCATTGAATAAACTTTTGTTATTTTCTGGACTGGTTAGGCTTAGAAGATTTCATGCTTCTAGATCCAACTATTTTGGCTGTGGATTGATTAATCACTGAATTAGGTTTTGCTTTTATATACAAGTAGTGGGTGCCAGCGACTTCGTTTGCCTGGAAAAATGGGTTTCTCATACAAACTTTCACCCTCTTAAAATATTATTTCTAGGATATAAACTAACCTGTGTTCTTTTCCGAGATTCAAACTCCCCTCCTTTACACCGTCTTAAAAGATAATTTCTAGGATATAAACCAACCGGTGTTCTTTTCCGAGACTCAAAACTCCCCTCTTTTTCACCCTCTTAAAAGATTATTTCTAGGATATAAACTAAACCTGTGTTCTTTTCTGAGACTCAAACTCCCTCCATTTTCACCCTCTTAAAAGATTATTTCTAGGATATAAACTGACCTGTGTTATTTTCCGAGTCACAAACTCCCCCCTTTTCACCCTCTTAAAAGATTATTTCTAGGATATAAACTAACCTGTGTTCTTTACTGAGACTCAAACTCCCCCCCTTTTCACCCTCTTAAAAGATTATTTCTAGGATATAAACTAACCTGTGTTCTTTTCCAAGACTCAAACTTTTTTCATACCAAATTTCATCGAAATCTGTTTAGTAGTTTAAGTGTGAAGAGCTCACACAGACAGACAGACAGACTTTTACATTCATAATATCAGTATGGATAGATAAACTAATTTTATAAAAGTCACGAGTTAACATTAAATTGGTACAGATACGCGGGTCTCGTAGTATTTAGCGACGTGATTGTCGCCCGACGTCCGTCCATCTGCAACCAGAGCCTCGGGCTTCTGGAGTGTCTGCAGGGAGGCTGCTACCACCAATCCTCACGCTGCGACGGGAAACCCGACTGTTCCGACCGCACCGACGAGGCTAACTGTTAGTAAACACCACAGATATACGATGTAAACATAGAGTACCTGCCTCTGGTGTTTCAAAATTGAATTGTGCATGTGTACCATGGAGGTGAGAAAGAAGGAACGATCGCCGATCGCCTGTCCCTGAAAATTTGTAGAATTTATGGTTCATTTTTCAGCCTAGCCTAGACTAGCCGCGCTGCCGTCGGTAAGTAGTATCTGTGAAGTTAGCTGATTATGAGTACAAGTAGATGAAGTTAGTTGAATAATGTACAAATTTTCTTCGCGGCATTGGTCATTTGAAAGCCTAGCGCACAACAGCCCGCTTTTACTGAGACAACTTAGCGATCGCAGCGCCTTACTTATTTTGTCCATATTTCTGGGACACTATTTTCTACAGCTATCGTTCTCCTTCTCTCTAACCTTCATGATGTGTACGTATCGGTGTTTGATTGAAGTGTAGTATCGTTTTGTGTCTTAGTTGGATGAGCACAATTGTTTTCTTAGTTTCACAGAATTTCATAATAAACTTTACTCATGTCGTACGTACTCTATAAACGCACATACATAAAATTAATCAAAACTTATCACAGTACTGTAACTTTTATGTTTTAATATCTTAAATTAGGCTGAATGTAAAAAAAGAATTTATTAAATTTTTCATTCCAAATTTAAAATTAATTTCTCGCGCTTTCCATACAGTTTTCTGCCAATTGTGTTTTGTTATCGGGATTTCTGAAAAGTTTTGAAAGTACTTTTTTGTTAGTTAGTTTAATTTTTTAATTGTTCCTATGAGGTAAGATAAAGTAGTGTGCAGGGGCTGGAATGGGCTAATTAAACTGTTCGAATTCGATATTGGTTCGTGCTAAGGGTACAGAGGCCCAAGAACGAACTTTAACAGCTCCATAATCGAATCGTCATCGTCAATTTTTTTACGAAGCAGCCAGTTTGTTCTTGCGTCCGGTAGAGGCGCTGCTTACTTTTCATAGAAACTTTGAAGATGCGATACGATTACGGAGCTGTCAAAGTTCCGCTTGGAGATCAGTACTAATATATTGGTGATATAATACAAAATAATCAAAGACTACGAATGAATATGATATGTGTCTTTCGAAGGTAGCTCGACACAGTAATTAAAAAAACATTATTCTGACGACGCATTCCTGCAAAGGATGCGAAACGTCAATAAATAAATAAAATCAGTGCGTCTAACCCGTTGAAACTTGTTTTATTAAATGTGTGATGTGCGTGAAAACCTAAGAAACAAATACAAAATAATCAATTTATCATATTGTACGCAGGCGAACATGACGACTGGATGGACTTGAATCACTTCCGAAAATTCCGTTTCAACCGAGTGCAGCGACAATACGACAACGTGTGGCTGTGGCGGGACATCAACATCGGACCGCACGGACGATACGTGTTCACCGTCGACGTGCCGCAGGTTAATGATAATATGTCATCATCAGTTCGCATTTACTATTTCTTTTTCTATAGATAGGTATAATGCGATTCAACTAAGAATAGGACCGACTGGGCGCCATATTGTGACGTCATAGCTGTCAATTCAAACCAAATAGGTAGAGTGAGCAAAAAAGGTTATTCACTAAGATTAAGTGAGAAAAAACAACAACCGATTTTTAATAATATTTATTTATTAAGACTGTGTGAGAAAAAAGATTAATCAGAATCTAACTTTTCAATTACGCTCATATTTACATTACCGCCGGAGAAGTTTTTTTTACATTCTTGTTATTTCCTTGTTTTATTTGTTGAGTTTGTTGTTCTTTTTTCTGTTAAGTTTAAAGTTGTGAATAAATTAAAGGTAACATAAATTATACGTAATCATTAACTAGTGGGTACTTTCTGACATTGTAAAAGTTTTAGAACCTCAGATTCTTTGTTTACATTTTGACTCACGCCAAAGTGCATAGACTCTAGGTACCAAACGGAGTATCAAGGGTTTTGAAATATATCAACAAATGATGTTTCTTTTCTAGTCTTTTGATACTTGTGAACCCAGTCTCGCATCTCGCAGTTTTTGTTTCAGTCTTACATGAGACACCCAAATGTTCCGTGAAAAATAAACAAACTGATAATGAAAAATCAAAGAAGATTTAGCATATATATATATATAATAGACAAACGTGAAAAAATACTTTATTTTATATTGTTACTAGCGGCCGCCCGCGACTTCGTACGCGTGGAGTTAGTTAGAAATAAAGGTTCACTACTCGATCCCCGTAGGTGATAGAGTGATAATATGTAGCCTATATGTTGATCCGACTTCTTAATGATATTCGTGCCAAATTTGAAATAAAGTCCATGCTGTACTTTTTGAGTTTATCCCGAACATACATACAGACAAACAGACAAAAATTCTAAAAACTATATTTTTGGCTTCGGTATCGATTGTAGATCACACCCCAAGTATCCTTTTAAAAAAAATATTCAATGTACAGTTTTCACTTTCCTAACATTTCTTTGTATATACACACATCAAAAGTGTCTAGGGATCAACATATATTTTTGCAATAACTTTTCTCCTGATTGATATTAATTAAAATTTTCTTTAAGGATTCATCAAATAAAGTGTTTTCGTTTGTCACAGTAACGATAAACCAAGTCACCTTTGCATTAATAAAGAAATTTGCCATTTTCCTAATAAAGGGATTTTTGACATTTGAACCACTAACACAAAAGTTCGAAAAAAAGACTGAAATAACAGTTTTCTCTAAAATTTTATTGGGTAACTTAAACAATTAATAATCCGTATTTCTACCGCGAACACTAACAACACAAGAACATCGGTTTGGCATACTCAAAATGAGTTCATCCAAATCACGCTGTGGAATGGCCGCCCATGTTCGTTGCAACAACAAAAAAAGGTCTTCTTGCGACTGGATACCCTCCATATTCGGCAGAGCTCTTCTCTGTAGCATATCCCATGCATGCTCAATCGGGTTCAAGTCTGGCGACTGAGCAGGCCAGGGCAGGACATTGATCTTAGCTGCGGCGAGAGTCTGTCTTACAACTCTTGCGGTGTGCGGTCGTGCATTATCATGCATTAACTGAAATAAGGGACCGATTTGCACTTGTAGAGGAACGATGACGTCTGATACAATCGTCTCAGCATAAATTTGAGGCCTCTGATCCAAATCAACTCAGTTCTTCCGCCGATCCAAATACCCGCCCATACCATGATGGTTCCACCACTATAAGGATGGACTTCCTGGCAGGATTTTAATCGCTGTTGGCGTCCAGGGGTTCTCCAGTGTCGTATACGTCTTGTATCCGGTCTCATACCAAAACGAGACTCATCAGAAAAGCACACGAAACGCCATTGTTCTTCTGCCCAATTTCTGTGTTCAAGAGCCCATTGATATCGAATCCTACGATTGTGCATTGCTATAGGTGGTACCCGTAGCGGTCTTCGGGGAATGAAGGTTCACTTCATGCAAGCGGTTTCTGACTGTTTGGTCGCTAATTAAGTTCCTTGAAGAGTGATGAAGCCTCACGGCTAACATCATGGCGGTTATTGTTGGAGCTCTTCGAGTTAAGATTTGAATGTATCGGTCTTGTCTCCGTGTGGTGCAGCGATACCGTCCTCCATGGCGCTCAGCCACAGTACCAGTGCTTCGGTATCGTGTCCAAAGTCGACTGATAACACTCTGACTTGTATTCAGAGCTAAAGCCACAGTACGTTGCCGGGAACCAGCTTCTATCATTCCCACGGCTCTGAGCATTTCTTCCCTGCTTAAATGACGTCGCCGCTCCATAATAACGTTGGTTTTAATCAGTAGTAGGGAAACAGTAGCACTAATAATGTCTTCAATGCGTTGTATGTTTTTGTAGGGAAAATATTGACAGCTGATTTTCATCTTTTACTCGAATTTGATTCACAGTTCCTGATTCAAATTATGAAATGCACCAAAAAGGATCCATATAAATTTATAAAATCATAAATTTATTACAAAGCCACATCTCAATCTCAAGAAATCCGCATAAAAATGCTTGATCCGTAGACACTTTTGATGTGTGTATAAATAAATCTTAATCTAATTGTGCAGGTGCCTGCTCATTGGACAGTGTCGGCGTTCGGTATGTCTCCCTCCCTCGGACTTGGCATGCTGCATACTCCGATCCATGTAAGTAAGAAGGTAGTTTTAAGAAAGCGTGCTGCGTATAGTTGTCAACAACAACCGCAGGATAACAGAATAGTTCGGTGTTCAATAATTCGTTATATTATCTGCTATCGTAATAAAGAACTTCGCTAGATATTACACTATAGGAATGGTACATCAACATTTGTATATCAAGATAGTCGCTATCTGCATAAAAATCTCGACATCGCCGAGTATAAATAACAATACTATCTAGTGGCGTCATCTATTATACAAAAGAATAACTAACTGTTACAAATTCACCAAGTTGACCAGTGACCAACCAGTTCTGTGGTAAATTTATATCTAAATAAAAAACAAAAAACAGTGCATTAACGAAAAACAGTGCGACAATGCGATTTCATACAACATTTCTGCACTGTTTTAGTTCTAAGCAAAAAATACGTCTTTTGCGATCTGTTTTGTAATGATTAATGATAACATTACTGCGTAGATGAAAGAAAAGTTATTTGTTGCATGAATCATAAGAAGTCTTCATATTTCGACGACCTCTCAGTCCCGGGTTCGAATCCCGGTGGGGGCAGATGTGTGATGAATACGAGCATTTGTAATATAAATATACTTATATATGTACTGTATATGTATCTATCCGTTACCCTAGCATCCCATAACACAAGCCCTACAGTGCTTACTTTGGGGCTAGGCTAATTGGTGTGAGCGTTGGAAATATTTATTTATTATTATTATTTGTTATTTCCCAGTACTCGGGCGTACTACCTTTCTTCATGAAAGTGGAAGGGCCGGACGAGTGTCGACAAGGCGAACAGGTTGGATTGCGAGCGGTAGTCTTCAACTACCAGCCGCAACCCATCGAAGCAGTGGTGGTATTAGCTGCCTCACAGGACTACAAGTTCATACATGTGGAGGAGAACGGCATTGTGAGTGTCTTGATTTGTAGTTTGTTTTCATTGTTACCTTTAGCCTCTACTGCTGGGGTTTGGGACTTGCCTATAGATGGAATAGGGAGGAATCTGTCGTTCTTCATGAAAGTGAAAGGGCTGGACGAGTGTCGACAAGGCGAACAAAACCCTAAGCACGAACCACCATTGGTTTGCAATATCGAATTCATTACGTTAGGGAGTGCAAATCGACATTGTATAGAAACTTGAACAGCACCACAACGGACGTAACGAGAATTCAAAATCAGTAACATTAACTTCTTGACATTTGGCGTATCTAGATAGAATTCAACTATTCGAATTCGATAATGGTTCGTGCTTAGGGTACAGTGCGGTTCACGGGAGGTGGTGCCTCACAGAACTACAAGTTCATTAATCTAGAAGAGAATGGAATCGTGAGTGTGTTGATATGTTGCATAAGTTCATTGTTAGTTTAAGTCTTTGCTGCTGGCGTTTCGGACTTACCTATGGATGCAATAGGGAGATCGGGCCAAGTCACACCACGCAGGTTTTGTGTGGATTAGTGGCGCTAACTAAAGATGCCGCTGGCTTAAGACGCCACCCAAAGCATGGAGGAGTTAATAGATTTTACGCCACCCATTCTATGATTGATAATTTTGAAAGTTTCTCAATTTCCATGATCACAGACAGAATGCGCTAATAACTGCACCAATGTTCATATGTGCTACCTATTATTTCATAAGTTATGTACCTATTGTTGATATATTATTTGTGTGATCGCCGGTCTGTGACGTTACGTCGCCTAAGCAAAGTCGTGTACCACGCCAACACACACTTATATATTATAGTTGTGTGACCCATTTCCTTTCATCTTTTCTATGGGATTTTTCCATTTACACCCGGTCCAAAAAAAAGTTTCACTTCAAAAATACTGTTTACGATATAGGTTCGTTCATACAACCCTCGCACCTCATTCGGCGAGCACCAGTTCTTCGTTTGGATACCGGCGGGAGACGCGGGCATCGTCCACGTGCCCGTGGTGCCCACCCGGCTGGGGACTATCCACGTGCAACTCCACGCCTCCACTCTCATGGGGCAGCATCATGCTACCAAGACCATGGATGTCAAGGTAACGTATCAGCATCGGGCGTTTTATGCCCCCGTAGCTGAGGCACAACCTAACTAGCTTATGGATGGAATAATGAATTTGCGTCATGAGCCATCATGCTTTAAAAATTTTAATTTTGTTGCTCTATAATATTGGCTGTTTATCTGAAATTAATTATTTTATTTCCTCTGCCGCAGCGGCAGAGACCTATAAAGGCCAATATAAAAAAGAAAAATTATGTTAATATACGACAAAAATTCGACACGGCCGTCAGGGCTGCCGTAGCATAAACGTCAGTGTATTTGCCCAAATAGCGAAGGGTGCGGATTCGAGTTTCGTCTGCTGCCTGGTCCGCGTGGATTTTTTTCTAGTAAACTTTTCTTTAGATTTAAATATCTAGCAGTTAAATGCTCAAAAAATAAAAACATAACTATGTTATGATCAATAAAATCTTAGTGGCCCGAGGCACCAGATTTTAAAATACGCCCCTGAGAAGACATAAAAAAGAAGATGCCTGTTATATTTCCTATAAGTGAACAGCCTTACCAACATAACTGTAAGGAGTACATTTTACTCGACCTATCAAATCGCGCGTACGTGTTCCAATACATGTACGTTAATTTGACTTAAACTACCATACCGTACGAGGTGGACTCATACTTCTTTACTTCAAATTCCAAAGTGTATAGTGTATAGACAATAGATATTTGAACTTATAATTACCTAAATAACTGGTGGGGGACCGTAGTCTGCCGCTCAGGGCGACAAAAGCCGAATTAAGGCAATGGATACTGACCTATATTTGATTTTTAAAATGATTAGTAGTCTGGGGTGTCAGATTTTAAAATACGCCCCAGAGTAGACGTAAAGAAGTAAATGTCTATTGGGATTTAGGATTGGCATTACATCTTAAGAATGTAGAATCTTAGGAGTCATTTTTACACCAGTGTAATATTACATTAGTGGTTACATCCTATCCGATATCTTTTAGTCTGTATGCTTTTATCATGTGTATATCTAATACAGACCGTGTCTTTTGAGTAATCTCAGCAACTTCAAAATCGTGTAAATAAAAATAGTGAGAACAGTAAACGTACTACGTACTCCCATACAAAAATGTTGATTTATCGTCGTATAAGCATACCTATTATAAATAAACCGTTTTAAGTGCGTAGATCTTAAAAGTAGTTTTATTTTCATCAATTTATGACAATTTAAAAAATATAAATTCTCCCTACAGACGGACGGCCTCCTACAATACTGTCACCAGTCTATATTTAAAAAAAAGTAGTTTTTTTATTTGAATCAATTTATGACAATTAACAAAATATATTTATTTCCCTACAGGCGGACGGCCTCCCACAATACCGTCACCAGTCTATATTACTAGACTTATCCAACCGTGCCTACGTGTTCCAATACATGCACGTTAACGTGACCGAGACGCCGATCATACCGTACGAGGTGGACCGCTACTACGTGTTCGGGTCGAACCGCGCCCGCATATCGATCGTCGGCGACGTGGTCGGACCCCTGTTCCCGACGATGCCCGTCAACGCTACGAGTCTACTGGATCTGCCTATGGTAAGTTGAAATTTTGCACTATATACAGTGAAACCTGGTTAATTGGGATTTTAGGGACCAAGGATTTTGTACCATTTAAAGAGGTTTTCATTTATCCAGTTTTCCAATTAGACAGGTTTAAAATTTAGTTGTCTCATTTACAGAGGCGCCGCTTATAGAGGTCGAAATGTACCGTTATTCCATTTATAAAGGTGAAAATGTTTCTAAAATTGCGTATTTGTGGTGTTATGAATTAAGTGTAGATATATATTTATTATAAAAAAAAATACTTACAGTAAAGTTTATGACTTACACAAACATAACTGATAACGGTTGTTTGTTTCTATTTGATTGCTAGTTGCTTGAACCTGTATCTCAAAAGAATAAATTTGATCAAAATTACGAGATAGAACCTGATAAAGGGAATTGAGCTCCAGAGTCCCAATTAAAGAGGTAAACATCGAAAAAATCCTAGAAATCAAATCTCATTTAACCAGATTCGAAAAGTCCGATTAACAGAGGCTATGATGATAAACGTGATTTGACGAATGAGTAGATCTTTCGTTTCGGTTCTGCCACCTGGCCCCCTTATGCATCTTGATAATTAACAGTCGAGAGGACATATTAAAATTTATTCTCTACAATACATCGACGCGGATTTCAATCAAACCCTAGATGACCCCTAATCATAGTCTATTTTAGAAAATAATCATACCAAGCTGTACTTTGATGTTGGTATAAAAATTATCTTCATGTACACTCATAAAAGTAATTTGTTTTAAAACCAGGATTCAGCTGAGCAGAACATGTTCAGTTTCGCTGCGAACATGTACTTGACAATATACATGCGTCTCATAAACCAACGCAACCACACTTTGGAGCGCGACGCGTTCTACCACATGAACGTATTATACCAGCGCCAGCTGTCCTTCATGAAGCCCGATGGCTCCTTCAGCTTGTTCCGCAGCGACTGGTGAGTCTTCCGCCCATCATCATCATCATCTACCGTATAAACGTATTGTACCAGCGCCAGTTGTCCTCCATGAAGCCCGTCGGCTTTTTCGAAACTGTTCCGCAGCGACTGGTGAGTCTACCGCCCATCATCATCATCATCATCTACCACATGAACGTATTGTACCAACGCCAGCTGTCCATCATGACGCCCGATGGCTCCTTCATCCTGTTCCGCAACGACTGGTGAGTCATCATCATGATCACACACATCATCATGATCACCTACCACATGAACGTATTGTACCAAAGCCAGTTGTCCTTCATGAAACCCGACGGCTCCTTCAGCTTGTTCCGCAGCGACTGGCGAGTCTACCACTCATTATCATCATCAGCCTATGAAAGTCCCCACTTCTAAGGCAATGACCTTCACCGTAGACGCGATGAAGTCCCACAACGGGGATCTCGCGGTTCCGTACTTAACAGCGTAGAAGGTATTCGCAGGGTTTTTTAGCGGATAGTATGCCGTAAGCGTTCGTAAGCCGCACGGACTGCCTAACGGCTTCTCCGTGGCGCACCCGTGAGACTTGCGAGAGGCTAGGTGTGAGGTCTGTTCGTTGGTGTGCCCCTTAAGGACGCCAACGTCTGTAAATAGCGGTTCTGCCAGCGTAAAAAAATAAATAAAAGGTACGGGCCTTCTCCGTGGATGGAATAGGGAAATTGGGCCTTGACCCACCACGCGGGTCCAGTGCTGATTGATGGGTGCCAACGACTACAGATGTAGCCGGGACAAGCAGCCGTTGGTCTGAAACAAACGTGCCTTCCGAAGCACGGAGGAGCTCGAGATAGTAAATTTTTGGTCACCCATCCAATGACCTACCGACAGCAAAAGTTGCTTAACTTCAACGATCGCAGCCGAAAGCCCTAACTACTTGCATCATCGAGCTCCTCAAACCTTCTTTCATCATTATGTAAATGACCCCAATGCTGAGACACAGGCCTTACCTATGGAGGGAATAGGGAAATTAGGCCATGACCCACCACTTCCGCCCAGTGCGGATTGGTGACTGCTAGTGACTGCAAATTCATCCGGGACTAACGGCTTAACGTGCCTTCCGAAACAAGAAGTTTCTTGTCACCCATCCGATAATAATCGGGCAGTGCTAAAATTTACATCATTAAATTTGTTTTGTTCAATATCGATTGTCTCAACATATAACGAAAATATATTGTTCTACACAGGAATCAGTCAGCATCAAGTGTTTGGTTGACGTCGTTTTGTGCGAAGATATTTCAGGACGCATCCTTCAACGAATGGGAGAACTTCATCTATATTGATCCTAATGTAAGCGGGCATATAATATTTAAGTACATAATTATGTTTAAAATTTGGGCATTAGCACGTCACTAAAACTCAATAAACCAGTGTTTCCTAACCTTTCCAATACTGCTACCCCTGTAACCTATTAAGAAAAAAGATTTTACCCCGACTTTAAAATGTTATCATCAGTCCAAGAAATTCCAATTTGGCCGCTACATCTTGGTCTCTAATAATGTCATCATCAGCAGAAAATCTCGCCCCGCTTCCCACACTCAGCACCCCGCGGGCTCGCAACCCACAAGGAGCGCATGCTCTATTTAGTAGTATTATTATATAGTATTTTCTTATTATATCGATTTGGCCAAATAAATAGGTTCTTTGTTACCCCCGAAGTATGGCGAACTGTTGAAACTTTCCCGTCATTTGCCGGAATACTATACCAGTAATATAATTCGGGCAATGGAGGAAATTCCTAGCTTCTCAGTTTTGTGAATAGAATATAATTTTTCTTCTCACTAGAAGGACGACTAGGATCTTTATGAATTTGGCAAAAATTGAAACTAACCCCGTTGTCTTTGTAAACGTCATGTTGTTTATGTCACTTACCTAGAAGGTGGCGCCCTCCCTGAACTGTCACTCACATTTATAAAGATCCTTGTCGCACTGTAGCCTTTTTTTGCGTCACTTTTAATTCAATTCAAAATATCTTTATTCAAATAGGAAGCTTAATACAACTCTTTTGAATCTTCCATATTTTTTTCCCTACCTCCCGTTAAGGATTTTTTTTTTGCTGTGGAGAAAAACCTGCGAAACAATCTTCATAGCGTCAAATCTTGTAACAAAATTTACAAAATATTATATTTATAATTTTTATTTTTTAAGCATGTAACTGCTTGATGTTTAAATCTAAAGAAAATATAACTAGAAAAAAGGCAGCAGACGGGACTTGGCCTAGTCCGCGTGGATTTTTTTCTATAGTCTATTCACTTTGGCCTGAGACAAAATGTAAACAAAGAATCTGAGGTTCTAAAACTTTTTTAATGTCAGAAAGTACCTACTAGTCAATGATCAGGTCCAGCTTCACCACTCATTAATATAGCCACGAAAACGTCAATTCAACAATAATCACAGACAACTTTAAATTTAACAGTAAAAAAATAACAAAAATGAAACAAGGAAATAATTTAACAATTATGATAGAATATGCACACTCGCGTCAACAGGTTGATCGGGAGAGTAAAAATGGCTGACGTAAAAAACCAACCGATTATAAAGTACAACATTTCAACGTAAAATACTTATATCATGTCTACTCTAAAATTTTGTCGTATTATACTACGTCTTAGATTGGGAATGATTGTGTTTTTAGATCTTTTTCCATGTCAACTGAAGTTGTTAAAATACTTTTATCAGCAATATAAAAATATACGAATTTATGATGTGTATGTACGTTAAATATATGTAAAATATTTTATTTTCTTATTCAAATGTATGTTTTTAACCAGCTTTTAAAAAATTAACTTAATGTTTCACTGCATTTCCTATGTAAATAGTATTTAATCTTTACTTTTGTCAAAAGTGACCTTAAAAGTATCCTTTTTATGGTTTGTTTACATTTTGTCTCACGCCAATGTGAATAGACTATAGTTATATTTTCTTTAAATATTTGTTACAGGGTCAATACAAAACTAGGTCATTTTTCTCATAATTATAGAAACAGCCTGTTGGGACGTTTGTAACAGTTTAAACCCAAATATTTTTGTTTAAAATATAATCAGACATCTTATAAACGCTTTATTCATAAGAACTTTTTTAATAGCAGCTTTAAATTTATTGACGCTCAATTGTTGGATATTGCTAGGGCCTTTTGTGTAAGCGTACACAAGACCTTGAAATGAATTATTGATTTCGTGGTGCCTAGTAATTGGAACAGCTAGTTTATTTTTATTTCTAGTATTAAGCTAGAGGATATCACTATTTATAGAAAATAAAGCAATTTTTTCGAACATACATTACATTTTCATAAATATGTAATAATATTTTTATTTATTTTATTAATATTATTTTCAGTTATGTAATATGTGTGCTGCGTGTTGGCAATTAAGTCGTATTAAACAGGATGACGAATCGTATTAAGCGTTAAGAAATGTATGAAAACATGTCTCAAGTTGCAGGGACTGACGCAAAATGGCGTATTATGCGAGAAATCGTATTAAGCGTGATCGTATTAAACGGGATCTACTGTACTTATGTTTTCTGTATTGTTTACCAGGTGATCTCCATGGCGGTATCCTGGGTATTAGAACACCAGTTACCCCACGGTGCTTTCTACGAGGTGACATGGCTACCGGACCGCAACGATAACTCCACGCTATCCGTGCCCAGGGATCACCCTGTCGCCGGACAACTGCTGGCTGATCCGGACAACCCTGCCGTTGTAGTGAGTTATTTAATACCCCTAATAGGGTATTTGACAGTATATTAAAAATAAAGTACCAATTTTATGATCTGTATTTAGAATTAATATTGGCAGGGGTTATTACTATTTTTACAGAAAAAATGTTCATAATTTTCTTAAAAACGCACGTAAAAGGCAACAGTTTTCCTATCTATTGTCACGTGACTGGAAACGCCTGGGATTGGCGGAGCGTAAAATGACGTCACACACTAGTAAACGTCAATGTGACGTTACATTGTATCGTTTGACATTTTAATGACAGTCGTTTGATGTCACATACTAGTGAGACGCCATATTGCCCACTGAACGTTAGGCAATTTAAAAATTGAGTTTTTGATTTAGTAATTTTTACTGAAATAAAACAACAGAATGATGAATATCCACTTTTTACGGACTCCATAATCATTAGTCAATAACGTCAGATCGTTTTCTAAAACTTGTCAAAAACCCTATTCTTCTATTCTCTCAGGCGGTCTAGTATACTGGGGCCGTAATTATAAAAAAAAACTTTTTAACATAGATCTGAGTTCCCATTAACTACTTGCGTTGGCATGACAACGATACCTAATATTAATTTGACTAAGAATAAAGAGGTTTATTATTTTTTACTTTCCGATGGTTTAATTTTTCTTTGACAAATTAAAAGTTTAACTTTTGTATAATGTTGCTATCAGGTAAAGGACTCAGTGATATCGCAACGTAACATCACGCTGACCGCCCAAGTTGTTATAATGTTAGAAACTGTGAAGAATCTCAAGGACATCGGCATTCGGGAGGTAAGTTCTGATTTACTTTTACCAAGGAACTATAAAGTTCTCTTTATTGACTTCGCCAAAAACAAGTGTTGTGTGCTCCTACGCAGTAAATTAACATATAGAAATTAAATATAAAATGAATAAATAACTTTATTCAAAAATTTTCACTACCTATAATTTAGCAGTAAAATAGTAGCGGCAAATTTCTTGAGATTAATCATAGACAACAAAATCTGCGCAGTAAAAAGTTAATATACAAAACATCAAGTGTTTGTCTAATACTCAAGATGCTTGCAAGTGAACCCCAATCCAGAAGGCGGGGTGAAAACGTGCAATCAACACTCCGATCAGTCTGTCGCCGTGCTCAGTGTCAGATGCTTGCGTCATTATGAGTAAAATCCAAGAAAAAACACGTCTTTAAAGGGCAAAAATGAAATGAAAAAAAAAATACTGGCAGAGAGAGAACAGAGGCAGCTTTCTGTAGAAAACTCCTTTGAGGTTATGTGGTATATAAGACTGAAAGAAGCACGTAAAATACAAAGCTGGAGAAGCAGCTATAGAGCCATAAGGCTCTTTGTGAATGTGACAAAAATTTTTACTAACGCCGCCGTCTTTGTAAACGTCATATTTTGTATGTCAATTACAGTCATTTACCATGCAGGTTGGAGAAAAGGAGAACGATAGCTACGTACTTAAGCATCAGCCCGTCTGGCCCTGAAAATTTGTAGAATTTATAGTTCATTTTTCAGCCACCAGCCGCGCTGCCGTCGGTAAGTTGTATCTGTGAAGTTAGCTGTTTATGAGTACAAGTAGATGAAGGTGGTTGAATATTGTACAAATTTTCTTCGCGGCATTGGTCATTTCATGTTAGCCCGCTCTTATTGAGACAACTTAGCGATCGCAGCGCCTCACTTATTTTGTCCATATTTTTGGGACACTATTATTTACAGCGATCGTTCTCCTTATCTTTAACCTCTATGGTCATTTACGTAGACAGTGGCGCCATGCCTGAACTGTCACACATTCATAATAGGGTATTTGACAGTATTAAAAATAAAGTGCCGATTGTTAGCATCTGTGTTTAGAATGAACATTGGCTGGGGTTTTTACTATTTTTACAATAAAATATATTCATAATTTTTCTAAAACCCCACGAAAAAGATAATAGTTTTCTTATCTATTGTCACGTGACCCAAAACGCTTGGTATTGGCGGAGCCTAAAATGACGTCACACGCAAGTAAAGTTCCGATTAAAGTGACATTACATTGTATCGTTTGACGTTTTAATAACACTCGTGTGACGTCACTCACTAGTAAGACGCCATATGTCCGTTAAAAACGTTTTCGCGGCAACTTGAACATGGAGTTTTTGATTTGGTTATTTTAACTGAAATACACAACAGAATGATGAATATCCACTTTTTACGGACTCCATAAACATTAGTCAAGAACGTGAGATCGTTTTCTAAAACTTGTCAAATATCCTAATAGGGCACACTGTTCACTTACTTTACGTCTCCATGTTTGATAGTTTATTTTTTTTACTCAAGATGTTTGCTCTTCTATAATATGTGGTATGTGTCAGGGTCTGAGCGCTCGCGTGGTGCAAGCCCAACAACTGGGCATCACGTGGCTGGAGAAGCAGCTCCGCTTACTCGACGAGTTCGGAGAGCCATACGCGCTGGCTTTGGTCGCGCACGCGTTAACTCTATCCAAGGCACCCACTTCGGAGCACGCCTACAGACTGCTGCGGAAACGGCAACGATCCGAAGGTATAAATAAATAAATATTTCCAACACTCACACCAATTAGCCTAGCCCCAAAGTAAGCGAAAACTAATTACGAAAACAGGCTTGTGTTATGAGGATACTAGGGTAAATGGATAGAATACATATAGGGTACATATACATGTATGTTTATATAGAAATACATATTAAACAGCCATGACTGAAGTACAAATGCTTGTATTCATCACACAAACATCTGCCCCCACCGGGACTCGAATCCGGGACCTCTCGAGTCGGCGACACCATGAAACCCGGCGTACAATTGACACCATTGACCCTACTTATAATCTTTGTCTATAATTAAATTTAGAACTCGACTGCAAGTTTTGGAGAGTTTATTGGTGGCGATTCTGACATGATTTTTTAAATTTTGCATTATATTTGACAGCAGTATATCCTTGTCATTCTCTATTATACAGATGATTTAGACTATGAAAAGGCGAGACTGATGCTAAATTTAGTTCTAAGTTTAGAAAATAATGCCGTAATCGTCACCATTATTTAACTTACAACTTAACGTAATTTCGGAGGAGCTCGATAGTGCAAGTGGTGAACGCGTTCGGCTGCGATCGTTGAAGTTAAGCAACTTTCGCAGTGGTCGGTCATTGGATGGGTGACCGAAAATTTACTATCTCTAGCTCCTCTGTGCTTCGGAAGGCAAAGTAAACCGTTATTCCCGGCTGCATCTGCAGTCGTTAGCACCCACCAATCCGCACTAGGCCCCCGTCATGGCTGAATCTCCCTATTCCATTCATAGGGAAGGCTTGTGCCTCAGCAGTAGGGACATTAATAGGCTGTTCTTAAAAACGTAATAGGGTATTTGACAGTATTAAAAATAAAAAGCGCCAATTGTTAGCATCTGTGTTTAGAATGAATATTGGCAGGGGTTTTTACTATTTTTTGCAAAAAAAATATTCGTAATTTTACTAAAAACCCACGAAAAAGATAATAGTTTTCTTATCTATTGTCACGTGACCCAAAACGCTTGGGATTGGAAATGGAGTTTTTGATTTGGTTATTTTTACTGAAATACACAACAGAATGATGAATATCCACTTTTTACGGACTCCATAATCATTAGTCAATAACGTCAGATCGTTTTCTAAAACATGTCAAATACCCTATTCTTCTATTCTCTCAGGCGGTCTAGTATACTGGGGCCGCGAGCGCGTTCCGCCGCCTCCATACAAAATGGAGAACCAGAAACCTTTCCTATTACCCCGCCTGCCGTACAAATACGACTCCAACAACATCGCAGCCACTGCGTACGCACTTCTGGCCTGCATGGACCATCAGGACAACAACGAGCCTATAGTCATGTGGCTGAATGCGCAACGATTGAAGGACGGCGGATGGGCGTCTACGCAGGTGAATATTAATAAATAAATATTTATTTCTTAGGTTTTATTTATTTATTTATAATTAATGCACAAGTGTACAAAGGCGGACTTAATGCCATAGGCATTCTCTACCAGTCAACCATAGGATGTTGTGGATAAATAGTGGCAGGGTGCACAACTTACATGGTAACTACAGAAAGACGAACATATATAAATATGTAGCAGTCATATATATATAATCACACATACATAAATAATTACTTACATGTAAATAACTATACATATACATACAAACATACATATATAAATATACATACTAATACATAATAATGACGACTAACGTTTAAGCTCGACTGTTTGTTCCTGTAAAAAGCTTCGTAGCTTGGTTTTCAAGCTAATTTTGTTGATGTTTTCACGCACACCACTCGTTAAATAAAACAAGTTTCATCGGTATAGTAGCACTGATTTATTTATTGACGTTTCTCATTCTTTACAGGGTGCGTCATCTGAATAATGATTGAATCATGGTAATAAAATCTTTATTCAAAAATCAGCATCCTGTAAAGGATGCGAAACGTCAATAATTAAATAAATCACTGCATTACCGTTGAAATTTCTTTAATTTAAATAAATATTTCTAACACTCACACCGATTAGCCTAGCTATAAAGAAAACACAGTAAGGCTTGTATTATGAGATACTAGGGTAACGGAAAGGGTATATAGACTAATTCATATATTACTATTTTATAGATAAATATATAAAAGCATCAATAACTTAGGTACAAATGCTCGTATTCGTTATACAATATTTTGCTACACCGGGATACGACCCCGGGACCTCTGGACGACACATTGAAAACCGGCGTACATACCACTTACACTGCGGAGGTCGTCATCGGTTTTTTCCCCATTGTATTTTTACTCAAATAAAAATATCTAGGCTACTGAGCTGGCCCTTACGAAAATAGGCGCCAACTCGGAAAGCGGATGATAGCTCAGTCTCTTCTCTATAGTTATGAAATCGGTGCAACGAATTAAAAATAATATGGAATACGAACTGCGTTAAAAAGTGGTTCCAATTAAACTGCGATCAAGTGGGCGGGGCGAAATAAATGCGATCAACATGTTGATCATGGGATTGATTGGGATTTCCGTTTAATATTATCTTACCCAGAATGAATGGATAGCCGAATTTATTTGCAGATATTTGATGTGTAAAAATTATTTGTTTTGATTATGTGCGTGTCGCGTTAGTGTAGTTGTGTGTGAATAATAATATAGTTGTATGAGTTTGAATCCACATTTTAGCGGCCTTTGTAACAGAGTAATGCTTCCATAGCATTTCTAATTCGTTGGCTGGCTCTTATGAAAATAGGCGCCAACTCCATCAATAAAATAGCTTAGTTTATCTTTATTACTCTCTATATATATTTATGACTTCAATGATATCATCTCATACTCACTCATCGTTTAGAATTCGGTGGCACGGCGAGATTACCTCATTATATTTCTCACCTTATTAACACATGCATATGGTTTGTTTCAGGACACATATGTGGCTTTACGCGCTCTCATCGAGTACACGAACCGTAAACGTTTGCGTGACGTGAGCTCGCTCGATCTGACCATCGACGCCGTCGCATTAAACGGATCTACTCGTTTGTTGCACGTTAGCAATAATAACCTAGCATTGATGCAGAGTATATCGGTGAGTATTTTATAAAAGAATAGTAAGTAAGTACAATACGATTCAACTAAGAATAGGTCTGTCCGGGCGCCATATTGTGAATCAATTCAAACCAGTTAGGTAGAGTGAGTAAAAAGTTTTTTTTTTTTAATAAAACTTATTTACCAAGCTAAAGTGAGATATAATATTTATTTATTAAGACTGAGTGAGAAAAAACATTAATCAGAATCTAGCTCTTTAAATCCGCTCATCTCCATACTACCGTCGGAGTAGTAGTCATCACCCTTGCTGCTTTCGGCTATAAATAAAATATCGATTTTGTAGGTTTTAATACAACAACTTTATTTTAAATAAAAACGTTCTAAACCTAAAGAAAACATAACTAGAAAAAAATCCACGCGGACCTGGCAGCAGACGGGACTCGAACCCGCACTCTTCGCTATCCGGGCGAATGCACTAACCAATTATGCTACCGCGGCCCTGATGGCCGCGTCGAAATTCTTCTTGCCATTAAGCTGCAAGGCAGCGCCATCTCTTCGCATTGTAGGTAACCCACAATGTCAAATGAATACTTTTACAAGTATTAAACATTTGAAAGAAGAAATAGCAATTGTAGTTATAACTATAAAAACGATCTTATTATTACCTGTATTTATAATAAAATTAAACTTTTGATATTTCCCAGTACTCATTTTCTATACGTTTCATATGATTTATTTACGTCTCTTGTTTACAAATGTTTGGTTTTTAATCTAAGATTAGCTCAGTGCTGAAAAAAATGTATTTTTTTTAAACCGTACATTACAAGCGACGTTTGACAGATGGAGGTCATTGGCTTTCCTATTCTTATTTGAATCGCATAGTATGTCACGTACAATCTAGAAACAGATATAGGCGCTGTAAACGTCGGCGCAACGTGAGCTTCCTCAATCTTTACCCCTAGCACGAACCAATATCGAATTCGTATCGTTTGTGAGTCCGAAATGTCATTGTCAAAATGTGTACTGATTTTTAGTTCTCGTTACGTACTTTGTGCCGCTGCTGTTCAAGTTTCCATACAAAATTTGACATTGACATTTCGGTTTGCAAACTATTCGAATTCGATAATGGTTCGTGCTAGGGGTACTGTACTCTCAACATGAAACATCGAATTCGAGTGGTTGAATTCGATCTACTTTATACGTCAAATGAGGACTCATTTGTACGTCCGTTGCGACAGTGCTGTTCAAGTTTCCATAGAAAATTTGACAATGACATTTCACACTCGCAAACTATTCGAATTCCATATTGGTTCGTGCAATAGTAAAGGAACTTACCGTGGACGACGTCGCATTAAACGGATCCACTCGTTCCTTGCTCGTCAGCAAATTTAATTTGGCGTTGATGCAGAGTTTATCGGTAGGTATTTTATAAACATTCACTAAATAGTATGTTACGAACAATCTAGAAACTAGCATAAATAGCATCGCGCTAAAAATACTGTATGGTGTCTATACTATAATAGTTTAGGCTGTAGTGACTACTTACCACCACACACAGACCCGTCTTTCCCATTGGGCACTTTGGGCAAGTGCCCAGGGCCCCGCGATGGATAGGGGCCCCCTCAGATCAAATACAAAGTCCCTAGTTCCTGTTAAATCACCAAACGGAAGTCGTGGGGGCCCCATTATTCTAATATGCCCAGGGCCTCCAATAGGTCAAAGACGGCATTGACCACACATCAGGCAGGCTTATTATGCTTGTTGCCATCCATTTCCGTTGATAAAATACCAGGGTACCTCGAGGTTAAGGATATTGTTACAGTAGGCAACAAGAGAACCATATTGTACGGTATCGCAAACGTCTATAGGCGTCGGTGTTTCTAACCCTATTATGGCGCAATTACATTTGGTCGCTAGCCCGTATTGGGGTGCACGAAAGACATTACACAAATTCGGGCACCAGAAGCAATTTTTACACTAGAAGACAGTGTCGGGTAAACAAAAGAAATATACACAAATACACCCATGTACTCTGCTCCGTACATTTTCACCAAGGGTGGCCAGGCCAACCAGTATATCGCGATCGACCGGTCGATTAGTGAAATCGTGCCATTACTATACAGGGTTAATTTTAAAACACCAATAACCGCTTAAGGGGTGATTCTACCTATCAACAGGAACAACTTTTATTATGGGACCGACGCTGAAATCGCGAAAAAAAATCTGCTATTTCATACAAAAGTGCATCAGCTAATCGACAGAAATGTATGAAACAGCTGTTTTATTTCGCGATTTCTTAGTTGGTCCCGTAATAAAAGTTGTTGATGTTTTAAAATTAACTCTGTATATGCTTGTTTACCGCCCATTTACCATGAAGTAATGATCACTACATCTAATACAGATCCCAGAAGCGTGGGGCACGGTAAAAGTGACAGCCCGCGGTGCCGGCTACGCGATCCTGCAGATGTCCGTACAATACAACGTGGACGTGGAAAGATTCCTCACAGCGCCTCCTGTAAAGGCGTTCTCTCTCCTGGCCCAGCCGCTGCGGTACTACGGCCGCAATCAGTCGCACGTGGAGTTCCAGGCCTGTGCCAGGTATTTCTTTTTATTATTTTATTTAATCTTTTTTGCCTTTACATTGCAAATGGCGGACTTAATGCCAATACGGCATTCTCTACCAGCCAACCGGAAAGAACATACAGAGCTAAAAAAACGGCAGCATCAAAGAAGAGAGATTAAAACAAACAATGATCAAATATACTAACACTTAACTATACATACGACCATACTTACATAAATATACACACAAAGACATATATATATACATACATATAACACATATACTTTGTCGGATTACAGTATTCTCATTGTAAAGGTTTCTTTCATCAACTTTTTTTCTTTTTTACACTCACACCAATTAGCCTTGGCCCAAAGAGGGCACTGTAGGCTTCTGTTATGGGATACTAGGTGTCTGGGCATAGAATTGAAGACTCGGTGAATTTTAGTATTTTCTTTTATATAAATGATGGAGTGAATTCACAATTGCAAGCTATATTTGTCAAGACATTACAGTACTGATGATAAAGCAATTAAAGAATAGGTATAAAGGCGATATCTATGGCGAATCCTCGAACAACGTGGGTTTGGAAGACAGCGACTGAAGTTTGGTACGAGGGCGAGCTACATTTTCTATCCAATAGATGGCGCCACCCGCTTGTGAAACATTATTACTACTAATGCTAAAGAGTTTGTTTGTTTGGATACGCTAATATCAGGAACTTTTAGTCTGATTAAAAAAATATCATTTTTTGTTGGAGGTATCGAGGAAGGTTCTAGGCTATATAGCATAAAGATATGACTAATTGGAGGGGAGCACTACTGAAAAAGTTTGCAAAAACGGGCAAAAATATTCCATTTGTGAGCTTCCGATGCGTACGCTGCGTAAAAGTTTCATAAGAATCATGTATGTAGCAATTGTTCTCTTTTAAAAGTTCTATAAATAAAGTACGTGACAGCATATGTCTATCTTTCAATGGTGATCCATTATAACCGTTTTCCTCAAATAATAAGGGTGAAAAATGAAAATACTTCAACGAAAACAAAGTCGCGGGCGGCCACTAGTCTGTAATAACAGGTTTTTCTGTAAGTATGTCAGTTACACTTCATAATAAGGTTAGAAGGGTAATCATATACCGCTTGTACGGGAACCAATGTCACCGGCTCGCCCCCACTACACTTGCACCTAATAGATAATAGCCAGTCAAACGACGCGACATCAAACAATCGAACCAATCCAGCGCTCACATCCGGAAGCAACGACCCAATCAGAACCAAGTTTTAGTCAAGTTCACACACATTACTGTGGCGCGCCTACCCCGTCCGCAAGAACCTTCTAACCTACGATATTAAATACCCTAGATACACCACGTATGCTCAAAATGTGTCCCAATCAAGAAATGCCTGAACACTACTCAAGCACTTCTTGGTTCACAGTCATGCGCGGAATGTTGAGAAGTCAAGATAAAAAAAAACGCATTTAAAGCAAATTTTGTTCTAATACTTACTATAAACTGATTTAATAGAAAATATTTGTGATATTCAAATGTATGGTCGGTAATATAGCCGTCTCTTTTCCTCGCGGTCCGTACCTGCTCTATTAGTAACAGCGCATTTAGAATTGCGTGTAGGGTCAAAGAAATAAGGTCTATATTCTTTCGCATATAGCAACAAGTCGTAAAATGTTATGAGCCTGCATTTCGAACTGTCATAAATCTTTGACGCTTGCGGTTTTATTAAGACCTTATAGAGTATGCATTAAAGGTGACTTTCAATGTTCAAAAGATGCCTTATATTATTTTTGACTACGCCATCATCTTACGGAACTCCGTGGATCGTCCAATGCACCTTTTGGACAGGTTTCGGCTACGATTTTGTTCGTGTTGGTGTATCTACGACGACCTGTCGACGACGACTGTCATGTTTGACGACCTCCGTGGCCGAGTGGTTTGTACGTCGTATTTCATGGTATCGCCGACTCGAGAGGCCCCCCGGGTTCAAATCCCGGTGAGGGCAGATGTTTGTGTGAGGAATACGAGCATTTGTACTCGAGTCATGTTTAATATGTATTTCTATATAAATGTACTTATATATGTACAATATATGTATTCTATCCGTTACCCTAGTTTCCCATAACACAAGCGTTATAGTGCTTACTTAGGGGCTAGACTAATTGGTGTGTTTAAAAAAATCTAGGGTATCTCTTATCTATTAGACAAGTCCGTCTGTCTGTGGTGCTGTTTCAGCGGCCAAACCGTAAGAGATAGATAAAGAGAATATTTAAGTTATAAGTTAAGAATAGTCTGATAAGACTACAAACCGGATTTGAGTAACGTAGCACTTCCGGTTTTCGAGAAATCAGGTTTTGGTGAACATTTGGTTCACTGGTTTGCTAGTTTTTACATAATAGCGTTACTTCTGTGTTCTGTGGTTTCCAATTGAACATAACAACTGTCGCTTTAAAAAATATAAATTTGTTTGTATACACAGCTGGACCCTCCTAGAAGAATCCCCCCGGTCGGGGCTGTCAGTGTTGGAAGTGACAGTTCCCACGGGATACATGATCCAGCAACAGAGGCTGGACGCGTACGTGCTGTCCCGACGCGTGCCTCCCTTGCAGCGCGCCAAGTATACTCCCACCAAACTGTTCTTCTACTTCCATTACGTAAGTGGTAGATTAACAATCGATAAATAAATAATAAAAAAACGAACTAGCTTTAATTTCGCCGCACACGGGCCACTGACCACAACCACAAAACGCCGCCACCGGCATATTTCTTGTAGTATTCATACATTTTATATGGACTCGCCACACACGGTACGCCGGTGGCCGCCACACGCTACAAATCGTCGTTGCTCGCTTCTCGCTTAATGCGCCGATACAAAACGCCGCCACACGTCACTCGCGCGATTCCCCACCCCTCTCTCCCTTACCTTAGTCGGCCGCTGTCGCGCGCTTCAGCCACTTTAGTAGCCGCTTCTAGCTTCTCGTGGCGGCGTTTGTGGCTGTGGCGTGTGGCCCGTGTGCGGCGACACTTACAGTAGTCGCGTATGATGTGCAACATTTGAAACATTAGCTTATATTAGTAAAAAAAAGAAATAAAACCTACTACAAAAGGAATAAGCCATTTGAACATTATGTTCTAAAATCAAATCAAATAGCGCGCGCTTTCGCCACTACCGTTCCATTTCACGTAATCACTCCCACAAATTGCACGAAAGCGAGAGGTAAGATGTTACACATCAACATTTTTTTTTTTTATTTTTTCCACAAAAGTCAATGATTACATAGCTTACGATACTATCACATAGGTATGACATATTATTATAGCTGCTGGTACTTAAAAGCGAGCGAGGAGCTCGATGGCGCAGGTGGTTAGCGCGTTCGGCTGCGATCGTTGAAGTTAAGCAACTTTCGCAGGGTCGGTCATTGGATGGGTGACCAAAAATTTACTATCTCGAGCTCCTCCGTGCTTCGGAAGGCACGTTAAGCCGTTGGTCCCGGCTGCATTTGCAGTCGTTAGCACCCACCAATCCGCACTGGACCCCCGTGGTGGGTCATGGCCCAATCTCCCTATTCCATCCTCCCTATGGATAAAGAAACGCACACGCACACACATATGCTTAAATTTATGATTGTCAAAATGTTTGTATTAAAATCAATATAGCACAGAGTATTCGTTTTTAAGTCATCATCATCATCAGCCTATTAATGTCCCTACTGCTGGGGCACAGGCCTTCCCTATGGATGGAATAGGGAGATTGTGCCATGACCCACCACGCGGGTCCAGTGCGGATTGGTGGGTGCTAACGACTGCAAATGCAGCCGGGACCAACGGCTTAACGTGCCTTCCGAAGCACGGAGGAACTCGAGATAGAAGATTTTTGGTCACCCATCCAATGACCGACCACTGCGAAAGTTGCTAAACTTCAACGATCGCAGCCGAACGCGCTAGCCACCTGCGCCATCGAGCTCCTCTCTGCAGTCGTTATCACCCGCCAATCCGCACTAGACCCGCGCGGTGGGTCATGGCCCAATCTCCCTTTTCACTCCATAGGGAAGGCTTACGCCCCAGCAGTGGGGACATTAACAGGCTGATGATATTTCATTCAGCGTGCGCTATACTACCTGCATGGAATATTGGTTATGTTTACTTTTACTTTTACAACGAAGTCATTTAGTACAATTATTGATTTTAAATAAAGGCATTGTTAAAGCTATTAACAAAAATCGTGTGTTCGACAGTTGGACCAGGAAGCGACATGCGTCAACTTCACGATAGAGCGGTGGTTCCCGGTGGCGAATATGTCTCGCTACCTCCCAGTACGAGTCTACGATTACTACGCGCCTGGTAAGTTATTTTAAACTTGAAATGATTTTCGTCGAAGAACTTAATCGCTATTGTGGTAAAAAAATAGTTAAAGTATAAACTTAATGTTCTTTTACAAGGGGTTAAACTCCATTTCCTTGTTCCGCACAGCAATGAGTTGTATGTGAGAAAGATACTAGCAAACCAGTGAACCAAATGTTCACCAAAAAAAAAAAAAATGTATTTAATTAATTGAGAACTTCGGAGATTTTGTGTGGTTTCGTTTGAAATGGAAATCACGTGATTTCTCGAAAACCGGAAGTGCTACGTTACTCAAATCCGGTTTGTAGTCTTATCAGACTATTCTTAACTTATAACTTAAACATTCTCTTTATCTATCTCTTACGGTTTGGCCGCTGAAACAGCACCACGGACGGACGGACTTGTCTATTAGATAAGAGATAAAATAACTCGTTTTTCTTAGATGTTTTTACCATCTAAAGAAAAGTTTACTAGAAAAAAACCACGCGGACCAGGCATTGTGGGATACCTACAATGCGAAGGGATGGCGCTGCCTTGCAGCCTAAGAAGTACTAGAGAGAATTCGACACGGCCATTAGGGCCTAGGTAACGTAATGGTCAGTGCCTTCACCCGGATAGCGAAAGGTGCGGTTTCGAGTTCCGTCTGCCGCCTGGTCCTCGTTGAATTTTTTCTAGTAAACTTTTCTTTAGATTTTAACATCTAGCAGTTAAATACTTAAAAAAATATACTTTATTTTATTATTCTACTAGCTGTGCTTCGCGGTGTTATCCGCGCTTTATTAGGAATATTTTCCCACAGTAAATCGTAGCCTATGTGTTAATCCAGGGTGGCAGCTAACTCCATACATACCAAATTTTATTAAAATCGCTCCAGCCGTTTAGACGTGAAGAAATAACAATGATACACACTCACAAACTTTCGCCTTTATAATATTAGTGTGATATATGAAATATCTATGTATTAATATTTAACATCACCCATAGAACGCTTCAACGAGACGATATTCGACGCGCTGCCGACTTACCTACTGAATATATGCGAGGTGTGCGGTTCCTCGCAGTGCCCATACTGCGCCATCTATAACGCGGCCCCGAGAGTATTCCTCGCCGCGCCTATATTACTCGTAGCTTTACTTACAACCTTTTATCGGTACCATGCACCGGATCTGACAATTGCAACTACGTAAACAAAACATATAAGACCTTGATTCTACTGAAGGGCCATTCATTTATTACGTAAAACTATTTTCGCTGGTTTTTGACCCCCTCCCCTTTTTATAATAAGAAAAAATAAAAATAGGCCGAGCCCCTCTCGCCCTGTCTAATATATATTTACTAGCTGTCCCAGCGAACTTCGTACCGCCATCAAAAATAGGGGTTGGAGGTAGAAGGGTGAAATTGTAGGGTTATATGTATTTACTAATACTGTACCATAAAAAAATTAAAAAAAAAATATATCTAAAATTGAAAAAAAAATTTAGGGGTGGATTACCCTTAACATTTAGGGGGATGAAAAATAGATGTTGTCCGATTCTCAGACCTACCCAATATGCACACAAAATTTCATGAGAATCGGGAAAGCCGTTTCGGAGGAGTTCAACCACAAACACCGCGACAGGAGAATTTTATATATTAGATGTAAGAATCTAAAGGAAAAAATGAATACACGCGTGGTTTGTTGTTGTTTTTGATGTTTGTTTATCAAAGTAACAATGTTTAGAAATATTTTGGTAGTAATATACTTAGGTTATCAATAAGAACTATCGGAACTCCCTCTCACCCCCCCTAAAAGAAAAAAAGACATGATCGAACCCCCCCCCCCCCCCCCTAAATCGTCTTACGTAATAAATGAATGGCCCATAAGTGATAATGATATCGTAATAATCGTGTCGTAGCTATTTGACGGAACTTTTTTTACCAAAACATCAGATAACATGTAACCATGACAATAAGAAATTAATAATCAAATGTTTGTATCGTAATGTGGGCACTACACTTGGCTATTTGTGTTTGCTATTTGTAAACTTGTCATCAGCTGTCCTTATCATGTTCTGCAAGGAATGAAAAGGATAGATTGATGTCATGTTTACAAATACCAAACACGAATATTTAAGTAAAGTGCCGGGATAACAAGCATACACGATTAGTACGTTAGCATTGCGTAAGCGAGGTCAATTTATACCTTTTATGACTAGTTTTTTTAATACCATCTTAGGAGTTGTAAATATTTTATTTGGTATCATTACACGTTATTTTGTATGAATATCTTATTGCCAATAACGTAGATCATAAGGCGAGTCAGAATTTTTTATTGCGATGGCAATAGTAGAGATATGTATATAATGTTACTAGAAAATCAATATAAAAGAGAGTCCTGATCAGTATGTAGATATAGTTCAGCCATTTGCAATGAAAAACAATAAAGCTTGTACTTAATTTAATATGGGATTATTATTATTATTATCTTAACACGTATTTTAATATGAATAATATCTCTTTGTTGTTAGAGTTCAAATTGACGTTTTTATTGAAATAATATTGAAGCGATGGTCTAATATGGCTGAACTATATATTATAATTTCCACATAAAATGTAATCACATAGTGTAAACATCACATTGTTGGTATAGAGTTAATAAGCTTTAACTCAACCACGAAGAAACACAAAGTTCATATACAAAAGACTCCAATGTAATAATTAAGTGAAATTATCTTATTAAGACACTTTACTTGGCTATTCGTATTTGCTATTTGTAAACTTGACAACAGTCTGTCCTTATAATGCTTTATAATAAACGAAAGGGACAAACTGATGCCAAATAGGGTATTTTCCAAAATTTTGAAAACTATAAATTTATCGCAAACGTAAAAAAGTTAATAATTTGACCTTCAGATGATTACATAGCATACACCAAGTTGGTGTCACACAGTAGACGTTATCGAACCGAGCGTTTTGGCGGTAAATTCAAAACCATTAAAAATAAGTTCAACTTTAATTGATTTAATGGAGAAGAAAAGACATTAATTAATTTATTTTTATTTTTCTGTTAAATCGTTTGTCCCAATCTTTAAATATAATCAGTTTTCAATAATTTGGAAAATACCCTATTTACAAATAGCGAAAACGAATAGCCAATTAAAATGCCGGCAATAAATATACTGTAAAATGAAATCCGTCAATTTTCTTGAAAGTTAATCAAGACTTGATTGCCAATTCGATTAGGTAGAAACATTATTATAATATGTATTTTATTTTGTTACTAACCACCGCCTTAGGAATAAGATTTAAAAAAGTATCAAGAAAATTGTTGTTACAGCAAAAGTTTGTGTCCCATTTATAGGGAAACACATTTATAATACTCTTGTTACCAGTGGCAGCGTTCATTCCGTAGTCTATAATCCCAACCAATTAAAGACTTCCTTAAAACCTATTCCTCTCCATTCCAGTGTAGTTGTATATTTAGTTTAATAGGAATAGTTCAGTGTAGTTGTAAGTTCGCAGAATACACAGCTGTCTTAATTATAGTCCCAGTATTAGGCCGTCTTGAAGCTAAAACGCGACTAAATGACAAAACCAACTTTTGAGATGAAAAATCGACAACATGTCACTAGTTTGAGGATGGCAGAATAGAACAATTTTTCCACAGAATTTCAGCATTTATGGGTATCACAAAGAGTAACAGCACCTAGTACTGTATGGTACTGTATTTTTACTTACGATTTCTCTGAAATAACATCATTTGTTGTAATGTAGATATAGTAACTATCTATGTATATAAATATTTGAAAATATGTATTAATTACGAACTTAACATATTTAAAACCAGCATATCCGTCAGTCAACTAATATTAACATCTTCTACTCTTCATCATCATCTTCTATATGAAGTTCAATGCTTAGAAAGCTCTGTCTGTCTCTATAATTATATCCAATTAGATATTTGTTGTACTCTTCTTTTTTACACGTTTTTGTTTTTATTTTTTATATCTGTACATTTCCCGTCATTTCTCTTTAAGAGTTAGTAGAGCAGCTAAGATGCATTAATAATAGACAAAACTATACCTTCGACCAAGGCTGCATCCCGAGACTTCAATTAAATGGTAAGCAAATTTATTCTTTTACTATCATAATGAAAGTGATAGTCTTGGAATAGTGCCAACCCATAGTCTGCGAATTCCGAAACTACCTCCTAGGTTTCTTAATAAACTTATACCATCTGCGTAAATATTTTTCTTCAATTCACTGTCCATTATGCATGGCTTTTTAATAGATCATTAGTCCCGATTCTAGCATGATTCTGTAAACTTAAAACTAAATTTAACATCAGTCTATCCTTTTCATTCTGTATGGGGAATGACAAGGGTACAATATTGTCAAATTTGAGATTAGGTTACGACACCATTTTAAGTAAAAAAAAATATAACGAACTTGACTATTTACTTCATTCTAAAATCTATAAGAAAATTTGGCTAGACCAAAATCCACGCGGTCCAAGCAGCAGACGGGATTGGAACCCGCTCTCTCCGCTATCCGGGCGGCTAATATATCAGTTGAATGCTTAAAATAAATATAACAAATTCTTCATCTATTCAATTTTATGTAAATACTTATTTCGAATATAGCAATCGTTAGCAAATAAGGTTCTTTTTTATTATGATGTGTAGACAATACAAAAAATGTAAGCTTAGTGATCATTCAAATATCAGAATGCCTTATTATTTAAGGACAATATGGAATTGATATTTAAAAAATCTATATAATATAATGTAATGACAGCTATGAATGCAGCAAGTAAGAATTTTATTTTATAAAGTTTTTTATAGTGTAAGAATTGGAATTATTTATTGCATGAAATTATCAATAAATTGTGAGGCAATACAGTTAAACTTAAAAAGAAAATGTTGTACAAATAAGGCCGTCCAGATATTAAAAATCTCATTGTCCTTTATCTCTGTAACAAATTATTTTTAAGGTAAATGTAATAGATATATAAAATTGTAATCTCGTTACTTAAATAGTTTCCGTCCAAAATTACCCCTGACTGAATCTTTACTTTTTAATTTTATTATGTACTTTTGTGTGTAAAATATTTTTACGTTGCAATGCAAATTGGTAATGTATTGTGAAACTAATATGTATCGATACTTTTTATTTCCGAATAAAATATTGATTTTTATTTAATCAGTTTTTTATTTCATCATATTTGGTGAAACTTCAGACTTGAGTTTTTATAGCGTAACGCATTCGCCAGCTTACCCCCTAACTAAGTCAATCGTGCGTAAAGAAGTTTCACTTCAAAAAACCTTTTTGTATGTACGCTTCGCTAACCATACGTTTCAGTTTTGTCAAGGTTTCGACATCGAGCAATAATTTTAGGCTGAGTAATATTGGAAGGACGAGGCTAAGCCTAGTACATCCCGAGATAATTTAAAAGGTGAGGCTTCATCTCGGTCATTTATTGGCAAACGCTTAACAGACCCCAAAACAATCTATGCTTATATAAATAGTAGTCTGTTAATTTTTAACTACACACTGGTGTCGATTCTGGCATGATTCTCTAAAGCTAAACTTAAATTTGACAACAGTGTATCCCTGTCATTCCCTATAGAGAATGAAAAGGAGAGACTGATGTTAAATTTAGTTTTAGGTTATGATAATCTTCGAGAATCGTCACCGCTGAAGGACTTATCCTTCAGTTCATTTAAACTAAATTCAGAAACTAATAAGAGACCTTGGAGTGTTTCACGATGACAAGCTTATTTTTGACATTCATAATAATTCAATTATTAATAAAGCGTCTAGGGCCTTTGGGTTTGTGATGCGAAACTCAAGAGATTTCACTCAAGCTAAAACATTAAAGATCTTATATTGTGCATTTGTACGAATCCATCTTGAGTATGCGTCGCAGATTTGGGAGTCCGGGGTATTATATTTACATTAGACGTATAGAAAATAAACAAAAAAGATTTAAAAAAATATCTCTGTTTCCGCATTCATGACCGATATGAATCTTTGTAAAAAACACCATCATAGCGAGGCTTCGGCGAGGCGCATTATTTGTAATATGTTTTTTGACAAATGCTGAATTTTGAAACTATTTAATTAAGGTACTATCGCGGAATTTTGCACTCTGTCACTTGGCGAACAAAATGCTTGAACGGTTTTCTACAGTAGTTTTTATTACGCCCCGCCTTCGCGTCAGACGCGCCAATCCGGACCGCTGCACAAAAGTAAGACAGAGAGCATTTCATTGATTGAACAATGAATTGAATTGCATTTGTTTTAGTTGTAATTTGTCATCCGCGTTGTGATCGCGACAGCGCTATACGAAAAAGTAAGACAGCGATAATTACATGTCTATGAATGAATTTTTACTACGCCGCTACCGCAAGCGATTATGGCATTATGGGTGACAGACTTAGATTAAAACAGAAAAGGGTAGATACGGCACTAGCCTCACAAAGTGAGCCGCATGAATTGTGGTCCACGACCCTAATCGCTTTAGTCACAATTTGACATGCAAACGACGTACATGTGAAGGCCAAAAAGAAATATTGCTAATATTTTGGGTTTATATGATAAAAAAATGCCTAAGTGTGTTTTTAAAAAGTGTTCAAATTGCTCAAGAACTAAAAATAAAACCCACGGCATCACTTTTCATTCGTAAGTACTATAAAATATATTTTTTCATAAAAATTGCTGTTTGTTTTGAATATTATTCGGTAGTGACGTCGAGTACTGGTCGCGTGATTGGTCGGTAGTGCAGTGACGCGGATCTCGCCGTCTCGTTCGCGCTGCCGTTGAAACTTAACGTGCTGTTTCGATCGGGTCGGTAATGCAGTGACGCGGATCTCGCCGTCCCGTTCGCGCTGCCGTGGGATCAGTTTTTGTTTGATGCAAGTATGAGCGTACCGTATCTACCCTTTTTGTTTTAATCTAATGTGACAGAGCGAGTCTTTCCGCGAGTGTACCTAAAGTAAATAAGGCCCAAGGGGTAATAAGGCCCACAAATAAAATTTCGGGGGAAAAAAAATCTATGACACTTCACTGTTTACGCACACGTGCACAATGTGGGTGTGAATGTTTCCGTATTAGTCCGCAGTCGCTAGCGACTAGCGACTCGACTCGACAGTGGTACGGGTATCGAACGCAATAAGACTTCGTCGAAGGGTAGACCGATATGTCTGCCAATAACAGCCTACGCAATTACTTCAGTTACTCCGTGGCGCTTGCAACAGTGCCGAAATATCGGAAACTCGCTAAAATCAAGGTACATGGTAACAATCCCGTAAATAACTTATATTAAAAGCCGCGCCAATAAAGAAACGAATTTAAAATGGCGGCGGCCATCATGCGCTCTCACTCTAAACTATTGCTGTCTTTAGTCGCACACAGCGCGTACTGTATGCAAAAAAATATCAGTTCTGACTTTGTGCTCGCACTGTCTCGACATTACGTAATAAACAACTTTTTCTTTCTATCTTTCTTTTTATTTGTTGACCCTACCATCTGTCAGTGCAGGTACATAGACTAATTTATTGTACACCAAGCTACCAATAGAAATTTATTGCTTAACTGGAAACTACTGCCACCTAGTGAAGAATAGCAGAACTAATAGGTGAACTTACCTATTTTTTGTTAAATTTATTAGTTATTGTGAAGAGACGTGTTAACATTTTTTTTCTGTAATTTTTTCTTTTTCATGTATTAATTTCTTTATCTAGATCCCATAGGAATATACATGTGCAGCAAGATAAATTATTTATGCAGAGAATATATAATGAAATACGTACTACCGCCATCTAGTGAAGAATAGTATAATTTATTGGTAATTGGTTCATATGCTTGCTTTAAGTTCGCTTATTCCGCTACTGCGTTGATAACGGCGCTGTTGCCATGTTGTTTATTACAGGTTCAGAAAACGCAGCATCTCATAACTATCACACATATTTTGATAGTGTTTCACCATCACATTACTATAATTTGTTACTGAATATTTATGTATAAAATACATAAAGTTAGTTACAGCTAAGTAAAGATTGTCTATAATTTAAGTTAAGCGAGGGCAGCTCATTTGTAACATCAACCATGTTTCAGTTGCATAGGAAATAAACTCAAATGTAAGCTTTATAAATTATTCAAAATATTATTGATTAATAGGTAATTTTTTTTAACAATAAATAACCATAATTTCTGATTTTATAGTTTATTTCTATCTATTCCTATAAAATAAAAATAACAAATACTTAAACAGTGTTAATTAATAAATTATGAATAACATATTATTGTCTCTTCTTTACTTGTTTAGCTTTAGCGTTGGTGGATTTTGCGGTAGATCCTCCACTGAATAAAGAAGTGAACATTTCTGACATTTCGGGCATTTCAGACATTTTTGCTAGATTGCCTATTTGTTTCAAGTCTTCTTTAGTTTCTGGATCGTTCATCATTTTAGGCAAAATCATAATGAGGAGTAACGGCAGAACCATCATGATGACCATTGGGTTGAATAGAAAATCAGTAAGTCTCCACTGTTCACGAATTTGGAAATAACGGAATTTAGATAATGGCTTCATGCGAAGAGGATAAGGAACTTGAATTACCTGTGAGGTCTGAATATAATTAACTTTCCTGGCCCTATATTTGCCCTTAGAATTAATTTCAACACGGACTGGTTCATACATATAATCTGGATTGACAACTTCTACAACATATGATCCCGATGGTACATTATGTATAACAAATGTGCCATCGTCTCTGATAAAGCCAATATATTCTCCTCCATTCACATGTATTCTTGTGTTTATTTGCCAACCATTAATGTTTTGTTCTTCAGGTGGAAATACTCTGCCTTCAATGATATTGCGGCCATTTCCAATGTCTTCCTCTATGCTGTTAGCAGCACATAAGACTTGGTGTATCAGACCAACAATTAAAATAAACGAAGCATATAATTCCATTGTAAAGATTTTATTTGGTTAATTTTTTATTTTTCTAGTCGTAATTTTTTAGCACAATCACATCAGTCAGTGGGCAGCAGATGACAGATAACAGTTTTTTTATGTGCTCCCTTTTTGGGGAGGGGAAAGGGAACAATGCCCATACAGCCTAATCTTTAGTTTTCTTTGTTTAGTTTTTTTTACATTAGAACGTGGCTGTGACGCAGCTTTCGATAAGCTTTTGTGAGGTAGTCAACACTACAATAAATTTCTCACGTCCACTAGACCGGATTAGCGTATATTTTTAAGATTCCACTAATTCTTTAGTTGTACAGACGGTTGTAGCACAAATTCACACCAATTTTATTTCGGAATATCTACTATGAACGAATTAAAGAATAATTAAAATAAGATGCCACACGCACTCGATGAAATCCCGTCAAAAAAAACTTGGTGACAGATGAAAGAGATTGTCAATTTATCACATACAGAGCTGCGTTCTATGCCTATGCTTCAACTGCAACTTTTACCCTGACGCAGGGGCATAGCTTCCGCCGTATCTGCCGTATCAATTATAAGGAGCCCCCGGGCCATAGAGAAATAACAAAAAAAATGGCCACGGGGGCCCCAAAGTGCGTCTGTAAAAAGATTTCGGAGCCTTTGTGACCTGAGTATGTTTGAAATATTACAACCAGAGAAACTCCTGCCTTCTTCAAGCGAAGATATTAAACGCTTCCGGAAAACTGTCGGTTAAACTCAGTTCATCCTTATGACCAATTAAAGGCTCTAAAAACATGCTAAAATCTGAAATTAAAAAAAAAATGGTTGCCTGTAAAGTCGGTTTTACGGGCGAAGATTTTACGTGACAACGTCTTTTTCTCGGTAGAATATTTATTGATATGAATATAATTAAATTGCACAATAGGAACAAGGAATTGAATGAAAATAAGAATTGCACAAATTTTAACTATAGAAATATATTTTGTTTACTAAAACATTGTACATGTAAACTTAAACTTAACACGAGAGACTCATCGTAACGTTACCGAGCGTTACACTTTTTCATAAGTGACTCCCAGCCGCAACCTAATTTAAGACGTTGTCACGTCAAAAAAATAATCCATTAAGGAACTCATTGAATTATTGCTGATAAAATTCAATAGTCTTGCATCCAGTTTTCCGGAGGTTATAACAGCATTCTTTTTATTTCTAGTTACAACCGCAATTGAAATTATTATGCATAATTTAACATAAGAAGGAGATAGAAAGCCTCTCTTGAGTTTGTTTCGCGGGTTCTTCTCAGGAAGGTCTCTCAATTTTGGAACCGGTGGTAGTTTACGGTAGTTAGGGTCAAATAAATAAACTCAAAATTACAAACAAGAATTTTAAATAAAATACTTTATTAAGTAAATTAAATAATAAATTCATACATAGACAATAAAATTTTAAAAATCTTCCAATGAAATAACCGAACGCTCAATATAAGTCTTTCGAAGGTAGCTCGACAATTTTAAATAAAAAATCATTATTCTGACGATGCAGACCTGAAAAGGCTGCGAAACGTCAATAAATAAATAAAGTTTCGTGCATTAACCCGTTAAAACTAGTTTTATTTGTTCAGTATTATTAGGATTTTTGTTTCAGTTTTGTTTGTGGGTTATAAGCTTAGATTAAAACAAAAAGGGTTATAAGTCATTTAAATGTGGTCTAGTAAATCTATCAAAATATTTTCATGATATTCACACAGACTTACAATATGTTCTATGGCTGAGGTTGTTCACCAAAAAGTATTATCCCGTAGGGTACGGCCAGAGTGCCGTTTAGTGTAGTTTAAGCAGGTTGCCTGCTGCCACTATGGCCACCCTGCTTTAACTACATTGTTTATTTCTCGCGCTTGTTTTGAGTCTGAATCTGAATCACTGATCTGAATCACATCTGCACTCTGGCCGTACCCGTAGGGTGCAGATTCTGATAACAAGCGCGAGAAATAAACAGTGTAGTCGAAGGGTACGGCCAGAGTGCACTCCTAATTCAGATTCAGATTCAGACTCAGAAAACAAAGCGCGAGAAAAAGCAGGCAACCTGCTTAGACTACACTGTTTATTTCTCGCGCTTGTTTTCAGAATCTGAATCTGAATCTGAGTGCACTCTGGCCGCACCTGTACCCTTAAAAAGCATCTGCTAATTTTTTATTTTTTTCTATTTTGGTTTTACGGCACTGGGTTCTAGCCCTTTTCTGCCGGAAAAAGCATCTGTAAAAGTGTGAATTGCCATTTATAAAAATAAGTAAGCAATGTTATACCGAGAAAACCGGTTTACAATATCGATTTTTAAAATGCAACTGCCATTCCTTGTTATTTTTTTTTTGTTGTTTCTCTATGGATTTTTTTGTAAACAAAGTTGCATTGAACGACATGCGGTGGTTTTCGTTTCTTTAATTTATTAAAAATAAATTTTCTCAGTTTTGTATATTATGTCCGGATACTTAGAAGTGAAATATCCCTTGAAATCGAACCTTGGCTTAAATCCTTTCAAGGTGAGTGTTTTTGAGAACATTGTTTATACTGTATGTAATCATAACATCGTTTGGCATTGATTATTTGTTATTGTCAGTCGTGGAAAAGACAATGGTGTATTCTGAGACCAAGCCCTACGTGTACGGGAGGTGGGTCGCTCGCGGTGTACTGCAGCGAGGCAGGCGCTCCGGCGGGAACGGTGGAGCTACCCTCGGGCTGCGTGGTCCGGAGGGCAAAGTCCCGCACGAGGCCATATGCTTTTGCAGTGTTTTCTGACGTTGAACCGCGCAAACCTCGGATACTGCTTGCCGCACAGACTTTAAATGATGCTCACATGTGGATGGAAAAAATAAAAAATGTATTAAATGGCAGCACATTGCTTGGTAAGTCTACCTACATTTATTTCTTTATTAATTTTCACTATCTACCTTCTTAATACTGATATAATTTATTGAATTAAAATTTAACTTGTTTTGATTGGTATCTTGGGTCATCAAAATGAATATGAAACTAGTTTAGAGAATTCACAATAGACAGATGTAGATAGTATTTTAGATTTTAGAATGCCATGAATTCTATTGAAAGAAATCTTAATTAAATATTATTTTGTATATTACATGAATACATTTAATCATGAAAGTATGTAGCATTGTATGATGTCTATCTATGGCTTCATGTGCAACTACTGACGTCAACCTATTCAATGCTAATGATTTTAATAAATTTAAATATGCAATCATCCCTGACATTATCATTACTTGACGATTGACATCAGACAGCCGTGTTTAGAATCAACATTTATGCATGTTTTCATTCTATCATATAAGTACAGAGAGCCACACAATCAAGTTACCCCAGACTGTCACATTTTCTCAAATGATAGTGAATCTTGTGACAAACAATATAAAGCTCACTATCAGTTTGAAATTTTACGGTTTTGGATAACTTTGTCTCTGTACTTCTGGTCAGTTACAAGTTGGTTGTTCATATAATGGTTTAAAAAATATTAATTAACATGTGAACTTGTGTTTTATGTAAAATGCCACTATCTTTAATATCTATGTCATAATTGCAAATATAAATAACATAAATATTAAATGCCTATGCATTTAAATCATGCTTTATCATGCCCATATTTTCAGGCACTGAGACATTGCTCAAAGATTCCTACTCAGTAACAGTAGTGACTACCGGGCTATCCCGCAAATGTGGAATGCATGGTGACAGTGTACTGACACTGTCCTCGAATGGTGTCCTGGTCTCTCGATCTCAGAAACTCAGCACAGTTTTAGAATGGAAACATATCAGTGATGTTGTGCTGATCAGTGAAAGCTCTGAAAAGAACAAAACTTGTGTTCTTACTGTGGATAGGTTTGTTAATTATTTATTCTGCACTGGTGATGAACTGCAAAATTCTTGCAAGCACTGGAATATTTATTATGCTTGGTGTAAAAAGAGAAAGTTCATTATTGTAATAATTTACTTAATTATTACACAATTGAAAATTGTAGTTTCACAATGTGATTCTTAATAAGATGGGTTATTTGAATATTAAAATAATTTAGCCCACTGAAAAATGCCTTACTTGAACACTGCTGAAAAATTTTAACTTGAATGATTTGCTGTTTAAGTTCTAACTATTAATAACACCAATACTGTATGATATTTATACAAATAAGGCTTTTATTAATGATTACTTCATTTATGATTGTTCTTTTTTTTTAATCTTGTTTTTTTGCTTGGAAAGTAATAGAGCAGTTGGTTTAAGCATTGTTTTTTTTTCATGAATTAGTTTTCATAGAATGTATTTGATGTGCAGCATTGATAGATTGTAATATCTGTAATTTATTTTGACCTTTTGCTTAAATTGAGCATTTAAGACAAATCGTCAGTTTGAAATATTTTTTCTCTTCTTTTTCCATTAAAATTGATCTACTTAATTAGCATTGTAACAATATAGAGTTTAATAATGTTACAAATCCATTATTATTGGCATTCACCTAAGCTTGCATCATTATAATTAACACATTGCCTTTTTGTCCCTGTTTGGTCTATTTCAGTTCAAAACTGGATAATTATGAATCATATTACTTCTCAGTAGTCTGAACATTCAAGTGCATTTAAATATAATCTTTGCATGTGAATAACAACATAAATCATAAATTATGGAATGCAGATTGTGTTAATTTTGCTTGTGCATGATTCATGTTCCGTTATTTCTTCTGATAAGTCATATTGTGTACTATTTTTGAATACTAAACAATATATCATTTGATTAATCCTTTGAGTTGAGATCCATCCATGTAAGAAACTATTGATTACTAGCTATGCCCCGCAGTGTTACCCGCGGTTTATTTGGAATATTTTCCTGGAGTAAAACATAGCCTATGTGTTAATCCAGGGTGTCAGCTGACGCCATACCAAATTTTATTAAAATCGCTCTAGATGTTTAGACCGGAAGAAGTAACAAACAATCACACTCACAAAGTTTGAGCTTTATAATATTAGTGTGATATCATTGATAATTCGTTATTATATGACTTATTTAAAAACCTTAACATGTATACTATTCTATATTATCAAATGTGATTGAATCGTCAAATAAAATCAAAATTATAGCTAGTTGATTTTGTAGTGATTGAAAGGATTTCCATTGTAGTAGTTAACTATTCTTTTATTGCCGTTTGTTTACATTAATGACTCATATTTTTACTGGTTTATGTTAAGCATTTGTCAATTATGTTGTATTCTACAGCAGTTGTCCTAGTGGTAGCGGCGAGTTAAAATTTTCGGGTCCCCTTGCAAGTGAACTTGCTGCAGCTTTGAAACAAGCCATTGGTATCAACGCGTGCTCCACGAAAAAGCTGAGCAAAAGCGAGGGCGACCTACGGACGGCACCAAATAGTGAAGGTATTTCCATAATATATTAGTATACCAAATAGAGGATATATTTGTTTATTAGATTTCCACACACACAAGCTTCAAGTGCGTTAATTTATTTATAAAGAGGATGCGATGAGGAGGTGACTAAACACCTTGAGCCTCTTCAATTACGCCGTGACGTGGCGTCGCTAAGCGCGTTCTATCGTTTGTACCACGGCGAGTGTTCTGAGGAGTTATTCTCTCTTATCCCACCTTCTCCTTTCCTTCTGAGGACCACGCGCGCTTTCCTACGTTGTCACCGTCTAACTGGCCACAATTCCAACGCGTACAAAGAAATTTGGTGACTCATTTCTTTGTCGCGCTATCCGTAAATGGAATGCTCTGCTTGCTCACGTGTTCCCTCCCTCTTACAACCTGGGATCCTTTAAAAGAGGCGTGAAGAAGCAACATGCAGGCCGGCAGGGTGAGGAGGATGGCTGGTGTGGCAGGTAGAACTGCTGTATCAGCTATCTTCACGTCTGGACTTCACCTTCACTTAACATCAGGTGGGGTGGAGTCATTTGTCGGACCTATCAATAAAAAAAAATACTTACTGACCATAGCCAGTATAGATAAACTATCGTGAGCAGAAGTGTGTCGCCTTTTTTGCTACATGCATGATTCCATAATTGTAAAAATAATTGTACTATTCTACAAATTGGTGTCTAGGTGGACAGCAACAATGAATACTTTCTCAGATTTAAATTTTTGCTTGCGGTCTGCAGTTCGAAATATTTCCATTTTATGCTGTTTTAATAACATTGTTTTTAACATTTTTTTTTATAATTCTTTAATGAGCTTAATTTTTTTTATTATATTTTAATGAGCTACTCTAATAAGAGAGTATTTACAATGTGTTGTGTCTTAATATGTAATGATAATAATACATTACAATAATGTTTGGTGTGCAGATGAGTTACGCCGCACTAGCTGGTACAGCGGCCCCTCTGAAGTATCCTTGGACGATATTGATTTAGTCATGTCAAAGGTATTTTTAGTTTAGATATTTTGAAGTTATACTTCTTTAGCCGCGTTATGAAAAAATTATGAGAGTGAAATTTTAAGACGCGCGCATCATTGTAACACAAAAGTAACATAATGAAGTTAGCCGCGGGCGCGTTATGAAAAAATCATGTGAGTGAAATTTCGAGATGCGCGCGCATCACTGTAACACAATAGTAACACCATGAAGTTGGCCGCGGGCGCGTTATGAATGTTAGTGTCTAATACTTCACTTGGCTATTTGTGTTTGCTATTTGTAAACTTGGCATCAGTCTGTTCTTTTTATTCCTTACACAGTTACATATAGAACAGTTTATATGGGAAAATTAAATTGACGTTTTTACTATCTTCCTCGCAATTTTTCCATATTTTCTCACATTTTAAACCTTCCCTAGACCTCCACAAACATTTCAAGACCAAGATAAGATAAATCCGTTCAGCCGTTCTCGAGTTTTAGCGAGACTAACGAACAGCAATTGTTTTTTATATATTTACTAGCGGACCCGACAGACGTTGTCCTGTCTACACGTCTTTGTGAATCTAAACCATTCTCAGATCCCCTTGAACACACACAAAAAATTTCATCAAAATCGGTCCAGTCGTTTAAGAGAAGTTCAGTGACATACACACTCACAGAAGAATTATATATATAAAGATATTCCTTATAGAGCATGATGGACAGACTGTTGTCATGTTTACATACAGCAAATACGAATTTAAAAGATAAGAATACCAAGTGAAGTGCCAGCATGAAATCATACCAAACAAATTAAATTACTTTCATAGTTATAGTTGACGACCTCCGTGGTCGAGTGATTTGTATGCCGGATTTCATGGTGTCGCCGACTCGAGAGGTTCGAGGGTTTGAATCCCGGTGGAGGCAGATGTTCGTGTGATGAATACGAGCACTTGTACTCCGGTCATGGATGTTTAATATGTATTTCTATATAAATATACTCATATATGTGTTCTATCCGTTACCCTAGTATTCCATAACACAAGTCTTATAGTGCTTACTTTGGGGCTAGGCTAATTGGTGTGAGTGTTGGAAATGGAAATATTTATTATTTATAGTGCTAGTTGGGATTTTTCTATAGTTCCTAGTCCAGCATGAAAGAAACTCTCAATTGTTCGTAGGAGGCGAAGTGTATACCAAGCGGTCAGTTGTCTAGATGCAACGCGGCCGGACATCTCGCGCCCGACAGACCTGTGTCTGATGACAGGTACGTGTTAAAGGGCCATTTATATTTATTTATCCTTTATTACCAAAATACAGTAAATACCGGACTTAATGCTATAGGCATACTCTACCAGTCAACCAGTATGGGTGTATGAGACAGATGTTTTGGCGATAGAGCGAGCTACTAAAGTAAGAAAGAAAAAAAAAGTTGATTCAGTAGCACGGACTTCAATCGTGTGCGTCAACTTCGATCTTGAATAGATTGATCGTAGAGCTGACTGACCGACCAAGGTCATGTCTATCACAGAATATGTGGGAACGTTCCTATACTACATGACAATGTTTGACATTTTTTACCCTCCTACTTCCCCTTCGGTGACCTACCGTAGTATATGCGAAAACGTACCCCCCCCACACCCCCTCTAGTTTTCACGTACAATTTCCTAAAAACGGTTTAATTTTTTTTTTGCACTTACAATTGCTTAACTTCAACGGTCACATACTACTACTTTGATACTTTCGATTTCTTTAAGATAACAAAAAAGCTTAAGAACACTTTACCTACAAAGCGAAGAGGTGGCACTGCCTTGCAGCCTAAGAAAGGCTAGAGAAAATTCGACACGGCCATCCGGGCCGCGGTAGCATAATCCCGGATATCGAAGAGTGCGGGTTCAAGTTCTGCCTGCTGCCTGGTCCGCATGGATTCTTCTAAAATTTGTTATTCCTCTTGTACAGTATGTCGGACCGCCGCTCGCTAGTGTCGATCGCGTCCGGTATTTACGAGGAGATCCCCGACCTACCCGCCTCGGAACTGTACTGCCCCATGAGCAGAGATGTGCCCGACGGGTTCCTGCCGTCAGCTCGCCCCCTGCCGGTCAGTATATTCACCCACGAGCAGGTCCCCGACCTACCCGCCCCGGAACTGTACTGCCCCATGAGCAGAGATGTGCCCGACGGGTTCCTGCCGTCAGCTCGCCCCCTGCCGGTCAGTATATTCACCCACAAGCAGGTCCCCGACCTACCCGCCCCGGAACTGTACTGCCCCATGAGCAGAGATGTGCCCGACGGGTTCCTGCCGTCAGCTCGCCCCCTGCCGGTCAGTATATTCACCCACAAGCAGGTCCCCGACCTACCCGCCCCGGAACTGTACTGCCCCATGAGCAGAGATGTGCCCGACGGGTTCCTGCCGTCAGCTCGCCCCCTGCCGGTCAGTATATTCACCCACGAGCAGGTCCCCGACCTACCCGCCCCGGAACTGTACTGCCCCATGAGCAGAGATGTGCCCGACGGGTTCCTGCCGTCAGCTCGCCCCCTGCCGGTCAGTATATTCACCCACGAGCAGGTCCCCGACCTACCCGCCCCGGAACTGTACTGCCCCATGAGCAGAGATGTGCCCGACGGGTTCCTGCCGTCAGCTCGCCCCCTGCCGGTCAGTATATTCACCCACAAGCAGGTCCCCGACCTACCCGCCCCGGAACTGTACTGCCCCATGAGCAGAGATGTGCCCGACGGGTTCCTGCCGTCAGCTCGCCCCCTGCCGGTCAGTATATTCACCCACGAGCAGGTCCCCGACCTACCCGCCCCGGAACTGTACTGCCCCATGAGCAGAGATGTGCCCGACGGGTTCCTGCCGTCAGCTCGCCCCCTGCCGGTCAGTATATTCACCCACGAGCAGGTCCCCGACCTACCCGCCCCGGAACTGTACTGCCCCATGAGCAGAGATGTGCCCGACGGGTTCCTGCCGTCAGCTCGCCCCCTGCCGGTCAGTATATTCACCCACGAGCAGGTCCCCGACCTACCCGCCCCGGAACTGTACTGCCCCATGAGCAGAGATGTGCCCGACGGGTTCCTGCCGTCAGCTCGCCCCCTGCCGGTCAGTATATTCACCCACGAGCAGGTCCCCGACCTACCCGCCACAGAACTGTACTGGCCCTAACAACAACTGACATAATATGCAGAGATGCAATGGATAAAAGGACACAGCAGCTCAATTGGAAACGACGCAGCAGACGAACTGGCTAAGAGGGGAGCAGACACAAAGGTGTATGGTCCGGAACCTTTGCTGCCCATACCTCAGGCCCAAATTAAAACGTGGCTGCGTGAAATAACTCATAAAACACACTTGACGGAGTGGAAAACAGGTGAAGGATGCCGGCAAACGAAAAACGCGGTTCCGGCGGTAAATAAAAGTTTTGCCCGCATCCTTACCAGACTAAATAGGGACAAACTTCGCAGGATTATAGGATCCCTGACTGGTCATTGTCCCCTAAACAAACACCTATATACAATAGGAGTTACAGACAGCCCCCTATGCAGAGGATGCATGGAGGCAGAAGAAACGCCACAGCATGTCATCATGGAATGCAGGAGTGTGGCCGACCAACGGGCACGACTTCTCCAGTCACCAGAATCGTTTCCGGAAGCTTGCAGCAGTCTACCAAGGCTGCTTTCCTTCTGGACCGATATAGGCTGGCTGGAGTAAGCGGGAATGTTTTGAGACACGCACAATGGTCCAATAATTAGGACTAAGTGCGGAAACCGCCCTGAAGAACTAACTAACTAACTAATAATATGCAGAGATGTGCCCGAAGGGGGCCTTCCGTTAGCTGGCCTTCTTCAAAATTTTTATTGTTATTAAATATTTTTTTTTTGTAATTATTTTTATTGTATTTTAACAAGTTATAGTTATAGTTTTATTTTATAAGTTTTTACTTATAAAAGTATATTATTACAATAATATTTTTTTTGAATGAATTTAAAGCGTAATTTGATCAATCACTAAGAGACAGCTCATCATCGTTTTCACTGCTGGGGCACAGGCCCATTCCATGTAGAATAGGGTGATTGGGCCACAAACCACCACGTGGGCCCAATGCAAATTGGATTGGATGGATTCTAACGACTGCAGATCTGCTGCTGCTGTAAGCACCCGCTAATCCGCACTGGACCAGCGTGGTGGGTCATGGCCCAATCTCTCTATTCCATCCATAGTTAAGGCCTGTGCCCCAGCAGTGGGGGCATTAATAGGCTGATGATGATTATGATTTATTGATACCTGATAGACAAAGAAAAATACGAGTGTGCTTAAGACTACGCGACTGAAGTGAAACTTCTTTAGCTCCATCTTTATATATATATATATATATATATATATATATATATATATATATATATATATATATATATATATGTGTGTTTACAATATATACATGTATGTACATATACATATTTCATTTATTAGCTATAAGAGAAAGAGAGTGTGCTTTCACTGAACTCCCAGTCGCCTCGCCCGAACACACTTTTAGTAACGCGTAACGCATTCGCCAGCTTACCCCCTAAGTCAAGCGTGCGTAAAGAAGTTTCACTTCAAAAATAGTGTTCATCCCTATTATGAGGTGGTATATTGGAATGCTATGTTCGTACCCAGGTACTGGAGGAGCCCACATACGAATCGGTAGTGGAAAGTGTGTATGCCACTGTGCGACGCACTCGGCCGCCTCCGCTACCTCCGCGACACGCGTGCGGGTGAGATATCTATACTTACATATAATAATAATAATAAGTAGACTTGCAACGAATAGTATATTCGGCAAAAGTATTCGGCTGGATTTTAGCGCCAAAAACTTGTACAGACGTGATTGTTTCGGTCTCCTTTGTTTTGTTCTAATCTGCCGTCCTCAAGCTAAAATGCGGCTAAATGACAAAACCAACTTGAGATATGGCCAAAAACGGCGCGTAAACTTAAAATTATTGCTATTATGTAACCATTCATCACATGACTGAATGAATTAAAAACTGTTAACTTGTTTAATACAGAAAATGATTAAATTATGTACCTGTTTTATGTACCAATGACTTAAGTAATCATAAATGATTATAAAAGAAATGAGAACCTAACCCTTCTAAATTTTGATTACTACAATAATTCAAATACATAGTGTACGGGACGCCGGGCTGTCGCAGTAGCGGACAGTTACCGACTCGTACTGAGGGGTGGAGGAAGTTACACGCAGGAGTCTTGACTGTAGTGGACTGTAGTTTCGGCGAATAAAACCCCTGGTGTTCGGTATTAAAGAAATCGGTGGGCGCTGATAATGGATGGCCGGTGAGAGGAGGCTTCAGGTCCAGAGTGAACCGCTTGATTGTTTCTTCCTGTTCCTTATGGTAGGAGCGCCTGTCGCTGAATGCATGTCGGAGCATGTTCCGACTCGAATTTTATATGCTAGGACTGAGCTGGCCAGCGATCCATTACCTCACCCACGCTATACTTTATTTTTCATTTATTCAAAAATTACATTAGTGCGAGCTTAAAACTAATTGTACATACATCGGGCATACATATAGGCATATTTTTAACACAGTTATGTGTCCGTAAGCATGATATTTTAGGTGTGGCGCGCAAAAAATAGGTCTCCGCAATATTTATACTTTCCCCCTCCATAGGGCTTCGCCCTGCCACGGGGCTTCGCTGCCCCACCCGCGCGCTCCGGGCGCGCCGGGTGGGGAGCGCAACATGTCTCAAAAAACGGTTCTATACAAACAGATTTTGTCTCCTACACGGTACATTTTTACATTTATTGATGTGATACCTATTTCTTTACGTACCCCTACGCGTTATCTACCTAATACAACAAGTTTCTTACAAGAATATCAACAAACAACAGCTCTGCGGCCCTATAAAGTTTACAAATTAAAAAGTCTTAAAAAACCTACTTATATTCACTTAATGCCTAACTATCATATACCATTTTATAGAAGAAGTAAAAACACACAAAATAACATCATTATTATAACAATTATACCTATATCCTATTGACTATTCGTAAAAAACTATTCCCAATATTTTCCTTAATTACGCTTAAACTACTAACAGAATTCATACAAAACTCTGATATATTATTCCTATAACTACCTACTTTCTAATAAGACATAAAATAAACCAATCAAAACATAAAACATACTATTATCGAAAACTATCAACTCAGGCAAAATCCTATAAGATGTGAGACAAGGACAACCTATTGTCTCTGTCCCTCCTATAGGTCGGAACTATCAGTATTCTGACTAGTTTCCCCGCGCCACCGCTTGGCGTCGTGGCGATCGTTTAGACAAAGTCTTATAAGATTGTTGGAGAGAACGGGGCGGAATATCGCTCTGAACTATCAATTTTACAACGGTTTACTATGGGCAGAGCTATCTATTATTGCGATATCCGACTCATTCTAATAAGACAACAAGGGAATGATATTTTTAATGCGTATACAACCGATACATGTGAAATTATAGATACATTTTATACATCAATCTCATATTGTCGTAAGTTCATTTTCTCTCGCTTCGGTCGTCGCGTACATACTCCCGCCGTGCAGCGTCGGTCGACTCGTCGCTGCATCCATCTTCCGTGGGAGTGGCGGCCGATGCGAATATCACCAGTCGCTTGGTCGGTCTGCGTAGCACTCCTCCGGCTGTCTTCAGATCGACGACTCGTACTGTGCCGTCTCGCCCGGGAAAAGTGGCGATGACGACTCCCTTGGGCCACGTGTTGCGTGGCAGGTTGCTGTCGGCGATGAGCACGATGTCCCCGATGGCGATGGTCTTCCCGGTCCCGTGGGGCTCCCGCCGGTGTTGCAGCTCGGGTAGGTACTCTCGTACCCAGCGCGCCCAGAAGTGGTCGGCGAGGCGCTGTGCTGCTCTCCAGTGCGGGCGGCCTATCAGGTCGCTCTCGTCGAACTCGCCCGGCAGTGGGACGCGCGCTGAACCTCCCAGCAGAAAGTGGTTGGGAGTGATGGCTTCGTCGTCTTCATGGTGCACGGACACGTGGGTGAGAGGCCGGCTGTTCACGGTGTATTCGGCCTCGGCGAATAGCGTCGTAAGTACCTCTTCGGGCGGACTTCTTTCTTGCAAAACCGCACTTAGCGCGATTTTGACGGACTTCACGAGGCGTTCCCACGCCCCGCCCATGAATGGCGCTCCCGGCGGTATGTACCTCCACCGGATACTGCGGATGCTTGCTTCTTCGCTCGTCGCCTGCTGCACTGCCTTCTTCATTTCGTTTTCTGCGCCGTGGAAGTTGGTCCCGTTGTCCGACCAAATTTCGGTAGGGCACCCGCGGCGCGCTATCATGCGCCGTAGTGCGTGTATGGCGGAGTCCGTCGATAGTGAGGCGGCCAACTCGAGGTGCACGGCTCTCGTAGTAAGACATGTGAAGAGCGCGACGTAGCGTTTTTCTTGACGCCTGCCCACGGTGACTGGCAACGGCCCGAAATAATCCAATCCGGTGTACGTGAATGGCCGTCGGTGATGAGCGAGGCGCGTCGGCGGCAAATCTCCGGTAGGTGGCGACGGTGACGCCGCCCTCCTTATGCGGCAGTTTATGCAACTGCTTATTATTCGTTTCGTGACGGGTCGAATGCGTAAAATCCAATAGTGTTGTCTGCACTCGTTGACTGTAGTTTCCACCCCGGCATGGAGAAGGCTTCTATGTGTGTGTTCTATCCACAGTTGGGTGGCTCGATGGTTCCCGTCGAGTATCGCCGGTGTCTTCTGAGTTTCGGTCACTCCCGCCGCTGCGTTAACCCGGCTTCGTAGGTACAACAGGCCGTCGTTGACTATTAGCGAAAGTGGGCGGAGTCGACTGTTCGCAGCGATGGTGGCGCCCCCTTGCAGTTGTTTCAACTCGTCTTGAAATGCGTCGTGTTGTATTACGCGAACTATTATTTTCTCTGCGCGTTCGATGTATCTTCGGTCGATTGCGATGAATTTTCTTTCTTGAACGGTTGGCGTCGTTTTCTTCCTATGTGTCGGCGCCGATTTTTGATTTTTCTTCCAGTCGGGTTCCTTTTCGTTTTTCTTTCTTCTGTAGTTAATTCGGTCGGTTTTCGCTTGGCAGAGGTCGATGAACTGTAGTACTCTTGCCGTAGTCCGAATTAACTTGTCCCAGCGCGAAAATCGAGTGACGTCCGGTGCAGCTTCGGATATTGACGGCGCTTTCTTCGTGCTTATGTGGTGCACGCGTTCTTCCCCGGTGACTTCGGTTGCGGTTGCGGTTTCGGCGGGCCATTCTTCTTGTTTGTTTCGTAGAAACGGAGGCCCGGTGAACCATCTGTGGTAGCCGTAGAATTAGTGCGGTGATATTCTTGTGGCGTCGTCTGCTGTGTTGAGCTTCGTGGGCACCCATCGCCACTCGTTGATGGTGCTGAGTTCTTCGATGGCGGCTATGCGATGCGCGACGAATGGCTTGAATGAGCGCGATCCCGTTCGCACCCAAGACAATACTGTTTTGCTGTCTGTCCAAAATGTCTTCGATTCTGGTTTTCTTGAGTGCTCTTCTATCACGGTGGCGGCCATTCTTGCTCCCAGGACTGCGGCTTGTAGCTCGAGGCGCGGTATCGACGTGACTTTGAGTGGAGCCACGCGTGCTTTCGCCGTGATGAGTGACACGTCGACTTGACCTCCCGGTGACTCGGCCCTCCAGTAGAGTGCGGCGGCGTACGTGGTGGCGCTGGCGTCCACGAAGATGTGCAGCTGAAGTGAAGTGGCTTCGCTGTATCCTATGTAGGCTCGTGGTACTTTGACGCCTCGTAGGTCCTTCATGTGTTGTAGCCAGGTCGTCCACTGCTCTGCGAGGTCGGTGTCGATTTTCTTGTCCCATTCTGTGCCGCGTCGCCAAATTTCTTGTATGATCTGCTTTCCCCTGACTGTGACTGGTGATGCAAGTCCCATTGGATCGTAGATTGACATCACAATCTTCAAAACTTCTCTCTTCGTGGGTGCCTTATTTGCAAGTAGGTCCGATGGGATGCGCGCCAACTCGAGATTGAACCCCAATTCGTCCGATTGCGGGTTCCACATGAGTCCGAGTACTTTTTCTATTCTTGATCCGTCGTTGAGTGTTATCGGTTGTTGAACGCGTAGCGGTCCCTCGGTGAGTGCTTGCCTTATTCGATGCGAGTTCGACACCCAGTTGCGTAAGTCGAAATTTCCGTCGGCGTGTATTTTTCTTATTTGCGTCGACACTTCTATGGCTTCTTGTTCCGTTGTAAAGCTGTCTAGGTAGTCATCCATGTAGTGCGCTTGTACTATGGCGTTGACGGCGGTCGGTTGCGTTTCTTGATATCGCTCGGCGTTCTTGTTCTTGACGAAAATAGCGGCGGCTGGTGAACACGTAGCGCCGAAGATGAGTGACTTCATTCTGTATTCTTCCGGTGGTCCCTCTCTTCTGTCGCCGCGCCATAGGTACCGCAGTGCATCTCTGTCTTCCGGTCGGATCCCCACGCGCATGAACATTTCGGCGATGTCGGCTGTCACGGCGTACTGGTGTTGACGGAATCGCATCATGACTCCTATCAACGATCGAAGTAGGTCCGGCCCGGTGAGAAGGCAGTCGTTGAGTGAGGTGCCTCCGGTCTTCGCAGCTGCGTCGTGTACGATGCGTAACTTGTTTGGCTTCAACGGGTTGATGACTGGAAAATGCGGCAGGTACCAAGTTCTGTCTTCTGTTGATGTGGGCGGTGCTCGCTCGGCGT